AGTTAGCGAAATTCCAATGTGTGCGGATCGGCAAAAAATGCGCAATAACCCTTTAACCGTACATTTGACAGATACGCCCGCACTGACTTTTTTGTAGATCTTATTGAGATACATGTGTGTGTCAATTTTTGTGTCATTTTGACAAAGCGTACAGGCGTCAGGTGAATTTTTCACCTTAGGGGGCGCTATGGAGCCATTTTGCATTGTATTGTTTGCGCGACTTCAGAATATCAAATTTTTCACCAGGCCCGGTCGTCCTGCCAAATTTCATGAGTTTTCGCCAGTGGGAAGTGGGCCATTTTCCAGTTCAAAGGGGAGGAAAAAGAAACTAGGACCCCGTTGGGGCACTGGCGGGCCCGAGCCGTGTCCCCCCCCCCCCCCCCCCCCCCCCCCCCAACGTGCTGCCTCCCCGTCCCATTTGTGTCCTCTGGCCATCGCCCTCTCTGTTAACGCCCATCACTGCAAAGACCCTTTTCCTTCATCGGCGTTTGCTGTTCTTCCTGCCAGTGCGTGTTGCTTTCACTTACACTTGCCACAGCCAGCCTTGTGAGTGCCTAGCCTATTGGATATCACTGTCACCTACACAGGACAGTCATTACCTTTCTATTAATACTTTGTGTTTTAATTTCACATTAATTTCCATATTGTATAAACGACTGGAAAAAACTTGAGCCCCTGCCCCTGTATAATCATGTGCATGTCTCTGTTCTAGCTCCAAGGTGAATCTTCACTGCTCATGTTCTCCTCAGAAGCACTCACCTCACTCCCCTCAGGTTACTGTACACATGCACCAACTGCCTGCTTCAGGTTTGGATGGAGCTTCATGGTTGTCTTTTGGAGAAATGACCAGTCAAGTTGTGTTTGAAATTTGATTTTTTTCAGGGGCAAAAGGAGCCTCTGCATTCTTGTCAAATATGTAAATAGCATGTTTTTGCAGGTGCTAAAAACCAGACTCTGAGTGTGTGTGTGTGTGTGTGTGTGTGTGTGTGTGTGCGTGTGTGTGTGTCTATGTGTGCGTTCAAGTCACATGACATATTTAACCGGATGTAGCTGCAAGACGGAGCCTCGTTGACTCTCCGTTTCAACTTATCTCAAAAGTGAGGACCTCAACCTATATACCAGTTTTTAAATTGTGTTGATAGGCCAAATAAAACCAGAGTTATGATAAATTATGTCCGCGATACTTTTTTTCTGCTTATTTTGATCACGTTCGGCGCTCGATCGCGCTGTATGAGACAGGAAAACATAGCATGCAGACATTAGCGACAGGTCTTACAGGCGGAAAAGGCTTGCCAAATAAAAAAAAAACACACCACAACATCTCTCCTATTGGTGGAAAACTTCACCACAACAACCAATCCAAAATTATATGGTGACTGATTGACAGAGGCGGGCGCTTACGTTCTTCCTGCAACATGAGAAGGGAGGGAGGGACTCTCAGCAGGGATGCAGTCTGGGACACGTAGTTGCAAACCTAGCGACTTTGTTGTTAGATTCAATGACTTTTCAGACACCCTAACGACTTTTTTTTAGAAAGAAAGGGACTTTTATCGACTTCTTCTGGAGTTTAGAGACTCTGACATGAAGCAGGCTTTCCTTACTGAGGAGTTAGCAACGCTGCTAAGGGTGCAGAGCCACACATGCGCTCAGAGCTCTGCATGGGAGACTGAAGCTGACAGAGCTGCAGCAGTTAGCAGGTTTCACCCTCAGAGACCACCAGGGGTTCATGTTGAGGCATTTTAATTTTTTTTTTTTTTTTGTGCCATAGACACTGTCAGCACAATCTGCAGTTACACTAACAAAAATGCTGCAAAAAACAAAGAATTATGGAAAAATTACACATGGACTGACATAGAGGAGGATCTACACAAGTTTTTTACATCATGTTTTACATCATGCATCATTTACATCATGTTTTTTTGTAGTGGCATAAATAAAAAGTGACATTTGTGAGACTATACAGTGTTTTGTAAATAATTTTACAAAGAACGCCTGGGCCATTGCCTGCATTTTGATGTAAATAGAGGTAAATTACTATGTTCTTTGTTAAAAATTTGCATATGTTTTGAAGTTTACAATTTTTATTTGAAGTTTAAGTTTTAAAAACAGTTCATCACACATATTTGTGGTTTAATTTCACATTAATTTCCATATTGTATAAATGACTGGAAAAAACTTGAGCCCCTGCCCCTGTATAATCATGTGCACCTCCCTATTCTAGCTCCAAGGTGAATCTTCACTGCTCATGTTCTCCTCAGAAATAGTCACCTCACTCCCCTCAGGTTACTGTACACATGCACCAACTATCTGCTTCAGGTTTGAAATGGAGCTTCATGGTTGTCTTTTGGAGAAATGAACAGTCAAGTTGTGTTTGAAATTTGATTTTTTTCAGGGGCAAAAGGAAGCCTCTGCATTCTTGTCAAATATGTAAACAGCATGTTTTTGCAGGTGCTACAAAACAGACTCTGAGTGTGTGTGTGTGTGTGTGTGTGTGTGTGTGTGTGTGTGTGTGTGTGTGTGTGTGTGTGTGTGTGTATGTTAGCGTGTGTGTATATGTGTGTGTATCCTGCAGTACTCTGTACTCCTGCAGTGGCCAAAAAGACTTTTAAGAATGTGGATTTTTGGGTCATCTTTGGCGCCCCCTAGAACTGCAGTACTCTGTACTCCTGCAGTGGCCAAAATGACTTTTAAGAATGTGGATTTTTGGGTCATCTTTGGCGCCCCCTAGAACGTAAACCGTGGGGTGCAGCGTCATGATTTTTACAACTTTGAATGGGCATGGGGTGTAGATTGCCCTGAGCAAATTTGGTATCGGTGGGACGAAAGCCTTAGGAGGAGATAGCCACATTCCAATGTGTGCGAATCGGCAAAAAATGCAAAATAGCCCTTTAACCGTACATTATACAGATACGCGCTCTTTGACTTTTTCGTAGATCTAATTGAGATACACATGATTGTCAATTTTTGTGTCAATATGACAAAGCGTTCAGGCGTGACACTCAACAATGTGTATTTTTATGTAAGGGGACAAGAAAAAATGGACTTTTTTCTCCTGCCATGGGGGGGCGCTCTTTTGGGGAGTAAAAATTCCTTCACAAATGTGTTGATGGCTGGACATTGCATCATCCTAGAAAACTTGGAGGCCAGTGAGGACAAAAATAAAAAGTTATAAGACTTTTAAATATGTGGATTTTAGTGTTATCTTTGGCGCCCCCTAGAACCTAAACCGTGGGGTGCAGCGTCATGATTTTGATAACTTTTAATGGCCACGGGGTGTAGATTGGCCTGAGCAAATGTGGTGCCGGTGGAACGAAAGCCTTCGGAGGAGTTAGCCAAATTCCAATGTGTGCGGATCGGCAAAAAATGCGAAATAACCCTTTAACCGTAATTTTGACAGATACGGCCGCACTGACTTTTTTGTAGATCTTATTGAGATACATATGTGTGTCAATTTTTGTGTCAATATGACAAAGCGTACAGGCGTGACAGTCAATAGTGTGAATTTTCACCTTAGGGGGCGCTATGGAGCCATTTTGCATTTTATTGTTTGGGCGACTTCAGAATATCGAATTTTTCACCAGGCCCGGTCGTCCTGCCAAATTTCATGAGTTTTCGCCAGTGGGAAGTGGGCCATTTTCCAGTTCAAAGGGGAGGAAAAAGAAGAAAGAAAGAAAGAACTAGGGCCCCGGTGGGGCACTGTCGGGCCCGAGCCGCGTCGCGCCGCCCCCAGCGCGACCGCCTCCCCCTCCCGATCGCGTCACACTCAAGGTCCAAAGATGGTGTGCGCACTTGTCTGTGGTCATTTCCCATTATAATGAATGGGAGGCGCAGTTTCTACCAAAACACTCGCTGCAGACAAACTACATGTCCTATTTGAAAAAAGTCTGGACCATGAGTGAGGGCACAAACACAGCTAGGATATATCCAAATGGCAAGTTGCTCCTCCTTACGGTGTTGCCGGGAGAGCGATGCGATTGAGCCATTGACCGATGGGCATGGTTAACTTGACTTTTTCTCCTGCCTTGGGGGGGGGGGGGGGGGGGGGGATGTGGATTCTTTTAAGAATGTGGATATTTGGGTCATCTTTGGCGCCCCCTAGAACGTAAACCGTGGGGCGCAGCGTCATGATTTCTACAACTTTGAATGGCCATGGGATGTAGATCGGCTTGAGCAAATTTGGTGTTGGTGGGACGAAAGCCTTAGGAGGAGTTAGCCACATTCCAATGTGTGCGAATCGGCAAAAAATGCGAAATAGCCCTTTAACCGTACATTTTACAGATACGTGCCCATTGATATTTTCGTAAATCTTATTGAGATACACGTGTGTGTCAAATTTTGTGTCATTTTGACAAAGCGTATAGGCGTGACAGTCAACAATGTGTTTTTTCACCTTAGGGGACAAGAAAAAATTGACTTTTTTCTCCTGCCATGGGGGGGCGCTCTTTTTCGGGAGTAAAAATTCCTTTACAAATGTGTTGATGGCTGGACATTACATCATCCTAGAGAACTTGGAGGCCAGTGAGGAAAAAAATAAAAAGTTATAAGACTTTTAAGAATGTGGACTTTTTGGTTATCTTTGGCGCCCCCTAGAACCTAAACCGTGGGGTGCAGCGTCATGATTTGTACAACTTTCGATGGCCATGGGGTGTAGATTGGCCTGAGCAAATGTGGTGCCGGTGGAACGAAAGCCTTCGGAGGAGTTAGCGAAATTTCAATGTGTGCGGATCGGCAAAAAATGCGAAATAACCCTTTAACCGTACATTTGACAGATACGCCCGCACTGACTTTTTTGTAGATCTTATTGAGATACATGTGTGTGTCAATTTTTGTGTCAATATGACAAAGCGTACAGGCGTGACAGTCAACAGTGTGAATTTCCACCTTAGGGGGCGCTATGGAGCCATTTTGCATTTTATTGTTTGGGCGACTTCAGAATATCGAATTTTTCACCAGGCCCGGTCGTCCTGCCAAATTTCATGAGTTTTCGCCAGTGGGAAGTGGGCCATTTTCCAGTTTAAAGCGGAGGAAAAATAATAATAATAATAATAACAAAAGAAGAATCCATCAGGAACAAGAGGGCTCTCGCAGCTGCTTAGCAGCTACGCTCGGGCCCTAACTAGGACCCCGTTGGGGCACTGGCGGGCCCGAGCTGTGTCGCGTCCCCCCCCCAACGCGCTGCCTCCCCGTCCCATTTGTGTCCTCTGGCCATCGCCCTCTCTGGTAACGCCCATCACTGCAAAGACCCTTTTCCTTCATCGGCGTTTGCTGTTCTTCCTGCCAGTGCGTGTTGCTTTCACTTACACTTGCCACAGCCAGCCTCGTGAGTGCCTAGCCTATTCGATATCACTGTCACCTACACAGGACAGTCATTACCTTTCTATTAATACTTTGTGTTTTAATTTCACATTAATTTCCATATTGTATAAACGACTGGAAAAAACTTGAGCCCCTGCCCCTGTATAATCATGTGCATGTCTCTGTTCTAGCTCCAAGGTGAATTTTCACTGCTCATGTTCTCCTCAGAAGCACTCACCTCACTCCCCTCAGGTTACTGTACACATGCACCAACTGCCTGCTTCAGGTTTGGATGGAGCTTCATGGTTGTCTTTTGGAGAAATGACCAGTCAAGTTGTGTTTGAAATTTGATTTTTTTTTCAGGGGCAAAAGGAGCCTCTGCATTCTTGTCAAATATGTAAATAGCATGTTTTTGCAGGTGCTAAAAACCAGACTCTGAGTGTGTGTGTGTGTGTGTGTGTGTGTGTGTGTGTGTGTGTGTGTGTGTGTGTGTGCGTGTGTGTGTGTCTGTGTGTGCGTTCAAGTCACATGACATATTTAACCGGATGTAGCTGCAAGACGGAGCCTCATTGACTCTCCGTTTCAACTTATCTCAAAAGTGAGGACCTCAACCTATATACCAGTTTTTAAATTGTGTTGATAGGCCAAATAAAACCAGAGTTATGATAAATTATGTCCGCGATACTTTTTTTCTGCTTATTTTGATCACGTTCAGCGCTCGATCGCGCTGTATGAGACAGGAAAACATAGCATGCAGACATTAGCGACAGGTCTTACAGGCGGAAAAGGCTTGCCAAAAGAAAAAAAAAACACACCACAACATCCCTCCTATTGGTGGAAAACTTCACCACAACAACCAATCCAAAATTATATGGTGACTGATTGACAAGGGGAGGGCGCTTACGTTCTTCCTGCAACATGAGAAGGGAGGGAGGGACTCTCAGCAGGGATGCAGTCTGGGACACGTAGTTGCAAACCTAGCGACTTTGTTGTTAGATTCAATGACTTTTCAGACCCCCTAACGACTTTTTTTTAGAAAGAAAGGGACTTTTATCGACTTCTTCTGGAGTTTAGAGACTCTGACATGAAGCAGGCTTTCCTTACTGAGGAGTTAGCAACGCTGCTAAGGGTGCAGAGCCACACATGCACTCAGAGCTCTGCATGAGAGACTGAAGCTGACAGAGCTGCAGCAGTTAGCAGGTTTCACCCTCAGAGACCACCAGGGGTTCATGTTGAGGCATTTTAATTTTTTTTTTTTTTTGTGCCATAGACACTGTCAGCACAATCTGCAGTTACACTAACAAAAATGCTGCAAAAAACAAAGAATTATGGAAAAATTACACATGGACTGACATAGAGGAGGATCTACACAAGTTTTTTACATCATGTTTTACATCATGCATCATTTACATCATGTTTTTTTGTAGTGGCATAAATAAAAAGTGACATTTGTGAGACTATACAGTGTTTTGTAAATAATTTTACAAAGAACGCCTGGGCCATTGCCTGCATTTTGATGTAAATAGAGGTAAATTACTATGTTCTTTGTTAAAAATTTGCATATGTTTTGAAGTTTACAATTTTTATTTGAAGTTTAAGTTTTAAAAACAGTTCATCACACATATTTGTGGTTTAATTTCACATTAATTTCCATATTGTATAAATGACTGGAAAAAACTTGAGCCCCTGCCCCTGTATAATCATGTGCACATCCCTGTTCTAGCTCCAAGGTGAATCTTCACTGCTCATGTTCTCCTCAGAAATAGTCACCTCACTCCCCTCAGGTTACTGTACACATGCACCAACTATCTGCTTCAGGTTTGAAATGGAGCTTCATGGTTGTCTTTTGGAGAAATGAACAGTCAAGTTGTGTTTGAAATTTGATTTTTTTCAGGGGCAAAAGGAAGCCTCTGCATTCTTGTCAAATATGTAAACAGCATGTTTTTGCAGGTGCTAAAAAACAGACTCTGAGTGTGTGTGTGTGTGTGTGTGTGTGTGTGTGTGTGTGTGTGTGTGTGTGTGTGTGTGTATGTTGGCGTGTGTGTATATGTGTGTGTATCCTGCAGTACTCTGTACTCCTGCAGTGGCCAAAAAGACTTTTAAGAATGTGGATTTTTGGGTCATCTTTGGCGCCCCCTAGAACTGCAGTACTCTGTACTCCTGCAGTGGCCAAAATGACTTTTAAGAATGTGGATTTTTGGGTCATCTTTGGCGCCCCCTAGAACGTAAACCGTGGGGTGCAGCGTCATGATTTTTACAACTTTGAATGGGCATGGGGTGTAGATTGCCCTGAGCAAATTTGGTATCGGTGGGACGAAAGCCTTAGGAGGAGATAGCCACATTCCAATGTGTGCGAATCGGCAAAAAATGCAAAATAGCCCTTTAACCGTACATTATACAGATACGCGCTCTTTGACTTTTTCGTAGATCTTATTGAGATACACGTGATTGTCAATTTTTGTGTCAATATGACAAAGCGTACAGGCGTGACACTCAACAATGTGTATTTTTATGTAAGGGGACAAGAAAAAATTGACTTTTTTCTCCTACCATGGGGGGCGCTCTTTTGGGGAGTAAAAATTCCTTCACAAATGTGTTGATGGCTGGACATTGCATCATCCTAGAAAACTTGGAGGCCAGTGAGGACAAAAATAAAAAGTTATAAAACATTTAAGAATGTGGATTTTAGGGTTGTCTTTGGCGCCCCCTAGAACCTAAACCGTGGGGTGCAGCATCATGATTTGAATAACTTTTAATGGCCATGGGGTGTAGATTGGCCTAAGCAAATGTGGTGCCGGTGGACAGAAAGCCTTCGGAGGAGTTAGCGAAATTCCAATGTGTGCGGATCGGCAAAAAATGCGGAATAACCCTTTAACCGTACATTTGACAGATACGCGCGCATTGACTTTTTCGTAGATCTTATTGAGTTACATGTGTGTGTCAATTTTTGTGTCATTTTGACAAAGCGTAAAGGCGTGACAGTCAACAATGTGTATTTTCACCTTAGGGGACAAGAAAAAATGGAGTTTTTTCTCCTGCCATGGGGGGCGCTCTTTTGGGGAGTAAAAATTCCTTCACAAATGTGTTGATGGCTGGACATTGCATCATCCTAGAAAACTTGGAGGCCAGTGAGGACAAAAATAAAAAGTTATAAGACTTTTAAATATGTGGATTTTAGTGTTATCTTTGGCGCCCCCTAGAACCTAAACCGTGGGGTGCAGCGTCATGATTTGAATAACTTTTAATGGCCACGGGGTGTAGATTGGCCTGAGCAAATGTGGTGCCGGTGGAAAGAAAGCCTTCGGAGGAGTTAGCGAAATTCCAATGTGTGCAGATCTGCAAAAAATGCAAAATAACCCATAAACCGTACATTTGACAGATACGCCCGCACTGACTTTTTTGTAGATCTTATTGAGATACATATGTGTGTCAATTTTTGTGTCAATATGACAAAGCGTACAGGCGTGACAGTCAATAGTGTGAATTTCCACCTTAGGGGGCGCTATGGAGCCATTTTGCATTTTATTGTTTGGGCGACTTCAGAATATCGAATTTTTCACCAGGCCCGGTCGTCCTGCCAAATTTCCTGAGTTTTCGCCAGTGGGAAGTGGGCCATTTTCCAGTTCAAAGGGGAGGAAAAAGAAGAAAGAAAGAAAGAAAGAAACAAAGAACTAGGACCCCGGTGGGGCACTGTCGGGCCCGAGCCGCGTTGCGCCGCCCCCAGCGCGACCGCCTCCCCCTCCCGATCGCGTCACACTCAAGGTCCAAAGATGGTGTGCGCACTTGTCTGTGGTCATTTCCCATTATAATGAATGGGAGGCGCAGTTTCTACCAAAACACACGCTGCAGACAAACTACATGTCCTATTTGAAAAAAGTCTGGACCATGAGTGAGGGCACAAACACAGCTAGGATATATCCAAACGGCAAGTTGCTCCTCGTTACGGTGTTGCCGGGAGAGTGATGCGATTGAGCCATTCAGTGATGGGCAGGAAAAACTTGACTGTTTCTCCTGCCATGGGGGATGGGGGATGGGGGGGGGGATGTGGATTCTTTTAAGAATGTGGATATTTGGGTCATCTTTGGCGCCCCCTAGAACGTAAACCGTGGGGTGCAGCGTCATGATTTTTACAACTTTGAATGGCCATGGGGTGTAGATTGGCCTGAGCAAATTTGGTGTCAGTGGGACGAAAGCCTTAGGAGGAGTTAGCCACATTCCAATGTGTGCGAATCGGCAAAAAATGCAAAATAGCCCTTTAACCGTACATTTTACAGATACGCGCGCATTGACTTTTTCGTAGATCTTATTGAGATACATGTGATTGTCAAATTTTGTGTCAATATGACAAAGCGTACAGGTATGACAGTCAACAATGTGTTTTTTCACCTTATGGGACAAGAAAAAATGGACTTTTTTCTCCTGCCATGGGGGGGCGCTCTTTTGGGGAGTAAAAATTCCTTCACAAATGTGTTGATGGCTGGACATTGCATCATCCTAGAAAACTCGGAGGCCAGTGAGGACAAAAATAAAAAGTTATAAGACTTTTAAATATGTGGATTTTAGGGTTATCTTTGGCGCCCCCTAGAACCTAAACCGTGGGGTGCAGCGTCATGATTTGAATAACTTTTAATGGCCATGGGGTGTAGATTGGCCTGAGCAAATGTGGTGCCGGTGGAATGCCAGCCTTCGGAGGAGTTAGCGAAATTCCAATGTGTGCGTATCGGCAAAAAATGCGGAATAACCCTTTAACCGTACATTTGACAGATACGCGAGTACAGACTTTTTTGTAGATCTTATTGAGATACATGTGTGTGTCAATTTTTGTGTCATTTTGCCAAAGCGTACAGGCGTGCCACTCAACAATGTGTATTTTCACCTTAGGGGACAAGAAAAAATTGACTTTTTTCTCCTGCCATGGGGGGGCGCTCTTTTGGGGAGTAAAAATTCCTTCACAAATGTGTTGATGGCTGGACATTGCATCATCCTAGAAAACTTGGAGGCCAGTGAGGACAAAAATAAAAAGTTATAAGACTTTTAAATATGTGGATTTTAGTGTTATCTTTGGCACCCCCTAGAACCTAAACCGTGGGGTGCAGCGTCATGATTTTGATAACTTTTAATGGCCACGGGGTGTAGATTGGCCTGAGCAAATGTGGTGCCGGTGGAACGAAAGCCTTCGGAGGAGTTAGCGAAATTCCAATGTGTGCGGATCGGCAAAAAATGCGAAATAACCCTTTAACCGTAATTTTGACAGATACGGCCGCACTGACTTTTTTGTAGATCTTATTGAGATACATATGTGTGTCAATTTTTGTGTCAATATGACAAAGCGTACAGGCGTGACAGTCAATAGTGTGAATTTACACCTTAGGGGGCGCTATGGAGCCATTTTGCATTGTATTGTTTGGGCGACTTCAGAATATCAAATTTTTCACCAGGCCCGGTCGTCCTGCCAAATTTCATGAGTTTTCGCCAGTGGGAAGTGGGCCATTTTCCAGTTCAAAGGGGAGGAAAAAGAAGAAAGAAAGAAAGAACTAGGACCCCGTTGGGGCACTGGCGGGCCCGAGCTGTGTCGCGTCCCCCCCCCAACGCGCTGCCTCCCCGTCCCATTTGTGTCCTCTGGCCATCGCCCTCTCTGGTAACGCCCATCACTGCAAAGACCCTTTTCCTTCACACGCGTTTGCTGTTCTTCCTGCCAGTGCGTGTTGCTTTCACTTACACTTGCCACAGCCAGCCTCGTGAGTGCCTAGCCTATTGGATATCACTGTCACCTACACAGGACAGTCATTACCTTTCTATTAATACTTTGTTTTTTAATTTCACATTAATTTCCATATTGTATAAACAACTGGAAAAAACTTGAGCCCCTGCCCCTGTATAATCATGTGCACGTCTCTGTTCTAGCTCTAAGGTGAATCTTCACTGCTCATGTTCTCCTCAGAAGCAGTCACCTCACTCCCCTCAGGTTACTGTACACATGCACCAACTGCCTGCTTCAGGTTTGGATGGAGCTTCATGGTTGTCTTTTGGAGAAATGACCAGTCAAGTTGTGTTTGAAATTTGATTTTTTTCAGGGGCAAAAGGAGCCTCTGCATTCTTGTCAAATATGTAAATAGCATGTTTTTGCAGGTGCTAAAAACCAGACTCTGAGTGTGTGTGTGTGTGTGCGTGTGTGTGTGTCTGTGTGTGCGTTCAAGTCACATGACATATTTAATCGGATGTAGCAGCAAGACGGAGCCTCGTTGACTCTCCGTTTCAACTTATCTCAAAAGTGAGGACCTCAACCTATATACCAGTTTTTAAATTGTGTTGATAGGCCAAATAAAACCAGAGTTATGATAAATTATGTCCGCGATACTTGTTTTCTGCTTATTTTGATCACGTTCGGCGCTCGATCGCGCTGTATGAGACAGGAAAACATAGCATGCAGACATTAGCGACAGGTCTTACAGGCGGAAAAGGCTTGCCAAAGGAAAAAAAAAACACACCACAACATCTCTCCTATTGGTGGAAAACTTCACCACAACAACCAATCCAAAATTATATGGTGACTGATTGACAAGGGGCGGGAACTTACGTTCTTCCTGCAATATGAGAAGGGAGGGAGGGACTCTCAGCAGGGATGCAGTCTGGGACACGTAGTTGCAAACCTAGCGACTTTGTTGTTAGATTCAATGACTTTTCAGACCCCCTAACGACTTTTTTTTAGAAAGAAAGGGACTTTTATCGACTTCTTCTGGAGTTTAGAGACTCTGACATGAAGCAGGCTTTCCTTACTGAGGAGTTAGCAACACTGCTAAGGGTGCAGAGCCACACATGCGCTCCGAGCTCTGCATGGGAGACTGAAGCTGACAGAGCTGCAGCAGTTAGCAGGTTTCACCCTCAGAGACCACCAGGGGTTCATGTTGAGGCATTTTCAGTTTTTTTTTTTTTTTTTTTGCCATAGACACTGTCAGCACAATCTGCAGTTACACTAACAAAAATGCTGCAAAAAACAAAGAATTATGGAAAAATTACACATGGACTAACATAGAGGAGGATCTACACAAGTTTTTTACATCATGTTTTACATCATGCATCATTTACATCATGTTTTTTTGTAGTGGCATAAATAAAAAGTGACATTTGTGAGACTATACAGTGTTTTGTAAATAATTTTACAAAGAACACCTGGGCCATTGCCTGCATTTTGATGTCAATAGAGGTAAATTACTATGTTCTTTGTTAAAAATTTGCATATGTTTTGAAGTTTACAATTTTTATTTGAAGTTTAAGTTTTAAAAACAGTTCATCACACATATTTGTGGTTTTCACAGTAAAAACGTTACTTTTTTCCACTCGGATTTTATGTTTTGTGTGTGAATTTGGGTCCAATGTGTAAATATAGTATGTCAAAATGATAAAATAACTGTAAATTGACACAGGTGAGGTTGTGCTGAAAAAAATGATACCAGGCAAGGCAAGGTAAAAATTTTGTAAGAGGAAATATAAAGGTAAAATCTAAAGTAGTCAAAAACGGCCAATAGTGACTCACAGACTCCACAGACAAGTCCCTTTGGCGCCACTCAGTGGGCAAAACTACTTTGTCTACTGTAATGTATATTTGGGTCATCTTTGGCGCCCCCTAAAACGTAAACCGTGGGGTGCAGCGTCATGATTTTTACAACTTTGAATGGCCATGGAGTGTAGATTGGCCTGAGCAAATTTGGTGTCAGTGGGACGAAGGCCTTAGGAGGAGTTAGCGAAATTCCAATGTGTGCGAATTGGCAAAAAATGCAAAATAGCCCTTTTACCGTACATTATACAGATACGCGCGCATGGACTTTTTCGTAGATCTAATTGAGATACACATGATTGTCAATTTTTGTGTCATTTTGCCAAAGCGTACAGGCGTGACAGTCAACAATGTGTATTTTCACCTTAGGGGACAAGAAAAAATGGACTTTTTTCTCCTGCCATGGGGGGGCGCTCTTTTAGGGAGTAAAAATTCCTTCACAAATGTGTTGATGGCTGGACATTGCATCATCCTAGAAAACTTGGAGGCCAGTGAGGACAAAAATAAAAAGTTAAAAGACTTTTAAAAATGTGGATTTTTGGGTTATCTTTGGCGCCCCCTAGAACGTAAACCGTGGGGTGCAGCGTCATGATTTGAATAACTTTTAATGGCCATGGGGTGTAATTTGGCCTGAGCAAATGTGGTGCCGGTGGAACGAAAGCCTTCGGAGGAGTTAGCGAAATTCCAATGTGTGCGAATCGGCAAAAAATGCGGAATAACCCTTTAACCGTACATTAGACAGATACGCGCGCATGGACTTTTTTGTAGATCTTATTGAGATACATGTGTGTGTCAATTTTTGTGTCATTTTGACAAAGCGTACAGGCGTGACACTCAACAATGTGTATTTTCACCTTAGGGGACAAGAAAAAATGGACTTTTTTCTCCTGCCATGGGGGGGCGCTCTTTTGGGGAGTAAAAATTCCTTCACAAATGTGTTGATGGCTGGACATTGCATCATCCTAGAAAACTTGGAGGCCAGTGAGGGCAAAAATAAAAAGTTATAAGACTTTTAAAAATGTGGATTTTAGGGTTATCTTTGGCGCCCCCTAGAACCTAAACCGTGGGGTGCAGCGTCATCATTTGAATAACTTTTAATGGCCATGGGGTGTAGATTGGCCTGAGCAAATGTGTTGCCGGTGGAACGAAAGCCTTCGGAGGAGTTAGCGAAATTCCAATGTGTGCGGATCGGCAAAAAATGCGAAATAACCCTTTAACCGTACATTTGACAGATACGCCCGCACTGACTTTTTTGTAGATCTTATTGAGATACATGTGTGTGTCAATTTTTGTGTCATTTTGACAAAGCGTACAGGCGTGACAGTCAATAGTGTGAATTTTCACCTTAGGGGGCGCTATGGAGCCATTTTGCATTTTCTTGTTTGGGCGACTTCGGAATATCAAATTTTTCACCAGGCCCGGTCGTCCTGCCAAATTTCATGAGTTTTCGCCAGTGGGAAGTGGGCCATTTTCCAGTTCAAAGGGGAGGAAAAAGAAAAAAGAAACAAAGAAAAACCACTTGGGGAATAATAGGGCTCTCGCAGCTGCTTAGCAGCTACGCTCGGGCCCTAAAAACCCCTTGGGGAATAATAGGGCTCTCGCAGCTGCTTAGCAGCTACGCTCGGGCCCTAAAGAAAGAAAGAAACAAAGAAAAACCACTTGGGGAATAATAGGGCCTACGCCCGGCTGCTCTGCAGCTGGCTCGGGCCCTAAAAAGAAACAAAGAAAAACCACTTGGGGAATAATAGGGCTCTCGCAGCTGCTTAGCAGCTACGCTCGGGCCCTAATTATAACTGCTTTTTATATCTTCTTGGGTCTCAATCGGCCTTGGCAATCAAGCCATCAGTCACGCCATTTCTATATTCTCTTCCTCTTTCCCTCCCTCGGCCCACCACCTGTCACTCTTTGCTTGCATCACACATTTACTAACTCACATACACACACAGAGACACACACATAGACTCATTCCACACAAAGGCCCCCCACTCTGCTCCCCTTGACAAGAACCCCACATTTCAACTTCAAAATGGTCCTTTTTTGTGGAGCTGTCACAGAGTCATCACAGCCCGGTTTAGTCAGAGAAAGAGAACTAGATTGAGAGAGGAGGGGAAATTGACACGGAGAATGAGTGAGAGTGAAAGAGTGAGACAGAAAGAGATGTCACCCACGCTCCCTTGCTCTTTCTGAACAAGTCGCATGGTACCGGCTGACTGACACTGCTCCCACGTTCAACTTAAAAAAAAAAAAAAAACAGACGTCAGACTTTCTGCCTCTTTTCACTTGTTAAAAGGCTTTCAGGGTCTTTGTAGACTTTGGTAAAAGGTGGTAGAAAAGCAGAGGTGTATGCAGCTTCCCAGTGGAGCAAAGAATTCAGGTGTCTGGGGTGCCATTGCTCAACTGAAGTCAAGTCTCGTCAGCATTGAGTCGTGTGAACTAGTTTGAACAGCTACCTTCGGAAGTGAACCGAGTTAAACAATAATAAAGTACAATGTCAGAAAGAAGTTCAGTGTACTTTTGTTACTTTAAAAATACTTTTTACAGTTGTACTACTCCACCAATGTATTTATTGAAAGTAACATTGTTAAGGGGCCACGGTGACTCTTAATGGAAAAAAAGACAAAGAAAAAGTTCCCAAACAAGATTTAGAATTTAATCCATTACTTTCCGCATGGTGGGTTTTAAATGACTAGACCTTAAACTACTGATCTGTAAAATTGGGATTAATCATAAAGCATTGTGCTGCCTTCACTCCCTTAGGAGTGAAATCTCTGTTGGACTCTTAATTAGACAAATGCTCATATCTGGCACCTGGAACAGCTGGTGATGATGGTGGTCTCCAGGAACCTCAGTGACTTACATTTTACACAAGATTTCATTGGACAGGATAAATCAGCCCATTCCTCTGCGGTGTTCATATCCCAAAGATTGATTAGAAAACGTGTGTGGTCTACCGGTTTGATGCTATTACTCCATAGCAGATGATCTTTTTTTGACGATTAAGTAACAGAAAAATGCCTATAAGGCTATAAGGCATCATGGCTATAAGGAGTCAAAATAGCTAAGGGAATCTTCTAAACCCTTCTCTAACCCATCTACAAGACAGTAAAACAGGCCACCAATCAGAAAGGAGTGACTGTGAGAGCTGACTGATGTGTCATTTCATTCAACCCTTGCAGCATTTTGTGAGACAGTCATTGAAAACCAAAACCTACCTCTGTCTTGCTATCATGATTAATTTACGGAAAATTTTTGTCTCCTGGGTTTTTCAAGTGATCAAGTCGAAGGCTATAATCCTCAAGCATGCGGTCTGTGTCTAGGGATGGGTGGTCTTGACTGGTATTTTTTAGCATCAGTGCCACGTAACATCGGTACTTGAGCACTGTTAAACTCAAACACTCCAGGATGCACTCTTGCGTGTCGTCTTGACGGCCGCCCATGCCCCTCCCTGCACTCATTTCTTTCACAGCCTACCTAGCAAGATACCAAAATGGTGACCCAGCGAGCTAAGTCAAAAGTTTGGGTACACTTTTCTAAAAGTACACCAGACTCTGCTGCATGCAACATTTGCCAAAATCAGTTCTCTGCAAGATAACCAACAACATTACCATGAAAGAGTGTGGTGTCTTCAATTGTTTTCAAAAGGCTAGCACCAGCAGCGCAGCTCCCACAGCTCCATCTCTGGGTCTGGCTAGCTCGTCCCCACCACCATCCACCCCCGGTCATGTCGAGATCAGTGCTAGCTAACATTATCAATCTAAATGGTGTAAAAATAATGGCTAATATTAGCTGACCCATAAATACTGTTTTAGCGTTATCTACGGTAGCTAGCTAGCAATCGCTAATGTTCACTTGCTATATTATTAATTTATACTATAATATTATTGACTTTGCCTTGTAGTTAAGCTCTGATAAGCTCCTTTGAAGCGACTCAGAGGTACTAAACAAGAACCTTGCTTCTGTGGCTAGCTAACGTTAATGATGGTAGCTAACCTTAAACACTTTTTTTTTTTTCTGTACGCAGCTACCGGCGCTGCCTCAAACATCACCGCCAGTCATTCAGACAGGAGCATTCATTGTGGTGTTGAACCTCCACCACTTATGGCAGTAACTCAGTTCATTTTGGCCAAGCAGGGAAGATGGCAAAGGAGGACATTGAGGAATGTCACCAGAAAGCTACACAATTTGTGGAAAAAAAGGAGGCAGTCATTCTAAGTCATGGACTGTCCACGGTTTAGGTAAGGTTTTATAAGATGAGGATTCAAAAGTATTCAAAGCTGGTATACAGGCAGGCAATATTATAAATCAAAGCTTCCTCCTGTCTTATGATCACTCCTTTCTGACAAATTCACTTAACCTAATTTCTATAACCAACCCTACATTAGTTCTCTGTCGAAAAACAATACACTGACTTCATGACTTAACCATCCCTATGCTCTTCTGTATGCTTTTGTGTTTCAGTTTCCCAAACCTTTTCGCTGATGAAGACCAAGCGCTGCAAAGGAAGCTCCTCCAAAAGCAACAGGATGGAATGACTGTCCAAGAAAGAGTCCATAAAGAAATTGGACTCTACAAAGAACTTCCTCCCATTCCTACCTCACATGACCCTGTCCACTGGTGGTTTGCTATGAGAGACAGACTCCTCTTACTTGCTCAGCTTTCCTCCTCTTACCTCTGTGTCCAGGCAAGTTCAACTGCATCTGAGAGAGTGTTCTCAACTACCAGTGACACTCTCTGTCCAGAAAGATCCCAGCTGCATGTAGAGAAAGTTGATATGCTTATTTTCTTACAAAAAAAAAGCTGAGTTTGTTGGCAGAAGGCAAGGGAGATCTTATCTACCTCATTTGACTGTTGTTTTTCAGTTGTTGTTCTGTAATGGTCAGTAGAAGGCAGCCGAGCCCCCAGCACCTTTGGTTTTTTTTTTTGCTAATCAGAACAGATTTTCTGGAAACCACTGTCTGCTGCTAGTAAAATGCGGTTTGATAGGAGGTGTAAGACTGTATATAGTATTGACAACTTGGCTCCCCCTTCAGCCACTGAATGACACGATTCAATAAGATACGCTTCATTGTTCCCTTGGGACAATTCTCAACCTTAGTTAATAGTATTTTCTGGGTTTGTGGTCTCAATTAGGAGTCACAACTCTCAACTACTATGGCATCATTTGTACTTTGTAACAATAAAGAAAGATGGATAAGGGCATTGGCTTGTAATTGGTCACTTCTAGGGTAAATTTACGAAGAGTTTCTTTTACTGTTGAAAAAACAATGTTTTCAGTAATCACAGTTTGAATGAGTCAAAGTGGCAGCTTGTTGTAAGAAATTATAGTTTGTTAAAAATCATTTTTTAAAAAATAATAAGATTGAAAAATTTATTATTTTCTCCAAATGTTCCCCTCTACATTCAGTGCTGTAATATAACATGTATATACTGTATGTGAAGTGATAAAATATTCTCTCACGGTTATGTTTTCTGCTCCTGGGTGAATGCAGCCTTTATGAGGAGGTGTAGCTATGTTTAAAATTCAGCACATCTCTCAGACTGTCACCCACACGCATGTTATATATGAGTGTTCTGCACTGAAAACCTGGTTTTAGCCATGAGCCTGCCACTCAGTCATCCACAATTTCATCCATCATACATGTGCTGCTGGGAGCTGAAAACCTGGCTTCGGAGGTCAAACAGGCACACTTACACACACGCATATACGCACACACATACACTTCCATTGGAGACAGACACAGAAAGAGCTTAAGATTGAAGTACCTAAAAATAGACCCACGTTCTAGCTGGTAAATAAGCAAAGAACACCAAAAACCTCCTTTCAGCAGTCAACAAATCCATCACAAATGTGTTTAGGAGGCATGTTAATTACTCCTTTGTGCAAAACTTAACAAGCGGCTTAACTCAGCTCGGTGCCTGATTTATTAAGGCCACTTATGTAAATCAAGTCAGCTGCTATTTTCCTATTAGAGCTCTTGAGGCACAATACAGTTTAGGTACTCAATGCAACAGTTCAGGGCGAGAATAAAAGCTGTTATGAAGCGCCACACAGGAGATAAGAGGACTGTGGTTACACTATCTTTTGTTTCTTATTATTTCATCTTTGGCAAGAGGCTTTATTCTGTATTATGTATTTTATTTTGAGTACATTGTATCGGACTAAGAATATAGTGACACAGCCTTCTATCATACTACTGTTGTGAAATACCAAAGGCAGGGGTATAGTTAACTATTCAGGGTTATCCACGAATAAAGACTTATTTCATAGACTCATAGTTTTTGAGTCAAATGTGTAAAAAACATCAGGAAATGTTTTCACACTGTCTTATGTGCTGAGTGCTGCACCAAAACTCTCAAAGTTACATTTCATAATACACTGGAAGAGCCACTTGATAGGACACCTCCTCTTAATGTTGCTAAGCACAGGCCAGTTTTAACCCTTAAATGACAGGTCTGGGTTTTGAATGAAGAACTAGTTTATGACACTCAACTAGTACCATGGTTGGGGTTAGCCTAACCATTTAAGTGTGTGCCCATTTACAGGGTCTTCAGTCCTTGATACAGTGGTTGCTGGTTTGACTCCCAGTCTCCCCATTTTACCAAAAAGAAAGGATTGTTACTGCTTTTATTCATAGGTTTGAGACCGCTCATCTATATATTCAGTGGCCATAATGTACGAGCTAGACAACAAGTCACTGTAATCAAAGCCCCCATCTATACTGAAACCAGCGCTGCGCAGTAGCGATGCGCGCATTCTGTGGTTCACACACTGAGTGAAAGTCACCTGTACTTGAAAAGCAACATCTCAAATTACATGATCATGTTTTTATTGTATTTTAATTAATTAATTTACTCCATTAAATTACCACAGGGGCTCTTAACCTCCATTTACAATTATTCCAGGTAAATACAAAACATAGTGAAAAGGTTTGGCATGTTTAAGGAAACATTTTTTAATATAACTAGTTTTGAGGTATTAAACACTTGAGTATTAATTCACACAAACCAGTTAGTCACCTGTGGATTCACACTAGAGAGCTCCACACTGGAAACCTGACAATCATTTAACTGCTCTTCCTGTCACACAGTCAGCCTTCTGCTCTGTCTTCTGCCCACAAACTCATCTGTCTTGCACAGATGGTGATATTGATAAATGTACACTTGACTGTAACCCTATACCGCATTTGCATGTGTTATAGCTTGGTTATAGGCACCATGTTAATAAGTTATTTTTACCCGACGCACCAAGTACAGCCTTTTAATAGAAATGTGACATAGAAACTAACACTACAATCCCTGTGCCTTACACCGGAGGAAGCCATTTACAATGAAGCAGTTGGAAGCCACATTAATCTCAAGGTAGGGCATAATGGTAGCCCAGGGTTAATGAGAAAAGAAGCCCTGGACATACCTAAAGAATAATGTAAAAGACCATGGGTGGTCTTTTCATCAAAGATCCTTTATGCAATGGACCCTGATCTAATGTTGTCCCCTGCCAGGTTAAGCATGCGGTATGTCATCTCTCTCTGTCACATCTAACCACCTTAAGCCTCAAACCTATTCTCTTCATTACTCACCAGCACTGATAGTATACGCAACATATACGAATATGATCAATTTATTCAGAGATAACAGCATTAAAGAGAAATGAATAAAACGAAACAGATTCATATAGTTCAACCTGTAGAATAAATGCATTTGTAGTTGGTTTGGTTACCGTGAAAAATAGAGATATGAGGTTATCAGGGGGGGATATGGACAAGAGCTTCAGGCTATAACATCAAAATCTGCAAAACTGAGGTCAGCACATGAAGTTCACCCTTACAAGTATATTCAGTAGTGATTACACACATTTGAACATGAAGTCGACAGCTCCATACGGAAATACTGGTTTTCTGTTATGACCTTTTCAGAAGCACCAGAAACATAACTTGTAAACTAACCACAGGAGACTCATGCTTACATGCTCAAACATGCACACACTCAGCGTTATTCTGCCCAGCTGGTTCTGATGTTTTACGCTGAGGTCTCTTCTTTTGGGTTTCATTGTCCTCTATAACAGCTCAGCTGCAGAAACTAAGTGGCTGTGCAAAAAAGGGGATAATTTATTAGTGGATTATTATGGTAAAGAGGAACCTGTTCAAAGTGAGACAGGAAAATTGGGTCCTTCTCACCATGTTTGGGTTCTGTTCTGAACCCTTGACATTATCCATCACATCATAACCCATCAACCTGTCCATTTAAAAAATAAAGAAATAATGCATCGCCACACCAGTGTAGTTTGACTTAGAGGTCAGAGACAGCTTTATCGTGCTTATTATTAGAAAAACACATTGTTCTGTTTTTCCAGGATGACCCAGCACCAAATGGTGCGCAGTTATTCAAAGATCATTGGGGTCCAGCACTGTTGTCCAGTGGTTCCCAGTTAATGTGACACATTCTTCAGGAGTTCCAGTTTTGTTGCTTTCTCTGTTTCACACACATCCTGCCTGTGTGTGACTATCCCCTTGACCACATGCCAACATGATATCTCTGAGGTCTGGGACAATTTGCACACACCAGAATAAGTGCTTCACTTTTATATCATCTCTGCAGGTAACTCTGACAAAGACCCCACGATTCAGAAAGTGGACTTTTAAAACATGAAAAATTGTGATACATAATGTGTCTACACTTCTTCTACGACGTTTTAGGCTCTGTCCCAACAGGCTCATTATATTCACAATCTTGGCTAGACAGTCAAATCCAGCTCAGATTGTATGAGTCACCCAAAAAAGGCCAACCTGCTCTGTATTTCGTCACCTTACTCAGTCAATCATACATACCAGCAGTTAGTGTGCCACACTTATGTCCTAAAATTTGAAGGTCTGTTGTCAGCGAGGACACACAGAGTTAATCACATTAATTAATCTGACAGGCTTTATCAAAGACATTATGAGCACAGAAGAATAGATGGAAGGAGGAACTAAATGAAGGGAAGAAGTTAGGAGACAAGGCGGAGGGGAGAGAGGCGAGGATGACAGGTTTATAAATTCATCATCACAAGAGGAGAGGGACAGAGGGGACGAGAAGGAGAGGAAATTAAAGAAGGACAAAAGAGAAGAGGAGACAGATGTAATGACAATAGATGTGAATAGGGTTACTTTGTGGTTAATCCCCTATAATTCTACCCCATTTCACAGGCAAACACTTTCCATAGGAGCTTATTATAGGCTTATAAATCTGCAGGGGTCATCTATAATGCTTGCTTTAGTGTACTATATGATTTGTCAAAGCTCCTTGAAGCATTCAATGGATGAAAAGAGATTTTATGAGGTAGAACACATGATTGCAGTTACTCTGCTTCAAAACCGTTGCTGAGGGTGGACAAAATAAAACTGGAAGAGGAGGGAGGACACAGACAACACTGGCAGAAATTGTAAGCACTAATAACTGTTATGGAAGGAGCTCTGTTATCGTCAACCATGGAAAAACATATTTTAGACTTTAGATTTCACCCTCTCTGTTTACAAAAAAAAAAAAAAAAACGCGTGCACACCACAACGTTTTTAGAGAAGTTTTCGTTTACACTAACCAGTGTATATTTGCCGACATCCGGAAATTTTCACACCACACCTCCGGCAGAACCACTTATTTTTTAGAAGTTCTCCCACCAGACAGCAGTGCGCCCAGTCCCAAAACCGGCGAGGCTGGCAGAGACCTGGACGCACTCTATGGTTGGAGGGAGAAGTTGCTGCAACATTGCTGACCTTTGAGCACTCAGTCGTCTCTGCTCCTCCACATAGTACAGCACTTGTATTTCAAATGCAAACAAATACAAAGGGATTGCACCAGCATAAATGCAACTGCTATTTAACAACACATCGTGTTTAACCCAGTTTCTGGCACACAATTTGCTGTCGGCTACGCAAATCTCAGCTTTTTTCTGTTTACATGCAAAAGTGCAAACAGAGTTTTCCAAAATCTTCACTGTGGCCAGAGTTTTTAAAAAAGCATTGTTTTCAGGGGCAAATTCTCCGTTTGCGTCTAATCGAAGGGTGCAAATGATGGTTAATATCTTCGTTTTTAAAAATAACCAGGTATGCATAAACGAGGCCTCGGTCTAAAGCTCATCAGTCTGTCTCAGTTTTTGTATTTTCATCACATTTAATATTAGACAACCTAGACAGGCCACCCAAGTATATTTGTAAATATTTTAGGGTATTTTTCATCGTAATGAAATTGCCTGCTGAAAGAGTAAGTCCATCATCCCACCTGCTTTGTGCCCCTTGTGTATGTCTTGCAAACAGCATCTCATACACTCTGTAGGTAATCAGATAGGGAGCAAGAGAGGAAGTTACATCCTTCAGTAGCCTGTGTCCTACCTGTGAATGCAATGATTGAGGTCACTGTCCCATGTTACATATAAACCTGTTCATAACACTGGTTTGTCATTCTTATACAGCTATTTGCTTTTAATGTTTTTCTGCACTCGCACTCGTAGTTTTGGGTCTCGTCCACACACGGATAACATGCTGTTGTAAAACAGTACATCCAGTGAACCCTTCAAAACATAAATTTAACAAAAGCTGAAAGGAAAGATAAGGGAACTTACTCAAACAAAAACCAAAAAGTCCAACAGGAGAAACCATGGAGAGCACAAGGTGGTTTCACAAAGATGCAGGCAGGTTTGACACAGAGCACAGAAACTCAGAGTCTGAACACATACTGGCTAATGAGCGAACAGACACAGGCAAGACAAGACGGCACAGGTGAAGACAGGAAGGGCAGAGCACACATTCAGAGAGGTGGGAAAACACAGGAAATCAAGCTAGACTGGATATGCTGGGAGAAAACTTGTCGACTGAATGTTGGAACATGACCACGTTAAAACACAAAGGCAAAAGGAGCACAAAGTTCATGATAAAATAACTCAGCAAGACACACAGCTAGCCAGCGAGCAAGTGGGTGGGCGGAGTCTTGTGATTTGCTCACAGCAAATGAAGGACATGTAATAATCAGACTGTGAACAAAAGGAATAACTTCAGAACGACTTGAGGCAGGCAGAGGAGGGAGGGGTGTAGTGTCGTTCACGAACTGCTGAGTACCGGTTCGTTCACTGTGAGGATAAATGTAGGCTACAATAAAACAATGCATTATAGTGCCTTTACATTAACACACGTCTATAAACTTTCCTGCAAGAAGGATTTAATTTCAGCCAATTTAAAGCAATAGGCTATTTGATATATTTTAAAGTATCAGAATCCCCGCTACAGCTACGATGTTTATTTTTAATCTCTCCACATTTCCCACTATAAAAGAACCATGACTCTTGCTCATGTAGCGTTCAACAGCAGCACACAGAGAGGTAAGTTTTTCAGGGCAGGGGAGTTATTCTTCCTTCATGATTTGGCGAATGAAGGACATGTGTCACCCAGTAAATGACGCTGTGTCTTCAGCCGCAGAGGAGGGACGGGGCTTGTTCAATGAACGAACTTGTGCACTGCACCAGCAGGACGGGGCTCTGAAGCACTGACTGATTCGTCGATCTTTTTGACTAATCATTTTAATGAACGGATTCTAAAGATTCAATACAGTCGAAAGAACTGTTCTTCCCATCACTTACTGGCTGTGAAAAATGTAAGAATGCGCTGCAAAAAAAATCTTTAGATTATGCCTACACAAACCTCTAACGCCAATCAAACTTAAGGGGCTCCATTTTTGTGCTTTGCCGGAGACGTGGCGCAGGCGTGGCGCAAGTCAGGTCCGCCGCGCCGACAAGGCATTCCCAAGCACTATTTGTAATTTTGGTGAGCGGTGCAGCCCGGCGTAAGTATCCCTTCTCCCTAAATCAGCTCCTCACAGCGGCGTTAGTCGTAGCGAGGGAGGAGAGAGGGCTCGGAGTGGGTTAAACACAGCCGAGACCTGTATTGACCAATAACAACAGCTCCCCTCCTTGCCTTTAAATCTGCCACTGGCGAGGCGTATTACTATTTTCGTAAAGTAGTCAAAGAGATCAAGAGATGTCTGAAGACAGCAATGCCACACGATGGCGACAGAAGGCAGCACCTCAACAAGTGTTGCTGTAAACGCTGCATTGGGCGTCCTTCACACTCTCTCATATGAGCACAGATGGATTTGGTGTGTGTAATGTTGGACCCACTGGTAAGACAAACACCCTTTTCCACAAATAAAGACACTCACATAAAGTTGCACATATTCAAACCTCGCGTGACAAAGGTGGGTTGTGCGCAGAGATCACAACATAAATTCCAAAAATGGCATTAAAATTGGAACCATCTGTGTGTAAATGACGCATCGCGCTCCATGGCCCGGCTCTTTCTTTCATAGATGTTGGCATATAAAATAAATTTGGCCCACAAAAATCAATATTATAATATTTGTATGTAGGCTTAAAATAAATAACTCATCTGATCATTGTAACAAATCATCTGTTCAGCCGCAGCAGCAGCTGCAGTAGGACAGGGATAGGACACGGAGACGTGTCCAGGTCGAGCTGCGCGTGAAATAAGAGGAAGAGGAAAAAAGAAAAGGAGGGAGACGAATTACATATCTTGTTCACTTCATCATGTGTGTCTATTTACTAGATATTTAATTTAATTTAATGCGGTTTCAGCTGTGTTGATTCAGTCAGGTTGTGTGTCCAAACGCATGCCAAACGCGCACATCAGATCAGATATAGATCAGAATATATCTATATAGATCTAAATGTATGTGCTTACTTATTTATTGCACTGAAATGTGCCTGACACTGTGGAAACCTGCCTGTGAGGCATCGGTGACGTATGCCGATACGCCGCTGGTCTACCAAAATACCACTAGACCAGCTGCGCTCCGCCTGCACTGAAAGCTGACCAGGTTTGAATCGGTGAGCTTCCAGCGCACTTTATACGCCACCGGCGAGCATGAAAATGTCACTGCGCCAGCTGATTCTGTTGACACCTCCCCCTGCCACGCCACCACGCCCAGCTTGGCGGACCTCGGTGCGCCTTAGTCACGAAAATACCAAATTGGCTGTACGCCGGGCTCCGCCAGACGAAAATACCACTGCGTGGGATCCGCCACCCTCTGCCGCCTCACCGGCGGACACAAAACTAGAGCCCATGGTAACAATGTACTGTCTGATGAGCCAGTGGACACCTGAGAAACTGCGAAAGATGTAGTGCAGCTTTAAGCATCATAGCAGATGTTAACATACATAACATCAGCTGCACAAGTTTTATGTTGTTTAGCTTGAAAAGACATGAAATGATAAAAAGCACAAATTCCTCACTGAGACATTGAAAAGGGCCAACCAAAGACTTTTTTTAATCTCCCACTAAAAAAATGTCTTTTGTCAATTTTGCAACCCCCAGAAATGAGAGACTTGACAGTTTTCCATGTTTGTTTGTCTCTTTTCTGTCAGTCACTTTCTGCCGGTTAGTGCCAGCAGCTAAAGCTGGAGTCTCACGCTAATTAAAGGGACGGTTTTCCAATAATGGCGACGGAACTGTGCCATTATGGCCAACAACGCCGAAAGTTTCAACACAGTATTATTGAGAAGACGTCATTAAGTCATTACACAAGGGGGCCAATATAATGAGGACATAACAGGGTCACTGAGGTGTCATCATACACGTGGCAAGAGAGGGTGTCACAGTAATAGGGACATAATGGCGGGGTGTCACAACGAGGTGTCTACATATCGAGGTGTCTCTAATAACCTGCTCAGAGTGTTTACCCCAATTAGACATGAGAGGGACAGACAGGACGGGAAGGGAGAGAGCGAAAGAAAGAAGGAGGGGAGGCATATGTGGGGGGGTGGGGGGGGGAGAGTGGCAGAGTGTAAGAAGAAAGATGAGGAGAAGGAGAGATTGAAGGGGCAGGGTGCAGTGATGAAAATGTGATGACCTGTGTCAAGCCTGTGTGTGTGTGTGTGTGTGTGTGTGTGTGTGTGTGTGTGTGTGTGTGTGTTTGTGGCATGTGTGTGTGAGCACCGGCAGGTCTCTGAATTAATGAGAATCTGAGATGAGAGGAGAGGGGTCATCATGAGCTGCATGCAAATGACACACTCACACACGTGCACATGCACACAAGCAAAAAAAACACAAAAGTGAACAGAAAAATGCAGAAATACACGATTAACGGTAACTCTCATTTCCTCTTACACACACACACACACACACACACACACACACACGCACAGTCTTGTCTGTGGGCATAAAATGCATCAATATGCCAATGTGTGAGTGGCATCGGCTGACACAGCTGCTCTGCCTGCTGTCCTACATGACACATTGTCATTCATATGTGGCTGTCAGTAATATGTGGAGAGCTTTAGTCTGCCGCCCATCACTCAGGAGTCAGCCAGTCACGGAAACAAACAATCCGCAGGGAGAAGCTGACTTCAAGTCCTCCTTACCGGAGAGTTTTCACAAATCAGATTCATGTAAATAAGCTGAGAAAACCAAAGAAAACATGGGAGAAAGGCAGTATTAATAGCTCAGAGGAAACACAAAAACCAGTTATGATTCTGCAGGTCCTGAAAAAGACTTGTCAGTCACTGCTTACCAAAATAAGATGCGAGTTGTCAAATATGAGCTACAGCTGGAGTGTGTGACTGCTAAAACTTGATTCATAATAGGCCCCCATAGATAGACAATAGACCCTATTTTTCTCGCACCATATCAAGAGTTTTTTAACCTTTCTTTATATTTTTAGTTGGAACAGAGATGGTAACGAGAGCAGGGCTCCACAGTGCGACCCTTTAACTGGCTATTAAAATAGATGGGTGTGAATTGTGAAACGTATTTAGGGACCAGGAGAGTACAAACCTTAATTCCAGTGAAGTTGGAACATCATCTAAAACAATAAAAACAGAACCCAATGATTTTAAAATCCTTTGCAACCTATGCTCAGTTGAAAACAAGAAAAGGAAAATACTGTATATATAATGTTCAAACTGATAAGTTGATTGATTTATTTTGCAAATATTTACTTATTTTGAATTTGATGCTGTAACATATTCCCAAAAAGCTGGGATTAGGGTCATGTTTACCTCTGTGTTACATCACCTCTCCTTTGAACAACACTCAGTAAGAGTTTGTGAACTGAAGACGCTAACTGTTGAAGCTTGGAGCTCGGAGGTGAAATTCTTTCTTTCTTGCTTGATGGACCACTACAGTTGTTCAACAGTCTGAGGTCTTCCTTTTGTGCTTCATAATGCTCCACACATTTTCAATTGAGAACAGTTCTGAACTGCAGGCAGGCCAGTCAAGTACCCGCACTCTTTTACTACGAAGTCATGCTGTTGTAACATGTGCAGAATGTGTCTTGGCATTGTCTTGCTGAAATAAGCAGATTCATCCCTGAAAAAGATGTGGCTTGGATAGCAGCATGTTGGTCCATATTCTGTATGTACCTTTCAGCATTAATGGATCCTTCACAAATGTGGCAGTTAGCCATGCAATAGACACCAACACACCCCTATACCGTGGACTTGTTAGACCACAACAGACTTTTCCACTTTCAGTCCATCTAAAATGAGCTCAGGTCCAGAGAAGCCAGCGATGTTTCTGGGTGTTGTAGATATCTGGCTTTGGTTTTGTTTGAAAGAGTTTGAATGAAACCTTAAAGTTCTAGAGATGAACTGTGTGAACTGACAATGGTTTTCTGAAGTGTTTCCGAGCCCACGAGTGACAATCCCTTACAGAATGATGTGGGTTTTATTTATTTTTAAATGCAGTGCCATTCAAAGAATCAAAGGTCACAAGAATTCAATGTTTGTCTTCCGCCTTACGTCTTGTGTGCAGAGACTTTCTTGATGCTCTGAATCTTCTGATAATCGTATGGACTGTGGATAATGAAATCACTGAATTCCTGAAACTGTAAATTGGGAAACATTTTTCTAACGTCTGGCTCACACTGGAAGCGGCGCGCGCGGAACGGAAGCGCCGCGCGCGCGCAGCGCCGGCTCGCGCTTGGCTGTTCACACAGGAAGCGCTTTCTGCTGCGCTCTGACATGCCGGTCAGACATCGACTGAGCCCGGTAGTGCTCGGCCGTTTCCGTCTGCCCTCAGTTTTCCACACTTACGAGCGCTTTAAAAATGGGTAAATCACTATTTATTTACGTTTTTATTTCGTCATACATGAATTAAATATTGACAGCATCTTCAAGTATTGTTTTAAATTATTATATAGGGGTAAACGACGAATAAATTGGGGAGTCTGTTGACTCCGTTGTATGTATAGCCTTGTTAGCTCGAGGCTATTGACTGTATCGTAATAAAGTCCCCCCCCTCTTTGTCTCAATAACATCACTGAATCTCTGCAGCTCTCCCTCCGTGTGTGTGTGTGTGTGTGTGTGTGTGTGTGTGTGTGTGTGTGTGTGTGTGTGTGTGTGTGTTCATCGGTAAAAAAAATAGACCGACAAGCAACACCGTCAATCTTTTTCTAATTTATTGAAATTTACTTTATTTTGAAAATTGACCGGATTCTCTCGCATCTCCTTCCTGACTTCCTGTCTGGTCCGATCTGCTCTGTTGAGCTTTACATCGGCGCGCGCGGCTCGCGCCAAAAGTAGAGAGAAGCGGAGCAGCCGCGCTCCAGAGCGCGAGCCGTTCCGCGCGCGGCGCTTCCGCACGCGTGCTGTGTGAACAGTCTCATAGGTTAACATGGGCGCCGATCTGAAACTCTGTGCGCGGCGCTTCCAGTGTGAACCAGACGTTAGTGTTGTTCAGAAAATGGTAAATGTTAACCCTGTCCTCACTTATAAACTGCTGAGCCTTATGAGGATGCTCCTTTTATTCCCGATCGTGACACTCACCTGTTTTCATTGACCATGTTTGCCTGTGGAATTTTCCAAACAGGTGTTTTTGGAGCAGGTTTCCAGTCTTTAGTTGACCCTGCTATTTTGGAACATGGTGCAGGCATCAAATTCAAAATGAATGAATATTTGCAAAAGAAAAGAAAATAAACTTCAGTAGATAAGTTTTAACATTACTATCTCATCCTTGTAGTGTATTCAGTTGAATATAGGTTAAAAAGGATTCGATAAATAATTGTATTCTGTGATAATTGTACTTCCACATTTTTTCAACGTCCCAACTTCATAGAAATGGGGATTTATTATATGGATCTGAATGGGGCCTTGAACTGGTACATTTAGAATAATTTGCATATCCCGATTTTACGGAGAGGAGACATTTTCATAATGTTTCACATAGGAATCTGGTGCACTGAAAACACATACATGACTTCACAAGGATATGTAGAGGGTGTGTAAAAAGCTGGCATGTTTTTCCCACCTTAAACCAACCTCTGGTTCAATTTCTGTGAGAAAAGCTCTGCTTCCGCCTATGTCTGCTCATCCATTATGTATGACCAATTTATACTGTCAAGATAGAGAAGGGTGGAGTGAGGAAAATGGGGTGGGGGATTTGAAAGAAGAAGAAAATGGCAATTTACTAAGCTCCTCCTTGATAGAGTCAATATCTGTATTAGCAAGGATAATCAGGATAGAGGAATATGACCACATCTGTAGTTCCATTCAGAATGGATGACCTGTCTCTGTCTTTATTTACACTAGAGGAGGAAGAAGAGAACAAATCTTGCCATCCTCTACCCTGAGGCAATGCTAACTCAGAGCATCATTGGCAGGAGTTGGCTGTTATTGCTTACCTCTCTCACTTCACTGCTCAACGGTGTGTATGTGTGTATTCATGTCAGTAATGGCCCTCTCTCCTTGGAGCAGATGCCCTTAACAGATGTCATTCAGCTACCAATGACACTCAATAAGACAATGAAGTATAGCTCACTAAGCCACTCTGTCTATCTATTCAGGATTAATAAAAAATAAAATAAAAGCTTTAAATTGCAGCTCTGGCTGTAGCACTTTTTTATATGGAAGAGACTAAAATGTCTTGTTATGGTGAAAGAGGTGATCTTAGAGTGTTGCTGTGCAGTGCAGAATGTCAAACTGTTTTATTTTATCTTCCCAAGCAAATCTGAGCTCTTGTGAAACACACCTGGATGGATTCTAAAATTATCTTCTAACTCTGGGTTGTTTCATGCCAAGGCCTTTCTTACAAAACAAACTTGGACTCCTATGAAAAAATGAATTAAAAAAAAGAAGAAAAGCCAGAGTTTGAGGTGATTTTTCATCATAGAGAAGACATCATAAAGAAGTTGGGTCATATCCACGTGTCATACCAGGCTTACAAAACATTTTCATTCATTACAGCTTGCTCTCACACAAGAATTTGAAATAACTAGGACCTTTTTGCACTGATTCGCATTGTTAAGACACTGTTAAGGGGCGCTCACACCAAGCACGAGTAAAATCATTGACTCGCTTAATTCATGCGAATCTAGACGCATAAATGATTTGTATTTACTTGCTTCAATCGCACGTCAACAGTAATTTAAACAGTAACTCCTGCCAATTCAGCCAGCGGGATCAAGTGATAGACTGAAGTTTTTTACAATTTACCAGGTAAGCCGACCTCCTCACTCACTTACCTCCAGGCGAGCTCCTTTTTATTCTGGTTTCTGGTAATTGAAAGAAAAGGTATCATATAATTCAGGGCACCCACACATTGACATGACCAGTTTGTCCTCCATTTTAGATACCAGTGAACAACCGTCCATGCTGATTAGTTACTGCGATGCAAATATCTGCTCAAGTCAAGATATTACAGCTCCCGCTCAATTTGCGTCATTCGCGCTGCCAGAGTAGAAGAAGCGTCTAATCGCATCTTTGCATTGACTTAACATGTAATTCAGTCACCTGAATGATTTTATTTGCACATGGTTTGTGGAGACAGTTAAAGTTACAGGGCAGCATTACGGACAACAATTAAAGTGTAAATTCACATTATCGAAGCGAAAAATAAAAATAGCCCAGCATTGAGAACCCATGGCATTATATCTATTTAAGAAAGGTTGTTTTGCTATATCATCATCCTCTGTTGTGTCTATTACTGTTTTCTATGGAAGACTACCTTTACTACTGCTGTGAATTCCTTCTAACAAACATATGACTCCGAAGGCTTATCCCGCTGTGGCTATATGAGCAATAAATCCAGCATCTTTCTGAACCACCAGAGACTTGTATTCCTGTCTGTGTCATTATTAAACCCTGCTGCTGAGACTATTTACTGCTCTCCTACTGTTAAGTCAATGCAGAAGCTGCAGGCTGCCACTGTCAACATGTACATTACAGGTGTAGCGGGGGTGTTTGAGCTGCGCCTTGAGAGGATATAACTAATATTAAAATGCAACACTGTAAAGAATGTGAGCGAATGAGGTATCCTGAACTCAAAACCTTTCTTGTTGTACTAAAGGGGCACAGATACCCGAAAGGTATCCTGCACACCCACACAGGTGTTTTCACCTGCAGTGATTAGACATGTTCTCATGCTGAATTAGGGTACAGATCTGCAGGGAGTCTGCAGAGGCTCCAAAGCTGCTGTTTAAAGACTTTTAAGAATCAAAATAGGTGCCATAAAACTAGCAGAAAAGTTGGCAAGATGTCAGTAAAGCACGGTCAGTAAACACTCACGCAGTCCTGACTGGAGATCTAATCAGCAGAAATAAATGGAGACACCTGCAGGGTGGGTCGGTTTGAAATCTGACATCTGCAGGTCTATGGCAATTTGCATGAATTGGCATTCATCGAAACAAACTGTTATATTTATTCTGTACCTCAGAAAATAACTGAACAGTCAAGCTCAAATGTAAAATTACAAAGCACTGAAAAACTAGATACTATAAAACATAAAGCAAGTGAAACATAATCTTTATAAGACTAAACAAGTATTGCTCAAGAGGAGCTGGAGCAGTTCTTTTTACAAAACAGTGACCCTCTAAACTCAAGCCATTTCTGTGTGATACAAATGTCTCAGTTGTGATCATTTTTTTAGGTTTTGATAGTTTTATTAGGTTTACAAATAGCCCTGAAATAATACGACTATAACATTTCAAAACTAGAGATAAGGAAAAAGGATGGGATTCTGAGTTCCTGTGTTTTTCACTACCAGTGCCATTTAAATCCTAAAAAAACCCTCTTGAGATTTATCTCCCACCACTTTTGTGGGGAACTACAGATCTGCACTGATACCATGGCAGGAAAAAATCCTTAAGGTTCCAAGGAGAAATAATCCTGCAGCTCATTGTTGTAGACAAACCAAGATACTCTTCATTTGCCTGTTCATTGTAATTTCTCCTCTTCAATTCCTCTATCCCTTCTTCTCTGATTTCTCCTCTATCTCCCATCCCCCTTACTCTAGCTTTTTGAGTTACAGAAATTATTACTGGATATCTATTATTGATTAGCAGAAAATTGGCTACAGCATTTTCAATTCCCTTATCCACAAAGATGTAGATGTTTGCCCCCCCCTCCATCCTCACCCAGAGTGCTTTACCTCTCTCTCTGGCTCATATCTCCTCCAGCTGTTTGGACCAGTGATAGCAGTGATGATGACACTCGTATGCCTCTGTTAGTGCACGGCCGTGTGTTGAACAGATAATGGGGTGTCCCTGCAAGCAGTGTGTGTTAGAGCTGTATGTAATAAGGCTTGTGTATTATGAATTATTGAGCACTGTTGATGCTGGCCAGTTCCTCCCTGCCTGCAGGCCATATATTGAAGACGGCATGTTAGCACAGCATTAGCTCACGTCAGCACACTGCTGCACATATTGAACACATAGGGCCTGATCTACCAAGATCCCAAATAAGGGTTACTAAATTGTGTGTGCAAACTAAAAAATTGCACATGCTATTAGTGGGCGTGTTGCAGGTGATCTACTATCACTGTGTGCGCAATTGATAACATGTGCAAAAGTAGTGTGAACGGCCCTCTTTCAATAAGGATTTTGTGTGCGCTATCGGCTGTCACCATGGTGAGTTTGTGAGTGCAGAGTGGCCATAGATGAAAAATTAAGTTTGAAGCCCTGGAGTTGCACCTATCATTTTGGGGAACAGCATAAATGGCAACGCAGGCAAGTTTATTTGTACAGCACCGTTCATACGCAAGGTATTTCAAAGTCTTTTACAGATGCCAGGAAATATATTTGAAATAAAAAAAAAAGATTTAAACAATTTAAAATCAATAAGACAAACAGATACATTTTTTTTGACTGCTCTGTGTTTGACCTAATTTTTTATGAAAACCACAATTTACTGGAAAATCGAAAAAAATCCTAAGCTTTTAGACCCGGAGCTCTGCAGCACTCAGCTCAAGTCTCCAAGAATTGACAGGTCCCCAAGATCTGTCATTTACTGTGTCCTGAGTGTGTGAGAACTGGATATACTTGCACATCCTGGGTGACATAGCATTCAACTTTTGGGACAGCACACCAGAAAAACTGTTCGGGGAGATGCACTAACTACAATGGTGTGCTGAATGATCTAGACGCAGGAAAATGCTGTGTTACAAGGAGTTTTTCAACATGAGATATGGCATTCATCATTTTTGTGACTAGCTCCAAATCAGCCTTTAGGTCACCCAGCAGCTCAAAAAAGCAGAACTATTATTATTACTCTACTATTTTTATTTCTGACAGTGCAAATATATTGACACATGCATGGAAGACTCTCTGTCTCTGTCGTCTATCATTGCACTTTTGCTTTCTTCTTCCCACAATGACTGCAGCCATGTGTGCGTAACACTGTGCTAGTTTGCACGTGCCATTCAAATGTGGTAAATTTGAACACAAAACAGCAACTGTAATTGGTTTCCGGGTTTGATAGATCACATTGCGGGTTCTGAATGATTCTATTTGCATCTGCTCCTCCCGGTATTTTGCGCGTTCTAATGATCTACATACATTCTGCAAATCTATGAAGGCAAGCATGCTAAATCAATTACATGTGCTGTTTTGCCTATTTGACAGACGCAATCCTTGGTGTACCCCGTTAGTAGATAAGCTTTGCATGTATTATCAAGTTTATATGTATTTTTGTACATGCAAACCTTTTGGCCCAAAGTTTGTTGCACATGATTAATAGTTAGAGCTATCACGTGGTATCTGCATTCCCTAAAGTAAACATTTATTAAAGAAAAGTGATCAAATTTCCTCATTAAATCATTTTAGTAAAAGTGCACGAGAGACGTGTCAAAGTAAAGGCAGACTGGATTAAAAACCTGTCATATTTAAGTTAAACTCTCCCACCTTAAATGTTACATTACAGATCATTAGTTCATCTAATTAAAACATTAAAAAGCATCAATTATGATTGGCCTGTCCGCACTTTGAAAATGTCAACTGGCTCACAACTTGCCATAACTAATAAATAATAAGAAAACTGCTTAATAAAAAAAAATACTTCTAACTGTCAGCAGCTACATGGGGTAATAGGGGGTTAGCCATCTGATTGCTAATAGTTCAGTACACTTTAAAAAAAAAAAAAAAAGTGTCCTCATGTTTAGACATAATATTAGCTTTCCATTCTTTCTTCCTTTATTTTCCTTTGTCAAACATGGAAAAAGGATAACTGATTTAATGTCTGAATAAAATAAATCAAGACCTTTATCGAGCTCATGCAGGCCTTCATTTTCCTTTCCTCTGATGTTACTCTGAATAATAGATTATGTGTTCAATACTTGTTACTACCATTGCCAGCATAATTCAGCCATTCTTTTGACTTTTATTCAGAAAATTTTCCACCTGCCTTCTATCCACGTCTAACTGTCTGACTAAATTAGGAGTGATTAAAGGAATGTGGAAAAAGTATCAGGGCTTGCTTTTCATGCTTTGCACAGAGAAATGGAAAAACAATCAACCAGCCCCATGACTTTGTAAAGGGAGAAACAAAAAGTTTTAATGTGAAAAATGGGCCAAAGGTGCTTTGATTTTTTTTATTCAGATGGTAAATAGTTATTCCAATTTTTGTTTTGCAGCTGAAAAGAAAATAACAGATATTTGGTTTCCCATTCACAAATGAAAAACAATGAATCCTTGACCCATGTGTAAGTGAGGAAGGTCACACCGGTGAAGTAAGCAACGTGATGGGCATGGGGTTGAGTAGAAATTGTTTCAAAAGTCAGAGATGACTTTTGGTTTTACAATTTACTTTAAAGGTTCAGTTTGTTGGCACAACCTTTGCTGTCACATAATCATCCCAAAAGCAGTAGCATTGTACACATTCAGCGGGAGATTTGCTGTGATGATGTCGGCGGTGAGCTATGCAATCTTCGTACGCCCATTGGCTGTTTCAAGTGTCAATCATAGAAAACATGAACCCCCTAATAACTTTTAAAAATAGAGCTGTACAGAAAAAAAGAGGACTAGAGCACTAATCAGTCTTACAGTAACTACATGTCAACATCGCAACCAGGGGGGAGAAACATTTATATTCTGTGTAATAAATTTCTAAAGTTTGTCCACAGCTCCATAGGGTTAGCTGGAGGAGGTGGGATTTATGACGTCCATTCTATATACATTCTATGGTTGTACAGCTGCCTTTGACAGCAACTACCTGACTGACCAATCAGAGTGATGAGAAATGAAGTTTGGTGTGCAATTCATGTCACCTGTAAGCTTGTTGGTTTAACTTGTCAAAGCATTTGTTTCATATTTGTTTTTTCAGACATGCAGGTACATGTATATATATATATTTTTTAAATTTCACCACAGATTCATTTAATCAGCTGGGGCGATTTCATCATGTTATAGTTGCCAAGAGCCAATGCTTTCAACCTCTCTAATAAAACTGAGCCACAGCACTTTAGAGTCGCCGTCTTTCATCCTTCTCTCTTTGTCTCTCTTTCTTCCTGCCTGTTGATGGCTGCCTTTGAAGGCACAGAGATAAATACGGACTGAATGTGTTTTGTGCTTCTAAAAGACAAAATGAAAGAGCTGTGGCCGTTGGCTCTGCTGTCAAATGTCCCACTCATCCCCTGTGTTTATGTGTATGTGTTTTTGTGCATTTGTCTTTTTCTGAGCTTGTTACCTTTACTCTACTCAAGGGATATACACAAAACCCTCAAATGGATGAACAACACATTCAAAGGTCCGCCTCAAATAGTTGCTGTTTAAAGACATGGACATACATATTTAAATATGTAGATCTAACCACGTACATATCTCCAGTACATCAGCTGAAACCCACAGGTGTTAGCTAAGCAGGGCACGTAATCTTCCAACACAATACTTTGTAGTTTTTAAATTTGCATGAAAAATGTTGAATGTGAAGATTTATGTCTATGAATGAAGTCAGAAAGCTGCAGGAGGGAAAGGATTCAGAAAAAGCAAAGATAGTGAAATCTTGTGCATTAGGGTGAATGTAATTTTTACACCCACAAAACATTCAAATAATAATACATGTTCTCCTGTTACTGTTAATCAATTCTTTAAAGGGAAGTTCCAGCAGACATTTCAGTCAAACACAGTGAGTTAGACACCCCCTCGAGAGGTGAATGCTGCCGACTGCTTGCTTCTCTAGTTATACCGACTTTAGTAATGATTGCATGATAGTAATACACAGCAGTCTACGTCTCCATGTGCAAACCTCAACCAAAAAGCCACTCTATAGACACAAATAATGTTCAGAACAGCACCTAACTTCATCAACAGTACATAGAGGGTCCCAGCCATAGTACTAGCCATCAAACATTTTTTTAGCTTTGCCTGATTTCTTTAGCAACGAGACCAAACACAACTCACCCACTCTCCTCCAGCAGCCGCTTGTTTGTGGGGGGAGCCCTGACGAGTCGATCACCGAGTGCAGTGGATCATTTCCATGAAGAAATACTCATCATAAGAACCATTTTACACTGCAGACACAGTAGTTCATCTGTCTTAGCATCTCGGTTTTCGTATTTCCATGAAGTAATAATCATAAATGTTCTTCCTTGAGCTGCGTAACTCCGCTGCACTCTGTGATTGACTCATCAGTGCTTCCCCACAAACAAGCGGCTGCTGAAGCAGAGTTGGGTGAGTTGTGTTTGGTCTGTGTTTGGTTCATCATTGGCTGCCAGTGTTTTCTCTGGCGGCTCATGTCCATGTGTTTGGAGGATGGAGCCTTTGAAACAGCACTGAAGGTAAGGGTGTATTTGTCAGTCTGTTGAGTTCAAGTATCAACAAACCTTCCAAACCCCATAACCAACTTTTCAGTTTGAAGTTCACAGTGTTCCAGTCTGAGCTTGAAACTGTTGCAGACCTGTCAGCCAGAATAACAAACCTGCTCCTGCAAGTCTGCAGCAACTAGTAATCATATGCAAGGCTTTATTCTCCAAGCGGCATGCACTGGAGAAATACATTGTTTTCATTTGACATTAAAAAAAAAGACAGAGGGGAAAAGAAGACTGTGCTGGGAAATATACTCTGTTTACTCTTTGCTTCAGGGTGCAGCCTGTATAGGCGACAAGCCTTTGAAACTTTTATTTACATTACACAGAGATAGAGAGAAGTGAAGAGAACCAAGAATCACACAGAAAAGAGGATCTATTTGTGCGTTTCCATCAGACTTGAGGCTTGGTTTTATTCACCTCAGACAGATGAGAAATGAGCAAGATAAATGTGCTCCTATCATTACAGACTGAGCAGCTCAATAAAGTTGGAAGAATGCTAACACCAGTTTATTTCCCCTTTTTCAGGATTTTCGGGTTAATACGGACAAAAGATGAAACAATCACTCATTCAAAAAAAAATTCCCTTTGAGTGAAAGCAGTTATAACAATATGAAGAACTGAGGTAAACAAATCATTTCAGTTTAACAGATACTTCATGTGTGAAGGATCCTTTTTATTACTATTTACTATCAGAATAAAAATACACCACAAAGAGTATGTTTGTTCACCATAAACCTTTGCTGTCATATCAAACTGTTCAATTGTAATCACAGATCATTAGTGTTTACACAGCTTTTCATACTTGGCTCATTATATTAGAAGGCTGCCAGGGTAAGTAGTTAGTCACAATCCAAAGTAAATAATGTCTTAAAGATATTGTAGGATAATGTTCAGCATAATAAGATTCATGGGAGTTATATTTTGAACAAAATGTGACCTGTTGTAATTTTTTAAATTTTTTTAGTACTGACACAAAAACACATTAATATAATGAAGCATCAGCAGAGGCTGTTTAAGAACAGTATATTTGATCCTACCCAACATGAAATGAATGGATATGATAGGGATGAGGCTAGGGCTGCCATCTTCCAAAGAAGTTCTTGGTCGACTAAAACGGCAAGCCCATCTGCGGTGGGGGATGGTGTGGCTCAGTGGAGCGTGGCTCAGTGGGGTGAAAAGATACTGATACCAGCACAAGAAGGCAATTAAACACAACCTAATCTGCCATCTATTTTGGTAAATTCTGCCACACTGCTGATGTCTTTGACATGGATGGTAGAGGAGGACTCACGTGAAAGTTGAAACACTCAAACTAAAAATAAATATTCAGACATTGATTACCGTAGATGCTCTTTAATCTTCCCGTCTCCAGCCTGTCTTCGGTGGGTTGGGCGAATCCAAAAAGGTGAAAACAAGGGGGGTGTTCTGAGACAGACTGTTAGCTGTGAAACAGGGGTGGTCTGAAAACACCCCCATTAGCACTTGGTATGTTCCTCCAGGTGAAATTAACCATAGTCTGTGAATTGAAGTGGAAAAAAATGAGTCCACCAATCAGTATTTTGGCTGACTCAGCACGTATCGACCAAAAAGTCAACTAGGACTTTACAGCCTTAAATGAGGCCAAATCAAAATCTGTTTGAACGGGATAAAACTAAAGTTTGTGGCTTTAAACGTCTGAAACTTCATTAAAAACTTTATATCAACACATTTTTGCACACACTTTTAAAAAGTGAAAATAGTTCTACACTCTGAAGAGTTCTGTGCCACACATCTCTTCCAACAACTTTTTAGTTAGCCTGAATGATGTGCTGAACTTCTTATCAGCCTCTTTTTAATTGAAAACAGACAGAATTCCGTGTTTAATATTAAAACTCCATGTCTACACTACAAGTGAGAGAATATCTATATGTGTAATTGTGACAGCTGCTCCCTTTAGGGCGGGTTGAGGCCTTGTTTCTACCTACTAATCGGCTTTGACAACTAACTGGATGGGTCAGTCAGAGCTGCAGAGTCCAATGACCTCGGTCCCCTAGCCTCCTAACAGATTGTGTCTGACAGTTGTATGGCTCCGTCTCCTCGGCTCTCTGCTGCTCATTAATGTGACCTTTGCACACAAAAATAATATGCTCCAGTCACTTGCTATCTAATTGGATGAATAGACAATGTTTTTGGATGCTTTAACCTTTTCCATTAAGAACCCTAACAGAAATGCTCTCTGTTTTTATGTTATAGTAACAACAAACTGTTGAGACTGCAGACAAACTGATATTTCTGTCTCTGTTATTAGTGTGATACATTAAAAATAAAGCAATGGTTGGTTTGTTTGTCTGGCAGTAAAGACTGAGTTTGCCGTGTGTATTTTTTCATTTTCCAGAATGGTTATCATCACCAAGGGTCCTCTGCTGTTGCTGACCCAGCCAGTGGGCAGGTGGGCATGCTGGCTATGAGAGCAAATTCCAAATGAGCTGCAACATAATCTGAACTGAATTGAAGTTAACTGAGCTCAGCTGGGATACATCAAAATGTTTTTTGTTTTTTTTTTTTATACAGAGTTTTTTGCAATGCAGGAACTAAGTTTGAGCTATATAAAAAGTAGATGGGCCTGTCCTTCATTTTATCACAGGCAGATACATCATATCTTTCAGTGTTTTTAAGCCTCCTCCTTTATTACGTGAAGACTAGACTTATGTTTGACTATGATACAAGCAGATTTCATTAGCTTGTTAATGCTCTTGCACCTTTGTGGTTGCTGTTATCTCTTTTGCCACACTTATTCTGTCCTTCGGCTTTTCAGGCACACACACCTGTCTCTGCCTGCTCCTCTCCCTGCTCTCCTTTATCCTCTCGTGACAGTTTGTCTGTCCTGTGTTGTCACCTTAATAAAGCCACCCCGTTTTTAAGCAAACCACTGTGATTGGTCAGGTATGTCTGACAACGATGGGAAATCTTTTGTAATCAGAGTGGTCCCAGACCCATCGCCCAGCAAAAAGAATATGAGCTTGATAATAGGTCAGGCAACATCAGACTTGACCAGATCGCTTCCCACTTTAAATTCAGTATTAAGAAATAATCCCATTTTACATGTAAAATAGTCATATAAATAAATTAATAATTTATGTAACAATGTTCAAGATAAGGATAAACTCCCTACAAGTTGGTCTCTTAGGCATCAGTTAAAACATTTGTGGCTGGTAAAACATTGTTTAAAAGTAGTGTTGAAATGTTGTATATCAAATCATGTAGGGGTCTCTGGTTTTGTTTTTGGTTTATTGATGTTTCATTATTTTTGGGACCATCATTTTGTTATTGGTGGTTCAGTCAGTGTGTTGAACTGGGTAACTTCTTCAATGTAGGCTCCCACTGATAATCTTTCTAAAATCCAGCCACAAAGCAATGCAACTTTCAGAAAACACATCTGCCATATGGATCTTTAAAAAAAGATGTAGCAACAGAAACATATTTAGCTATTTCAGTCTACATTATCTTGAACACAGCAATTGCCTCACTTTGTTCCTTTACTTTTATTATGTTCCTCAACTGTTTTGCAGATGAATTCATATAACGTGTATAAATAAAAAATATGAATGAAATACAACATTAAGGAGGTTGAGAGCACATGCAGCAGGTGGAATGACTGACTGGTCGACCAATGGGTTATATCCATCATTACATAGCTACTTAATTAATCATATTGCATTTCTGAGAGGAAGGTGGGCTTACTTGCAAAAGAAAAGTTTGATTTTGATGCAGTGTATCCTCAAACGTGTCGGGCATTAGGTTCCATGGTGTCTCCCTCACCCAGCTCTCTTTCTGTTGTTCCCTCCCTTTCTCCATCTTTCTCCATCGTTCTTCCCCCGCTTTCAGGATGATAAATTGATGTCTGAATACATCTCCATATCCCCAACGCCTGCAATGACACCCTATCTCCCCTTGTCTTGTCACAAACACACCCACATGCATGCACAAGGACACACAAACACAGTGCTCGTTATTGGCACATCAGAGCACCCTGATGTGTAACTGCTGACGAGGGGAGTGTACGTGTGTGAGGTGGAACCACTGTCTTTGATCTGTATGTGTTGTTTAAGATGGGACCACAGCGTTGTGTGTGTATGTGTGTGTGTGTTTCTCTCAGGGTCTTCAGTGTGTGATTGGTAATTGATTTTCCAATCTGTGCAGTCACTGGCTTGGTCACAGAGCTGGACACAGCACAAGTCGGCTTCCTGTTAGCATCGACCGCTAATGCTGCTCTGTAAAGTCATCTGGGGGTGGAAAGGACAGAAGGAGAGGGAAATGCTCATTGTTCACACTGCAGATTGACTTTTTAAAGCTGCTGTTATTAGGGCCGACCTTTTGGTGCTTTCACAGGCTTCTGTCTGATTTGAGTTAAGGTTATCAAATTTATAAGAAAGACAAAATTATGCTACACCAACTCCTTCAGGTTCTCAAATGTGAGGTTAAGATGGGTTTTATTTTACCCAAATCATAAAAAAAAACTTTGTAATCCAAAATTACAAGAAGTAGGCCAATACAAGAGATTAACAAAATGATTTTCCTCAAATATATTTGTCTTTTCCTTTTCCTTTGTTTGTGTAATTCCTCACAAAAGTATCTATTCAAAACCCAAAGGGGTAAATTGTAACTGCAGTGTGTTTGCTGCAACCAAATCTTAAATCTTATGGTATGTTTGTGTCAAATTTGCAAAGATGTGGAGACACACGAGGAAGTGTGTGCCTACGTACTCTCAGGGCGATGCCACAGTGTCGCCTCACATCATCATTCTCCTTAGAAAAGTAGAAAGCGGATGTAACTCCTACATGGAGATTAAGAAGGGATAAGTGTGATTAGTTTAGGCTTTGCACTCAATTCTGTTTCTGAGTTAAGCAGATATTTAGGTTATTATATGCCCCTGCAATTACTTTTTGGTTTTGTTTTCAGGCATCTGTTGTTCAATGGCAGCCACTCAACTCTATCAAATTACTCTGTTTGCATCAATAAATCCAACAATATGTAATTTACTTACATTTTGGCCCCAATTTCTCTCATCCTGTCTTTGTATCAATAATGATAGTATCACTTTAAGCCTGGTTGTTTTCTCTTTGATTGTTTTTTTCAGTGCATAAAGAAAGGCAGAAATATGACAGCATAATAGGCAAGTGGTTTATATGATCACATGGTGGGTATGGTTCAGTATTGGGTACTTTGGCCTGTCCCAGTCTTAAAGGAGTTGAAAAAGAAGCATCACAGTGATCCTTGCATTTCCATCCACTTAATAGACTGATATCTATTCAGACTGTGTAACCCCTACTCTAGCTCATTTAGCATGGCAGCATCATTTCCAGCCACTTACTTGAGATCAAGCTGCTCTCTTTTTTTGTTTTGTTTCTGAAGCATTTGAAATATTAAAGGATCAGTTCTAGCTGCAGTTTGAAAGTCTTTGTCTGCTGTCCTTATGCTAATGAAAAACTTTCATGCATGATAATTTGTTTATTGTTCATATTTGTTCTGCACTGTGGGAGACACAGAAAATCACACTGATTATTTCGGGGGTTCTCTGATCCTTCCAAAGAGGTTTTTTTCACATTACCATCTATATTGTCTTTTTTTTTCAAGCTGTCTACAAAGGGTATCACCAAGAACACTGTCCTCCCTGTGAACATTTCATGTTTCATTTTTCGATCTCTTAATTTCCTGCATTAGATTCCTGTACAGTTTCTTGCTGTTATCTGAATTTGGCAGATCTGATTCTCTTGAAAAAATATCTCATTGCATGAGACACAACCAGGAGAAAAAAAAAAAAACTTATCACATCCTAAATGCAGAATAACACTACGATAAACTATTCACTGAGATTAAAATAGATATTTAGAAGATTATCACTTCAAGCACTTTTTTTTAAGTGAGAAGTTGCAGAGACTTGAGTGTTAAACCTCACGCCAGTTAATAAATCCTTTTTGAAAGTAATGAGACGCTCATTACAGTAAAGTTGGGATGCAGCAAAGCAGTAAAAACTTCATTTTTAGATTCAATTTGGGGAAAATGAATTGACGAATGAGAAACACTGAACAAGCTTAGTTTGGTGAGAAAGACACTGAAAGTTGCTAATTTGTGCTAACATCCAGATACAATAATTAAAAAAGGGGCATGCAAACTACTTCTAGATTGTTCTTTTAACTTTGTTTTTATTTTTTTTATTCTCGAACATGTGCGTGCAGCACAAGAAAGTAAACTAAAAAAAAGACAAACATACAAAAAGAATGACAATATTCAAAACAACAATAACAATAATCAAAGAAAAAAAAAAATATATATATACATACAAATAATAATTCACAATCTACAATCGAAATAAAAGCACATCAAGCTATCATTTTATGAGTCAATGTCTTCTTTGAGGAAGTGTCACTTATGTAGCCAGTGGTGTTGGTAAATCATACGTTTGGACAAAATTAGAAATGTAAGTTAATTGTATTATCAGTTCGTAAATACATCAACGATAAGATTATAATCCATTTCTTAATGGATAAAGCCTTGGCCTGGATAAGAGGTCATCAGGTGGTCCCCAACCATCATGGGGTGTTTCGACCCTTAACCACAACACCCTCAAGTTGGCGGGTCCGCAGTGACTGGTCAGGTCACTGCGCCTCTCATTCAGGCTTCCAGCTATTGTCCTCTCTCTTATGCCAGAGCCAACATGAGGCTCTCTCTGCCGCTTCTCCCAGCCTACGAATGGCTGTTTTCCTCAAGTGGCCTCTCAGTCCCACCTTAGTCAGGAGATTCCACACTGACTGTGCTGGAAATCCTCAACATCCTACTTCCACTGTCATCAGCCATGTTGTCCACCCCTTGTCTCGGCAGTCCTGGACAAGCTGCTGGTACTTGGTCTTCTTTCGCTCTGCCGCTTCCTCGCATCCCTCCTCCCACGGGACCGTTAATTCCACCAGGATGATCTTCTTTCCCTCTGGAGACCACATAACTATATCTGGTCTCAGAGTGGTGGACAGTACCGCTTCTGGGAAGTGGAGCTTCCTCCCCAGGTCGACCTCCATCTCCCATCCTTGGGCCGACTGCAGGAGTTTTTGCTTGGTTTGGCCTTGGATGACAGGTCTGTTGCCCTCTTTTACCAAGGCGATGATACTCAGCTGTGGTCTTCTCTTGGCCGGATATTTCTTTCTCCTCTCTTGCTCCAAGATGTCTGCGAGCAGTGCCAACACCTTGTCATGGCGCCACCTATATCTCCCCTGGGTCAATGCTGTTTTGCACCCTGAAAGAATGTGCACCATGGTTCCTTTACTGCCACACAACCCACACAGAGGGTCCTCCCTCATTCCCCACCTGTGCAAATTGACTGGGGTAGGTAAGGTGTCGTACACTGCTCGGAGCAGAAACGAGATCCGAAAAGGCTCCAGCCTCCAGAGTTCACTCCACGTGATGGTCCTCTTGGGAAGGTCCCACCTTGTCCAGGCACCTTGAGATGCGAGCTCGATGGCTTTAGCTCTTCTTCCTTCCTCCTCAAGGTTTCGAACTTCATCCTGGATCATGGTCCTCCTCTCCCTGGGAGTGGACTTTGACCAGTGCTGGAAGTGTGATGTTCCTAAGCCCTGTCTTCCAGTGCAGGGGTTACCAATGGTTTCCTTGGTCCTGAGAGAAGCTTCTGCCTGGTGAACTGCAGTGCTGGCGGCCCACTTCCTGCCGGATCTTGTTCGGCTTCCAGCTTCCCTGATGAGTTGATCTTGGGAGTCCCTATATGTCAGGGAAAGCCTGCACTTGGCGACTTTAAACTCCTCCACAACAGAGGACAGGGGGAGCTGGAGCTGACCCGACCTTATGTAGAGCCCCACAGATGTAAAGCTTGGGGGTATTCCCAACCATCTACGAAGGTGCTTGTTGAATCTTCTCTCCATCCCTTCAACTGATATTAAAGGCACTTCGTACACAGTGAGAAGCCACATAGGTCTTTGGAGCAGGCCATGTTGGTAGATCCAGCACTTATACTTTCCAAGCAGGCCAGACTTGTCAATCCTCTTCAACCACTCTTCCACTTGTTTTTCAGTGCTGGAGATGCTGTTTTTGTCTGTCAAGGAATCATCATACCATTTTCCAAGGCATTTGATAGGGTTTCCCTGGATGTTCGGGATCTCTTCCCCTTGAACAAGAAGCTTGAACCGTTTAGTTGTTTTGCCCTTCTGGATCACCAGACTCCTTGATTTCTTGGGCTTGAAGATCATCTTCGCCCAATGTAAATCAGTAAATGTATGAACTAGTAATATCTATAAGCGTATGTTATGTTGCTCTTCTCAGTTTTACTCAGTGTTATTTTAGACCTCAGTTTTCATAAATATTCCAATAGCGTCGTCATGACATTCTTTGACCACAATAACCGTGAGCTTAAAATCTGACATTGTAACAGCCCTTTTTTGAAGATATGTAAACAGTGATAGGGTGAAGAGGCTATAACCTTATTTTTCTACCAGGCTTCCAACATGTTTTATTCAACTGTTAATTCAACATGGGGCGCAACAGGGATGGACTTATTTACCCAGCCTCAAGCAAACAATTGAGATCAGAAGTTGACAGCTAGTCTTTCTTACTTGGCCCTGCAGTTTCTGGCTTCAATGAGCTTCAATGTTGATGGTAATAATAAAAAAAAGTTCTGTTCTATATGTTTCAAGTATCATATTTTACACCTCTTTATTGTTTATGCACATGAGGTTCAGAATTAATTCACCTTTTCCGGGAGTGCTGCCACTGAGCATTTAAGTCTTAGCTGAATTAAAAACCCTTAATGTACCTCCATATCAAGTGTTAGACAGCAAATCTATCCACTGATCTTTTGTTAATCTTGATAAGATAGCAGAGAATCTACTGAGTGCAACAAACAGAAGCAATGATCCTTTAATTCCATTGAACTTAGCTCTAAATGTGAAAGCTCCAACACACCTGAAACAGAAATATACTGTGCAATATCTCCACGGGCAAATTGGTACGAATGTCAATAGCAAGATGTGAGTCATAGGCGAGATGTAGCGTATGAAAATTATGGATGAGCTGGAGGTGATATACAGTTCATACCCGTCCTGTTTCATGATGCTGTTCTTCTTCCCACATTTGCCTCTCCTTTCAACGTTGTTCTTCCCTCTGCCTCCCCATCACTGTGTCTTCATTATCGTGATCATCGTGTTTATATGGGACCAATAAAGCAATAGTCATGCATGCTACACTGCCGCTGCTGCCTCTGTCAAGCCAGGAGTCGTTTAGCTGAGAGGAGCACTTGACCATTGCTGACATCACACATGCTTCAATTAAAGCAGCCCTACCCCCTTCCCTCCACAAAAAAGGAAAGAAATATAAATAAAACACATCAAACATGACTGCAAAAAAGAAAAAAAAAAATCATTCTTTGACACAGACGTGCTGCCAGTTGCCTGCTTTGATTACATGACAGGCACTCCTGCAGATACATGCTATTATCAGAGTGCTGTCTCTCGACAAGGAGTAGTATTGGTAAAAGGTTTTTCCTCCCACACACTCATAGAGGGGAGGGCAAAGTGTGTGCAAGAGCTCTTGTACCTCTGGAGTCATTATGTGTTTGCGTGCATAATTTATTTATTTATTTATTACAACACAGATGTGTGCGTCTGGGTGTGGGAGGTACTCGCAGACGTTCTGAGAGGCTCAGACACAAAGCAGGAGTAGGTCTTAAAAAAAAAAAAAATACTTGATTTCCATTGACAGCATGGTCTGACGTGTGCAAACAGTATGAAGCAGAAATGTTCAAACACAGCAAACTCTGATTTGCATACAAACATGAACTCCTCAGAATCAGGGCCACACTTTTGGGAAGCTTTTAGGCCTTAAAGACTCTGTTACAAGAGAATGAAAACCTGCAGTTTTAAGTATTACTGAAAGTTCAAATTATTATTAATTATACTCAGAGGGGTCTCTGTGTATTGATATTTCTCCCTTGCTTATTATCCCACTTTTATTTAAAAAAAAAAAAAAAAAAAACATTTCTCATCAGCCGGGGTGTGTTATTGTTTCAGATAAGTTAAATGTGTGTAGAACATACTCGCCTGCCATTTCATGGTTTAAAAGCTTAAAGGGGTGCTGACATTTTCAGAATTCATGCTTTTCTCTGGACAAAGACTATTTGTTATCTCCCCTTTGGTATTAGTCATTGTGCTGCTGAAGAAAATGTTTTAACAACGCAGACTGATGATGGACTCTCTGTGATGTCTGAACTGGTGATTACTCATTTTTGTCTGTAAACTGTCATTTAGTCACAATTAAAGACAAAAATGAGAACAGCCAGATCTGTCTTCTTTTAGAAAACAACAAACCCCATCTGGGTCTCTCTGGTGGAAACCAGCTGAGCCATGTTTGTTTGTTTCTTTCTTTTTTTTTTTTTTTTTCTTTTCCCATTTGGACCTTTGCATGGTCATTTAGCATTATTGTTTCACACAAAGCCATACATATAAGGGGCTGCATAATTAGCTTTATATGGCTCTTGAGTTCGTGGGTGGCTATCGGTTTAAGCATTGTGCCACATAACAGCGGGGCAGATATGTACATGTATATCCTTGAGTTGCAGTGCATAGTGATGAGGTAAAGTGGCCATAGAGCTATGTAATAAAAGCTATGAGAGGTTACTGAACCACAACAAAACTGCCACAAGGACGATTTATTGTGAATGTGTGAATGTATCTCAACATTGAGTGACTGCTTTATTCATAGACACAAAGTTAGCCATCTTCAACACTGAAATAAAAAAGTGTTTCCCTCAGGAACTTGAGGGGAAAAAAATCACAGTCACAGAGACCGTTTGTGCTTTTTCATGAAAGCACAAATAAAGCTTGACAAAGGTTTCAATGTCAGTACATCTTCGTCAATCTGAATGTTAGTACATCTTCTTCAGAGTATGAAGAAGATGTACTGACATGAAGACATGAGTCAATGACTTTATTCACAGATTCAGTGAAAGGCACAAACTGTCCATTGGCTCCTGTGAGATTTTTCTCAACTTAAGAGATGCACCAGACTGACAAACCATGAATATAAAGCCATGGCATAGTGGATCATTCTGGCTGTTTGTACCATTTAAATACCTGGTTGGTACTTGGTTGGTTAGTTTTTAAATTCTGAGCTCAGTTGCCTCTGAGTTAATAAAAAAAAAAGTCTGTTTCAAGCCTTGGATATGATTAAATTCCAGAGGCAAGAGGATTCAGACTAACTTTGGGGACTGAATTAATAAGTAAACACAAGGATAACTGCAAACTTTATCTTCATTTACGAGTTATTTCATTCATTATCTATGCCAACTGGAAAGCCAACAACACAAACAGTAGTTTCCCAGTCATGCAGGTTCAGTTCACTGTTTGAATGTAGTTCTGTATCTTGTTGGTGATGACCCGCGACTCATACATAGTGGTCTTGTGGACTTGTCTGTAACTTAGGGTTCTATGATTCCAAGACACAAAACTGGAAGTCTATGTCTTATTTGTTGGCCTGATCATGATCATACCTACTGTGTTTGTATGCTCTTGATTTTTCCTTTTTCATGTAAGGTTTCTCTACCAAAGACATGTGTATATTGGGTGAGGGAGTATTTAGCCACTTGCTTTTCCCACTCACGAACTCTTATCCACAATCTTTCCTATCTCAGCTTGAAGAGCTCTTTCATTCAGCCATCCTTCAGCTCACACTTGAGTGTGTTATCATCGTTCTAACATTTTACAAGGACTGTCATGCACAACACAAAGGTCAAGTGTCCAAATAAATGAAAGGAAGGGAAGTTTGTTCAAATTTGAGAGAATGACAAAAATGAGAAAATAAAAGTGGTTCAGAGTTTCCCCCTAGCTTTTTTGCTTTGGCTTTTTTGCTTATGTCGACAGCGCTGTTTTCAGGGCTGGGAGAGATGCATAAGCTAGCATCCACAAGAGAATGCATCGCTAAATACCGTCTTTTTAAGGAATGCAGATATTTTCAATTGGGGTGCTGATCATTCAGGACAGTCTGGTGCTCCATGACCATTTTTTAAAAATTGTTGTGTTGGCAGCAAACACGATGGAAAGGAGCCACAACCCCAGGTTGTCGAAATCATCCTGTACAAAACTGGCAGGGTATGAGCGGCAAGCAGTAGCGACCAGAGTACCAGAATCAATAGTGCTGACATGCCGCGCCTCTGAACTACGTGGCGCAGCATGTCAGCACGCATATATATTGTGAGATAGAAACAGGAGCGAGAGGAGAGCCCTGTTTGTTGCAGAGGAGTAGAGAGAGACATTTTTCTTCAAAACATTGAAACCATTGCAAGCTTTGGAGTCTAAAATTGTTCAAATTATATTTTATAAGCCATTTTGATAAAAACAAAGATTAAACATATATAATGATCTACGACTTAAATTTCTGAGTTGGGATCTCGTTGGCAGGGCGAAGGTATCCCTCCCTGCCAAATACACTATAGGGGAAACACTGAACTCATGTGAGGAACTTTCTGTCTGTGATGATTTTGGCGCCCCCTGTGGTAACATAGTGGTAACCCTTATATGTTGCTGATTTTCATTTCATTATTATTATTATTATTATTATTATTATTATTTATTTATTCTACCCCTAACAGCAGGTACAGGCATTACAAACAATATTGAATATATTAACAATCTTGTTTTTAAGATTTCATTTGCTTATTTATGTCAAGAGATGCATCATTATTTGTTTCAGTCTGTTTTAAAAACTCCTCACTGGAGCTTTAAATGAGAGTGTTACAGCAGTTGACGAAGCAAAATTTGCCGTTAGTAATACTATAGTTGCATTTCTACACACTTGACACTAAAAAGGTAGGACTTGGGATAGTATTTGCACCACTCTGCATGAGTGTAATGTGTGTATGTTTGTGTTAAACAACAGTAGGTTTTCATTAAATGAGCTTGTTTCAAGGTTGCTTTCACTACGACAAATGTTGATGTTATACAAAACCAACTCAGTCCGCTGCTGAATTTTGTAATTTTTTCGCATCAATATTGCCCAAACAACCGAATCTGGTCAATTTGAGTAATTGGTTTAAGCCCTTTTTATGCTATTAGAAAGCAGCACAAGTTATTACTGTTATTATGTTGCTTTTTCTTTGACCTGAAGTCCTTTCATAGCTGATCAATGTTAAGACACGCTCGACACAGAGGTGCTGAGACATTCATGGTCATGCTTTCTTTCTCTTTCAAACACCTGTCAACTGCCAAGTAAACTTGTAATTTCCACTGTTTGATATAATAATACTTTAGCAGTCTTAGAAAACAGCATTGATTTTTCTTGGATCAGTGTCAAGGGTTAATTACAGTCTAGGCCATGGGATGATTTTAGACATAGACATTTTTTACAGCAGTACCTAGTGCTTGAACACCATCAAAAAGTGTGTGATGGTGTTAGGCTTCAAAAATGTCAGTGTCCTGTAATCAGCTACAACAAGCAGTGCTATTTTCCTGTTAGAATCATGGCACTAGAATTTAAACACATTAATCAGAGGAAAAAATCTTATATGAAAATACCACCTTTAAAAAAAATCCAGCTCAAATATAGTGCGTAGTAAATGGTACAAAATAAATGTAGATACCTGTTGTAACCAAACTCAGAATTGTCCAAAATAAGTCACTGAGGTGCTTAATGGACTATTACAGATGCATGTTTGGCTTAAGGCAAAAAGTCTCAAAACTTATACCGTTGCCTCTTTATGACCTCCAAAAGCAAATGAGCCCACCAGCAACACTGCAGAAATATTTTTTAGTTGTAGTTGCGAGGGTCAGGTGTTGGACCAGCAGGTGACAGCAGACTGGAGTGACAGCTTTATTTATACGTTTTCCATGACAAGCACTTACACTGAGTGATGCATTTCACTGTTGAAAGACAACATGGTGAGACTTGTGTCTGAAAAGGATTTTACATTTACAGGACTAGAGATAAGGGGCTCTATTTTGGTGCCTCGCCGGAGACGTGCCGCAAGCGCAGCGTCAGTCAGATCCGCCGCACTGACAAGGCGTTCCCAAGCACATTTTGGTATTTTGGTGAGCCGCGCAGCCCGGCGTAAGTATCCCCCCTCCCTAACTCAGCTCCTCCCAGCACCATAAGTCGTAGACTGGGAGGAGAAAGGGCGTATAGTGAGTTTAACACAGCCGAGACCTGTTTTCACCAATCACATAGGCTCCTCTCCTTGCCTTTAAATCCGCCACAGGCGAGGCGTATTACTATTTTCATGAAGTAGTCAAAGAGATCAAGAGATGTAATGCCAGTAATGCCACAAGATGGCGACAGAGGGCAGCTCCTCAACACGTGTCCTCCATACTCTCTCATATGACCACAGATGGATTTAGTGTGCGTAATGTTGGACCCACTGGTAAGACAAACACCCTTTTCCACAAATAAAGACACTCGCATAAAGTTGCTCATATTCAAACCTCACGTGACAAAGGTGGGTTGTGCGCACAGATCACAACATAAACTCCAAAAATGGCATTAAAATCGGAACCATCTGTGCGTAAATGACGCATCGCGCTCCGTGGCCTGGCTCTTTCTTTCATAGATGTTGGCATATAAAATAAATTTGGCCCACAAAACTGAATATTATAATATCCGTATGTCGGCTTAAAGTAGATAACGCATCTGAGCACTGAAACAAATCATCTGTTCAGCCGCAGCAGCAGCAAGACGGACAGAGGACACGGAGACGTGTCCAGGTCGAGCTGTGCGAGAAATAAGAGGAAGAGGAAGAAAGAAAAGGAGGGAGACACATTACATATCTTGTTAACTTCATCATGTGTGTTTATTTACTAGATATTTAATTTAATTTGATGCGGTTTCAGCTGTGTTGATTCGGTCAGGTTGTGTGTCCAAACGCGTGCCAAACGCGCTCATCAGATCAGATATAGATCAGAATATATCGATATAGATCTAAATATATGTGCTGACTCAGATTAATAGTTGATGATGATTATTTATTGCACTGAAATGTGCCTGACACTGTGGAAACCTGCCGGTGAGGCATCAGTGACGTATGTCGATACGCCGCCGGTCTACCAAAATACTACCAGACCAGCTGCGTTCCGCCTTGCGCTGAAAGCTGACCAGGTTTGAATCGGCGAGCTTTCAGCGCACTTTACACGCCGTTGGCGAGCACAAAAATGTCACTGCCCCTGCTGATTCTGTCGACACCTCCCCCTGCCACACCACCACGCCCAGCTTGGCGGATCTCGGCTCGCCTCCGTGCGGCTCATGCCACGAAAATACCAAATTGGCCTTACGCTGGGCTCGGCCAGACGAAAATACAACTGCGCGGGGCTCGCCGCCCTCCGCCGCCTCACCGGCGCGCACGAAAATAGAGCCCAAGAGGTCTTAGTCTAGAGGGAGTGCCAAAACTGACACAAACCAAAAGGTTCTCTCAGCAGCTTTAAGTAGCTGGATTAAGAAAACACACTTCTCAACTAGTCTGGGTTTAAATCTGAATATGTTGCACTTTGAGAAGAAGCAAAGACAATTACATTTAAACTTAACCATGTGGAGTTCAATCTTATGAATCATCAAAAGGTATAAAAAAATTGCAGAGCAAATAGGTGAGGTCTGATATCAATGTTACTTATTCATGTGATTCTGAAAAGATATATCATTTGGTCGCTCAAAAGCACACTGATTTGCACTTAAAAAAGAAATAAGCAAGCTAGTGTTAAATCTGTGGTGGTAGCTGGTGTTTAGTTTGGCCTGTGAGGGTCAAAGCCATAATGCAACTTTCTGTTCTGACAACGACAAAGAACTAACGCAGTCTTGTGGATGGCCGGTAGAATGTGGGTGTGGCTGCAGTATTGTTGCTGATAGGAAGGGGTTACAGAGGCTTGTAGGTTTCTTCAAGAAATTTGATAAATGTTGATGTTTGTATGGTTATGGAGTGCGGATGGTTGTTTTTACAGACAATAATCCACTTAAATTCCTTAACTCTTTAAAATCCCCCCAAATCAAAGGTTGATTCTGTGTCCTTTGGACATAACAACAGAGACAGAATGGGGGAAGGAGGTGGCAGCGTGTCGTGATAGAGCTGGCAGCATGAAATAGAGCTGTGTGCAGATGCATGTCTGAATGTGTGTGTTTGTGGAGCTCCTGCTGTGTGTTAACAAGCTGTGCTTTGGGCCTCTGCAATGATGTAACACGATGTGTAATAACACATGAAAACACCAATATTGTGTCTTTTCAGGATGTAAGTACACAAGCATAATGATTGCCAAACTCTGTACAAGCACTGATGTGGAATTGCTGTGTGTAGGAAGCTTAAGATCGTCTCTAACATTGACATGACTGCATTTGCTTGCAACCTCAGCTTTCATCTATTTATACCGATGACTCTCCCACGACAATTTGACTTCTTGAAGAGGTCCAGTTGCAATTTATAACATACATTTATAATGTCTCTCTGAACACAAACACATACTCTTGAGTCACCCGTCCTGCAGGTCAGGATCACATTTTCCTTTGAAGACAAACTCTGTCTCTAATATTACAGATGCAGCACCCAGTGATGGAAAGCATCACAGAATGGAGGCAAGAGAGGGGGCAAAAAAAAAAAAAGAAGACCATCAAACAAGACTGAAGAATGCATTAAAATAATCTGACTCAGAAGAGAATAGCAGAAGGTGAAATCATAAAATATTTCTCAAATCTCCACTAGATCTTTCAAAATGTCAGTGGGATGCAGACTGGTGAGTGGAAAACTAAAAAATTTAAACTTGTAAAATTCAACTGAGGACCACCGGAGAATTGATCACTTGTGACATTTAATTTTTAACATACTTGCAATGGACTTCCTCTAGTAGCCTACTGTGCAGTTACAGGATTTCAGTGCACATCTATAATCCAAAGACCTGTCTTGCGTTCATTGCTAAGATTGCTTTCTATGTTATTCCTGGAAGCAAATGACACATTTCCCACATTTTGTTTTTCGAGAACTATTCACCTTACTAAGAGTACTTCCTCTCACCGGGCCTGCTCCTTTAAATATGAATGTGAATAAGCTCTGGGCTTGGCTATACTTCTCACCTTGTTGAATGGTGTGTGTGAGGGTGTAAGTGTGTGACAAAGGCCTTCAATTGTCACACTCCAAAGGTACTATTTGTACAAAAAGACATAAATGAGTAAAAACCAAATAAGAGCCTGAATCACACCTTCACAAGAGGATTTAACACACACATACAGTAGGTATGCGCAGCCATTATAGCAGCAGCTTCAGCCCATCTCCTCTCTCTCCTTTTCTACCCACTCCTCATCAGCTCTCTACCTTTACTCTCAATTTTCTCTTCTCTCATCCTCCTCCTTTCTTCCCTCCCCTTTTCTTTTTTTCACTTTTAAATTTATTTTTCACTCTTCTTTCCCCGCTCTCACTTTGGTGCCTTCCCTTCATACATGTTAAGCAGCACATGAATAAGGCATGTCATTATTGCAGTCTGTGTATTTTGCAGCCATGTGTGTGCATGTGCTGCAATGTGTGAGTGTGTTTCCAACATTCACAGGCATGCACATGCTCAAGTGTGCAGTCATGTACACTCTCATCTTTATCAAATGAGATAAAAGCGAGCTCAGTATGACTACAACCTGCTAATAGCTGCAGTGACCTTCATCTGCGCATTAGTTGTGCTGCAAGAATAGGAGCTAGATAAGAGTGCTGTTTTCATACATGTTAACACTCATGTGGGACCTTTATGGATGGCTGTTTTCTTATCTGTGGAATGTATGGACAGCTGCAACGGACTGCCTGGGGTATCTCATGAAGCGTCGGGTGTGCATCCCTGCTTTAAAGGGATCTTCAGTCAAAGACAGAGAGGGTTTGGAAATCATTTGCCATCCTATATTTTTACAGGGGTTGGCAGTGGGATAAGTTAACCTGAGATTGGGCTCCAAAGTAAACCTCTGAAAGCCAAAGAAAAAGTTGAGGCGTTTTAGAGAGCTGAAGACTTCCTTTTTTCATTAAGGTTCCCATTAACATCCCGCAGTCTCCTCCCTGTGCAAGGTTGACTCAAAAATCTGTTTGTTTTTGTCTCTAAACTCACAGACAAACTGCCAGAGTCACAACAGGATTGAGCTACTTTTGTCCCGACTCAACCTGAAAAAAAAAAGTTGATTTACAAAGTAAATAAAAAGGGTTGAATCATCATTTTAACTGACATCTTATTCACAAATGCGTACACTAACAGCCAAATACAGAGAGATACTTTCAGTCCTCAGAGCTTTTTTTAATGCGGGTCATGATTTATTTGTCAAGTTATGATGATAATTCTACATTTGAATGACTGAAATAAATCATCTGTACATATAATCTGATAATATCATTTTATCGTTGTTGTTGTTATGGAGAGTTAAAGCTCTTATGAGGAGTTTTATGATATTTATGAAATAAACTGAAAATCAATTTGGTGCCTTTTTATGATATCCACAGGCAAAGAAAACCATCAAGGACTGTTTTTATATTGTTATTTTTAATGCCTGAAACTGGCGAGAGGGTAGGTGTAAGATATGCAGTTGAAATAAGAGCCCTGTTTACACAATTTCCATCAAAAATCTTCATAATAAATTATGTCATAAAACATTACTTGAGCATTTGTGAGGACAAAACATACCACAGGGGACGCCAGAGTTGGAACAAACAAAGTTCTTTGCAGGGGTTTACTGTACAGTTTAGCTGGTTGGTGTAAGTAACTCAGTCAGAGCACATATAGACCCAACTCTAGTTTGAGGCCGTTACAAACAACACTAATTTAATTATTCGTTTTTATTCATTTATTGTATTTATTCATTAACTTTTTCAAAGAGCCATTTTTACTGCCTTGCTCCAAAGAGAAAAAGTTGTTCTAAACTGTGAAATTTGCAAGAAGGGTCCCTTTCTATTAAGTTTATCAGTTTGAACCCCATTCGGATGAGAGTGCACAGCTCTGTACAGCAGAGAGTGAAAATGTTGACATACAAATATATACCCCACATATACAGTATATAAACTATATTATTGGCAACAAACAGCTCTAATAGACAATAGACACCTTTATGATCCAGTCAATTTTATTTATTTATTTTCATTTTACCATACCAAAACTTTAAACCAAAGTCTACAATAATTGGGGTTTTACTGTCTCTGTAATCCCTCTAAAAACTGTATCAAAAGCTGAACCTTGCTGGTAAAGGTAACACCATCATTTAACAGTACAGTGAAAACATTTGTCTCAGTCAGTCCTCCGAACAACGTACCTTGTGTGAAAAACCTACTTACCCGCACAGATCACACAGAGCTGTGTATATCTGAGCTGCACAGGCAGGTTTTCAAAGAAAAAAATCAGCACCAGAGGCAAAGCGACATTAAAAGGTGGTGCTTAGTCAACAGCTTAATGCAGAAATATTTATACAGACATAATGAAGCAAAGCGATTAAACGTAGGTCAGGATTACCGACGTGTGTTTGTGAGTGTGTGTCTGTGCTCCCAGTACTGTAAATGATGTGAAGCAGCCGCAGCAGTTACTCCCCCAACTTACTTAGCATTGCCTCAGGTGTACATCAAACACACACATACACACACTCTCATTAGTAAGCAACCCACATTTTGAACAGGAACCACCTTCTCCACACCAGCAGAGAATTCTCTTCTTCTCTTTGCCTCTGTCCTGTAATCCATCTTCCTTTCCTCTCCTCTGATATCCTTTGCCAGCTTCCTCTTCTTCTCCCCCACCTTCCTCCCTGTTCTTCTCCTGCTTTCCTTTCTTTTTTCCCATTTTCCCAATTTCTTTGCCTCGTTTCATTTTTGTCCATGGAGTGGAAACAAAAGGAGAGTGACAGGAACCCAGTAGGGACTGCAATGAGTGCAATATCCATTTGAATGTAAAATACTGTTATAAAGGCAAATTCAAATCGGCACAAAATAAACCCACTGAGTGAATCTTTAATGTGCAACAAAACACACACAAAACCATCAAGACATGGTTTTTGATTACTTGGCACCCTGTCCAGTTTGTATATGTACCCCCTGAGGCTAGGCAATGCCTTTGGTAGCATTTTAAAACAGTGTAATGGCCCTTTACTTTGCTGCAACAGACAAAAAATGTAAAGTGTGTTTGTAAATGTGTGTGTCCTCACTGCATTCTCCCTGAAATGTCAGAGCAAAAGCCTTAATGTGCCAATTTACATAAAGGACTGCTGGCGTAATGTTGCATAGAAAACAAATGAACTGATGTTTCGTCCTGTGTGTTTAAGAGCAGTTTCTATATGCCAGTGCTCTCAAATTACCTGACACTGTGAAAGGAAGAGCAAGGAGGTGTCTGACAAGAACAATGAAGACAGGGGGAGACTAGAAAAATTCTTCTACAGCAAGGAAAGAGAGAATTGGCAGAGGGACAAATTTTAAAAGACAGTGTCTGTACCCCTCAGTGCCCTGGCTAGATAGGATTTTGTTTGAAAATGTTAGAAAAAAAACAAAACAAAAACAGATAGAGTAAGCCAGGGAGAAGTGGTGAGAAGCCGATAATGACTGAGGCAGTCAGAAAAGTCCACAACTCTTGACTGACTGTCTTTCTGTATTTGTTCAATGTGTCACTTTTGCCAATCAGGACGACATAGCACCCTTTCAGGGTCGGTTGCTGTCTTGTTTCACCATCTTTTCTCAGCTCTTGCAGACCTTGAGGCAGGTGGCATATCAACGGGTTTAAAATACAGCAACTTCCTTCAAGGCTTCCCACAGATGTCCCATGACTGACAATGAGACTGCTCCTAAGATTTGGGAAACGAGACATTGTTAAAGCTATATTTCACTCTTAAATGTACAGTATGTAAAACAGGGCTGTTATTCTTTAGCAGGCAGATTTTAGGTTGAAAAGCGTCCTTGCTCACCCCTTCAGTCAGTAGAGTGATGGTAGCCTTTGAGGACAAAAAACCCTGTTTGTTTTTCGCTTTAAAATATGTCTATGAATAAAAATTGTTTTGTGTTCAACAACCATTTACTCCTCCTTGTTGTCCAACCAAAGCATTTCCCACAAGCACTCACTCCATATTAAAACATGTTTGCTGGTAGTATGTTCAGTTTGTCATCTTGCACATGGCAGTGCAAGATGACGGCCATAAAGAAAAGGACCCTATCTTTTGCAGAAATAAAAGGGTCATTGTGAGTTACTAAATACAACATGAGTTGTAAACATGTGATAATAAACTAATCAAAGCATACTTATAGATGTTTAATTCCACATCTACTTTGTCTGCTCTGCTAAATGCTGCTGATTATAATACACAGAATCTTTGAGTTCGAACTCAGCAGATTGATAGTTTCAAAAGTGCATGGTGTGAACAGTACTGATTAGTAAAATATTACAATTTGACATTTAAAGATAAATTTATGGACTATTCTTTGACCTGAAAAGTTTAGCAGAGGTCAGGTAACAAAGCAAATAATAGGACAACATCAGTGAAGGAAACCCAAGTGATTAAAAATAACAATAATAAATTGAATTATAATAAATAAATATTTTGCTTCCTCTGCCAAAAACCTCCAAACTAGCAGGGTATAGATTACATTGGGAAAAATTCTAAACCAGGACCTCTGGTGTTCAGGTTACATCCAAAAAGGCGAAGCTGGCTGTACAGTGTCAGTAAAAAGCTCCACTGTGTGGGACTGTGCACATGCATCGCCCTTCTGGCTATTTTAGGAGTACATGCAGCACAAAAACAAACAAACAAAGAAACTAACAAACTAACTAACTAAATGTTATATATATTTTTTTTTTTTTACTTTTCAAATTTCATCTTCAAACTTACTTTTATTTCTCAACTTTTATTTCCAGCAGTGTGGTCTTTGCCTTTATGTTCTTTTATGTTCTTTTATTTTTAATATTTTGCTGTGTTTTTATGTTCCGTGGGTTTCAACTTGTTTTATTTCACTGTGAAGCACTTTCGTTGATCTTGTCATTTCAATAATGTGCTATATAAATAAAGTGGATTGGATTGGCTGTATTCAACTAACATTTGTGAATAGGAAATCCAGCATTTGATACCAAATGGCAGTAATGGATTAGTTAAATACAGATTGACGGTAAAACCTCACACCTTCCTGGAAGATGTTTGTGAGTGGTGCATGTTTGCTCTGGCCTGATGGTTACCTCTCCTCTCCATGTTGGACTCCCCACATCTAAACTTAAACTGCTGTCCAATTGCCTCAACTAAAGTCACGCCTTGCTCAAGACTGTCTTGCTGGCAATTTTAACGTGACAGTATTTCTTGTTCACTTTGTCAGCTCTGCCTTTCTCAGCTGGTTCTGAAACACAGTCCATGTTCTGCTAACAAGCTAACCTTTGTAGTCATTTAACTTCCTCTGCCCCTGAAGACTGACTAAAATATTCCACTCAAACATCTCACACCTGTGTTTCTGCTTTGCACATTTCCACTACTAGGCTTCAACTTTGAGAGGGTGCTGCAGTCAGTCGTCAGTTAGCCTTGACAGCTCAGATTGTAGTGTGCAGGCACACTAGTACACACATTAGCATTTAAATTTAAAAGCCTGGAGGTACCATAGATCAGAGTCTTAGATGTGCCTGTTTTCAGGTTTAGAGGATACTTAACATTTGGAGTAAAGTTTCTCAAGGCCACAAAAGAATTCATGCAAGTTCTAAATGTGGTTTAAGGTATTGAAATTTATTTTGTCAAGACATATCATATCATTTTGAATAAATGGTTCATTGATTCAAGCAGTCTTTAGACATCTCCATTGTCCATATCTTCATAAATTTCTGCATGTCTCTTATGTAAACATATTTTCCAAAATATCCTTATCAGAAAGCACGAAAATAACAGCATCCACAGTGGTTCCAATCTTAACTATCATAACCTAGGTCCCTTTTAAATTATTTAATTATGTCTGGCACCACAGTCAAGTTAGCAGTTATAGGGAGATGCAAAGTTTGGTGAGAGTTTTAAAACAAAACTTCCAAGTTAGCATTTATGTATAATACATTTGAACTTTCTGAGTTTCCTTCTTTATAGACAGACTCCAATGAAAATAATGTTTTCTTGTCTACATGTTCATATGGCATTCTCTAGTGCTACAGGACATATCACGAGAAAATGAAGTGCAAAATTGCATTTCTGAGTATTTCTGGGCTCAAATCACTCTGGATCTCTGACAGAGCCAAACTGCAGCCTCAGACACAGTGAGATTTCATACGTCACATATCCAAGCTCTCCTCCTGGAGCAGACTCGGAGAAATAGAAGAGCGATCGGGGAACAAATGTGTGTGTTAGCGGATTGCAATGCTTGTAAGAAAGCTAACTATGATATTAGCTATCATCATGTCTCCAAAGACATTAGAGAGCTGAATAGCTTCTGTGTTACATGCTACTTCTACCACACCGGCAATGTTGGGCTACAAGCTAGCATGAAGAGGAATGTGCAAAGCAACGCTGTCTCCACTCAAAACTCAGAGGCGAATTGCTAATAAGCTACTAGAGCTCTGCAGAAGAAAAACCCTTAAAAATGACACAGGTAACATGATTTTTGCTAAAAACTTCATGATCACTATCTAAAGACAACTGATAACACTTTAAGAAGTAAAAAAAAAAAAAAAAAACGATCTAAGTGGGACTTAAGGGGACACTTAATAAGCATCCACAATGCTATAACACATTCACATGCTGGTAACATCAAGGCACAAGAAAGTTTGGGTAAAATAAAGTGCTAACCTCCGTTTGTAAACTACAGGACTTGTTCAAACTTGTTGACTCATTAACTTTCAGCTCAGTACTCAGTGGTGTATTTGATCAAAGGGTCTAAGACATAAAACTTTCAGGCTGTGGATATCTCATTCTGATACAACATTGTTGTCTGTGTTAGGCTGTCAAAGATTCTTAGGCAGGCACACAGCAGCCATAAAGAAATATAACATTTATTACTTTAGAGACTTGTGTTTACTGTGATCGTGAGAAAATTGCAAAGACATTGGTACATGATAAAAGTACTGGGCAACCCTCAATCCCAATTGAGGGAGAAAATGGTCCACAAGGGTGTTATCATCTTAACACAATACTTACCTGTGTATATGCACTGTCTGTAATTTTCTCTTCAAAGAGGCAGACATATATGAGAAAACAAACAGAGACGCAGAATCGTTAACAAACTCCCAAGATGCCAAACAGACATGGCTGTAAGGCTGAAGCTGCCTTTGATCTGCCAGATTTTCGGTTGAAAACTGCAACAGAATTTTAACAGATCTGGTTGAAGTTGTCAAACATTTTAAGGGTGTGTGTTTTTGTTTTTTGGTGGACTTTGGGGAGTAAATATAAAAAGAACCTCAAGCTTTATGTTGCCTTATATGCTTCCTGTATGTTATTTTTTAGATGACAAAGACACAGATGAGCACAACTTTTTTTCAGATGCAACCATTTGGAAGATGAAGTTTACTAATATCTGTAACACTGTATGTTCCCGAAAGAGATCATCAACTCTTGAGCTGTGACCCAAAAGTGGGTCACAGCCCTGTTTTCAGTGGGTTTCATTCATCTGACAATTAAATCCTATGCTTTTATTATAAAGGGCCTTATTTATGCAACACACTGTCATCTATTCACACTCCTTAACAGCAGGTGGCAATAATTCTAAATAAAGCTGAGTCACACTTGCTATTTCATGGCTTAGAGGAATACTGGGAGGTTTGTTTTCATAAGATAAATGAGCATGGCGAGGCGTAAATACAGGCTGACTACATGAGATATGGGTTTACTTACACCCAGGACAAAGGAGCACAAAAACCTTGGTGTATTTTGTACAGTGAGGTGTTGGCACATGAAATTATGAAGCTGTCAAAACTGAGGTGGCATTTGGAAACTAAACACCCTTTTTAATGAGAAAACCTGTTGGGTAGTTTAAAAAATGATGACGTCACAAAATGTCTGAACTCTTCTGCTCAAGAACATGCACTCCATGTGTCATACCAGGGGGCACATGGTATTGCTAATTAAAGAAGCCCCATACCATAAAGAGGACCTTATCTTACATGCAGCCAAGGATTTGGTCAGAGAGGTGATGGATCAGTCTGCAGCGGATAAACTGATAAACATACCGCTGTCAAATGACACCATTAGTAGGCAAATTAAAGACATGTTAGATGATTCGCTATGTGGAAGCTAGAGTAAAGGACTATTACTAGCCCACTTTCCAATGGGTTGCTTATTTTAGGCATGATTTAAATTTCAGTTTTTTTTAAAAGATGGTTATCAACAGAGTTGGTCCTTTTGGTTTGATTAAACTTGTGATGAACTCGTGATGTTGGAGTGATTTGAATTCATAATAAATGTCTGAAGATAAATAATCTTAAATTATGAAATTTATGCACTAGTTGAAAGGGGTACCGCCCACCCTTAATGGTGGGAAAATTAAAGAAAAACAAAAGTTTAATTCAGAAATCAAATATTAAGTCAATCTTAAATTAATCAATCTCACATCTGAAGCCAAAATTCTCATTTCAGGGACTCCACTTCTGAAAGAACACTAACAGACAAGAACTTCAAAAAATAATGATCCGTTTATTACAGGATAAATGATGGTTCAACACACATGCAATAAATGATGATAAGATGATGAGGATAAACAATAATAAATGAATAATAAAAGACTCTGAGTCAGGCTAGGAGCACTAAAGTTAATGATAGTGAGTGACTATGCTCTAACATATTAACCTACACTCACTTTGGTGTCAAGATAAATTTGGATGCGGATCTGGATGAATCTAGAATTACTAGAATAAGTGAATATCTGAGTCATGACCAAATGAGAGATGAGATAGCATCAGCCCTGTTTGAAGCTCTGGAGGTTTGCATACTTAAGTGAGACTGGTCCTTGGAGAGGATGGAGCAGGTACCAAAGGTCCAGGGCTACCAGTGGTTCGAGCGGTTCAGCTCAAATGACATCCGAAGTCAGCCAAAAGATGGGCCAGGAGTTGCAGCACTCAGGCCCGAAGCAAAAGCCAGCACCTGTGGATCCTGTGGATGCTCCTTCAATCTCACGCAAAACTCTGGCACAGATGATGACTTTGAGCCTGATGAGTGGCGTTCAGAGGTGACTTTGAAATCCAGCAGATGACTCAAAAAGAGAGGCTCGATGGCCAGTCGAAACTATTTCAAAAGTGGCTTTGCGAAATTAAAGAAAAATCAATTGCTATGCGCACAAAAAGTTGAAGTTTCAAAACTTGAACTAAGATGATGTTAAAGAAAAATTCAACGTGAATGAACACGTGGTGTAAAACTTAGAAGACTAAGAAAAAGTAAGGCTGAGACAAAAAAAGTACATGGTTGAGTAGGGTTTTACCACCAAGGTCTGAAGGTCAGTGTCCTGCTCCTCAGACCTGTCCTTGGGGTCCGTTAAGACGGTAAATCTCAAATGGGAGACCTGGATTGAGGCATGAATGATTATTTAGATGGTCAGCAATGGAGTCAGTTTGAAAGGTAATAAAAACTGTGTCTCTGTTTTCCGAATTGACCAATCATGAAGAGCCAGATGTTTTGGTCAACCTCTGGTCGGGTCAGTTAGGTAACCTGAAAGTGCAAACAAGTCTGGAAAGATTTATATAATCCTGTGTCCTGGGACCAGATAAGGAACCTTTCCTGCAAGGAATGTGTGGATTTCACCCACAGGTTCGTCATGATTGCTACAATGTTGTGCTGTGTCTAAAAGTGACTATCTTCCATTTAAAAGTCTTGGGTTAAGCAGATAGAGGAACTGGAACATCACAAAGGAACTCGGGGACCACAGATCTTATTTCTAAAGCTTCCCTTTTATTAGCAATGGATGTGGCTCTTAGCATAAATGCTGCCATAAGGATGCCTGTCTATCTTCTCAGACATCCCATCAAAACCTAGTGGAAAAAATTGTGCAGAGTGCAGCAGGGTTTGGTCTGCCAGAGACAGTATGGAGGTGCCCTTTTCCCCATGTGTCTGCTAGATTGTGAATAGAGCTTCAACAACCAAACAAACAAAAAAAGATCAATGAGCACAGATGATGGAACTTCAAAACACAAGAGCAAATCAAAGAAAAAGAAAAAAATGCTTTGAGGTTGAGATGAAGACAAACATCAATCATGAGCAAAAACGATGTTCAGATCTCTGCTCTTCTACAGAATAACAACATCTGTATTTAGCACTTTTTGCTGCAGGTGCCAGAGGAGAACAAAACAAACAAACAAACAAAAAAATCCAGATCTTTGTATTTGACAAATAAAAGATTTCAGCAGCTGGGTGATATGCTTGAAAGATGGACAATATGACAGCTACTTAAAGATGAAGCCAAATATGAGTGGCTCCCCCTGCTGACTGACTGCTGTAAAGATGAAAGCAATCTATCAAGGGGACTTTGCCACTTAGTTGAGGTCTGGCCTGTTTCCTTTAAAAAGCAATCAGTGACATAGCATAAAAAAAAAGAAAAATCAAAGTTGAATTGGGACATGAGAGCACCAAGATTAGGATGATAATCTGTGGTAATAGCTCTCTTGTAGAAAACAAACATTTCACAGTCATTTTGTGATGAGCACATTTAGTATAGTACTTTTTTATGAGGATAAATATATGAGATTTGAGTAGAAAACTGCTAAGATTAACCCTCCTTGGCTTTGGTGACCGAGGCAGCCTAAAGTCCTCCTGCATGTTGCCATTTACCACTACATTACAACCCTGTATGGTGTCAAGTGTTACAAGCAAGAATGATTTCAAGGGGATGACCCTAAAAATACACACATGAATGATCTAGAAGAGTTTATGAGACCGCAATTGAGGGTGTTGTCTGAGAAGATGAGAAGATGCTGATGAACACCCTTAAACATTGGAATCCCACTGGATCTGCTCCTATCAAATACGCAAGTATACAGCGCCCACTGGATCCAATTCGCCTCCACCATCACAGGAAAAGCGCTTGCGAGATTACCAATATTTCTTGCGAGACTGGACGAGATCTCATGAGATCTCTAAGTTTCCCCGTGAGACATTGAATGAGATCTGCTGATCAGTGTATATAAACAGTGGTTTATATAAACACCCATATCCCACAACCCTGGCCTCTCCTATTATTAAGTGAAGAACAGGTCAATGTATTAACTTTATATTATTTTAAAAAATTAACCGGGTATTTTATTCTTTTGCTGCATACCACTTCCCCTCGCGAAGCCAGGCGGCGGACAGATTGTGTGGAATCGCACACATGGATTATAATGCTTGCGTATTTGATCCGCCTGCCGTGTCGGAGCACGGATGTTCCAAATCCTGTGGGTTTTTAGCCGTGACACTTTTCTTCCTCTAACATTACATTGTCGATCAAAAAAGTCATGATTAATGTCTTTGCCTTTCATGTGTCAAGGTTTTTCTCTGACACGATGTCTGTTCATTTTATTTTGAAATTTTGTTTCAACTAGTTATTTGTATGTACACTCCATATCTACAAAAGAAACCATTGCAATGTGGACTGTACCAAGAAATCCATGCCATCTCTTGGGATATTTGAATATCTGTAGTCGTTGGCAGACGGAGTTAAATACCTTGACTCTCAGAGCTAACAATGATAGATGTTGCAGTGCCTGCTGGCGGGTATTTTGGCATGATGGGAGGCAATGGAGATCAGTCCAGACATAATCTGGGTCAGAAAAGTTAAACCAGCAGCCAGTTTTCAGCAGTAACATGGCCAAAACGATGTCCTATGTCCTCTCCAATTTAGAGGTATTTATACAGTATTATATACACTCACCGGCCACTTTATTAGGTACACCTGTCCAACTGCTCGTTAACACTTCATTTCTAATCAGCCAATCACATGGCGGCAACTTAGTGCATTTAGGCATGTAGACATGGTCAAGACAATCTCCTGCAGTTCAAACCGAGCATCAGTATGGGGAAGAAAGGTGATTTGAGTGACTTTGAACGTGGCATGGTTGTTGGTGCCAGAAGGGCTGGTCTGAGTATTTCAGAAACTGATGATCTACTGGGATTTTCACGCACAACCATCTCTAGGGTTTACAGAGAATGGTCCGAAAAAGAAAAAATATCCAGTGAGCGGCAGTTCTGTGGGCGGAAATGCCTTGTTGATGCCAGAGGTCAGAGGAGAATGGCCAGACTGGTTCGAGCTGATAGAAAGGCAACAGTGACTCAAATAACCACCCGTTACAACCAAGGTAGGCAGAAGAGCATCTCTGAACACACAATATGTCAAACTTTGAGGCAGATGGGCTACAGCAGCAGAAGACCACGCCGGGTGCCACTCCTTTCAGCTAAGAACAGGAAACTGAGGCTACAATTTGCACAAGCTCATCGAAATTGGACAATAGAAGATTGGAAAAACGTTGCCTGGTCTGATGAGTCTCGATTTCTGCTGCGACATTCGGATGGTAGGGTCAGAATTTGGCGTCAACAACATGAAAGCATGGATCCATCCTGCCTTGTATCAACGGTTCAGGCTGGTGGTGGTGGTGTCATGGTGTGGGGAATATTTTCTTGGCACTCTTTGGGCCCCTTGGTACCAATTGAGCATCGTTGCAACGCCACAGCCTACCTGAGTATTGTTGCTGACCATGTCCATCCCTTTATGACCACAATGTACCCAACTTCTGATGGCTACTTTCAGCAGGATAATGCGCCATGTCATAAAGCTGGAATCATCTCAGACTGGTTTCTTGAACATGACAATGAGTTCACTGTACTCAAATGGCCTCCACAGTCACCAGATCTCAATCCAATAGAGCATCTTTGGGATGTGGTGGAACGGGAGATTCGCATCATGGATGTGCAGCCGACAAATCTGCGGCAACTGTGTGATGCCATCATGTCAATATGGACCAAGCTCTCTGAGGAATGCTTCCAGCACCTTGTTGAATCTATGCCACGAAGAATTGAGGCAGTTCTGAAGGCAAAAGGGGGTCCAACCCGTTACTAGCATGGTGTACCTAATAAAGTGGCCGGTGAGTGTAGTATTTTGTGATGCTGTGACAAAAACAGCATTGCACAATACTGTTTGTTTCAGTGTTTTTTAGGGAAAACACCTTAATATATGTGAATAGCATACTTCCTCTGTTGGCTCTGTGTCTTTAGTCAAGCATCATTTAGCTGTAACAAATCAGTCTCAGCTTGTCTTTGTCCATCTCATTCATTCAGCGAGTAACACCAAACAGTCCAAGGTAATTACAGTAACATTTGGGTTTTGTTTTAAGGTGCAGAATTGGGGTTCTGTGTTGAGTTACTTCTATTGGCAGCCTGTCTCCTCGCCTGCTGAGTCAATCAATCTGGATCTGTCTCGTTGTTAACAAGTCCTGTTTGTGTGCCTGGAAACGATAGAGAGAAATGCTTAGGGAAACAAAGCCCAAAAAGGAGGGGATGAATGGATGTGTGATCAGATATGAAAGAACAAAATGTAAACACTTTAAAAATTTAAAACAAAAAACAAAAAGTGAAAACTGACCGAAGAAACTGACTGAAATTATTGTATTTTAAAAAAGTGAAAACTGACCGAGGAGCAAGTGTTTGTCAGTGTGAGGGGATGCAGGATGTGAAAAATACAGATGCAAAAGATCGAGGTAGAAACTAGCTTTCTTTGCTGTTGTGAATCTGTTGGGTGATTTCTGAAAATATTTAAAATGTGCTTCTGATGTCAACGAGAAATGAGACACACGTTATACAAATCTTGTGTGTCCAACATATTCCTACTCTTAACTCAGTACCACAGCTTTATCTGTGGTCCTAAAATTTAAAACATGGCACAGTCAGCTATTTTTAAGTATCAGTTTAACATGCAATGTTATGCAGGAAAAAAAGTGACTGACTTTCAAAATAAAATTTCTGAAAATTATTCTGGGACAAGCAATAACAAGTAGGTCACTGGTTTTCACACATCATTGTCTAATGGTTGATTGTGGTTTAGGTAAGTTCAGGCTACAAAAATACTTGGTCAGTTTAGGTTAAGGATGTGGTCAAGGTTATAAAAAGTACTGTTTTTACCTATCTGACAAGAAGTTCTTCAATTTGTCTGTAAAAGTAGATCACTAACTCTAACTTTTTTCAGAAGCAGCAGGTCCATCAGTGGTTCTGTACATCAAAATATAACTTGGTTTTGCAATTAATGTCACTAACGGTTGTAATTAGGTTCCTTAACTTATGAAAGACTCCAAAAAATATCAATATTTACAAAAGTTGACATTTGTGTTGGACAGGTATTCAACGGGTGTATCCTCATGCTACCAAATCTAGCTTCAATAACACGTCAAAACAAAACAACACAAAATGTAAGTGGTACTGGGGGATGGACAGATGTTCATATTCTGATTATTGTGTGACTGATTAAGCTAATCTTTGGAGGGGAAGATGAACTGGACTGGAAAAACAGCTGAGTATTACTGGACTCAGCGAAGTGTTATTTTTCTTTGACAGGGACTTAGTTCCCTGCCCTTTGGCATACTCTTTGGGTGCAGTGACAAAAAACCAACAAACAATTTAGTAAAAAGCAACACTGAACGGTGTTTCAAAAATAACTTTATGTCAGGAAAGACATGTCAGCTGGAAAACAGAGAAGACATCAATACACCCCGGTAAAATGACATTGAAAAATAGTTTTGGGGGCCAGCACAGTTCTCAGACAGAGACAGCCATCACACTTTCCTTGCCATGACAGCTCACTGTCAAACACTAGTGAATGCCTTATCTCTCTGTATCACATAGTCACACAAACATATCTGTCACTTGTCCTGTCTCCCACTCCTATAGACACAGAAACACACACTCACACACATGCTTGACAGCCATCAACTTCTTTGTCAGGCAGGTCCATACATAAACGCCTGACACAGTTGCAAGGCTCATCGCACAGACCCACAAAGTCTGTCTCAGTCACAACCCAACACTGACACAACTGACAGCCTTGGTCCATTCTCCACTGTTACACAACAGAACTGGTTGATCACTTAAGGGCCAATCCTAGTTGAGCCAAATGACCTGGATCCCTCAAAAAGCTCAATTTCTTCTCACAAGTAACATTAAAACTGAGGTTGTTTACCTGAGAGAGTCGAGAAGAGGGATTCAAAATCAAATGTGTATGATGGATCACAGACAACTTTCGAGGCGTACAGCCAGTTTGGTATTTTCGTGGACTAAGGCGCACCGAGATAAAGTGCGCTGAAAGCTCGCCGATTCAAACCTGGTCAGCTTTCAGCGCAGGCGAAACGCAGCTGCTCTAGTGGTATTTTGGTAGACCGGTGGCGTATCGGCATATGTCACCGATGCCTCACAGGCAGGTTTCCACAGTGTCAGGCACATTTCAGTGCAATAAATAATCATCAACAACTATTAATCTGAGTCAGCACATGCATTTAGATCTATATAGATATATCCTCGTCTCCAGCGAGGCACGAAAATAGAGCCCAATGAGTTTACTAGGTGGCATTTGGACGTACAGGTCAACAAGTAATAATGGCCACATCATGTGGCATGATAATAAAGGCCTCCGATAGATGAAGTACTTCAGTATACATTCCATTTAAAACTTTCAGAGCCAGACTGCATCAAGCATGTGCTTTCTCCTAGTAGTGATCTCTTTAGTACATAATTTCAAAGAAAAGAAATGGTAAACTCAACATGCAGTTTGCATCTGTCTTTGTGAGAGGTGAGGGTATATTACTCTACCCACAGTATTCAAATTTCTGTGCTGCAGGCCATGAGGGGGAAAGTTGAGCATTAGCCCTGTGAATGAAGCTCCTCTATTTGGCTCACAAAGTAATTGTATGAAAAGTGGTTATACCTGTGGCTGAAAATTTTTGGCCTGTTAAAAAAAACAAGTGCACAAACTAAAAATCAAATGGTGAATTCAAAACAAAATGGGGGAAAAAAATCATGGCTCAGGGTGTAAGGATTTGGACAGAGATTTAACCTGGAAGTGTTATATTTGAAGTAGCTATTCTCTTTCAACTATCTAAACCATTTTAACGGTATCTGTGCAAAACAAGGCAGAAAAAGGTTGCAATATTTCAACAACTTCACAGCCTGGAGCTGTGAAACTTATTTATTGATAGTGTACTGGTGTTTTATTTACACTTGGATTTACACTGAAAGGTTTTTAAACACAGTTTAATCCTATGGTTTATACGACGTTTTATTTCACAGGTTGATTCCTCTGTAATGGGTTTGTTCTCAGAGCCAGATATGACAATGATAGATTTGATCCGTGTAATTTCAGCCCTTCGTTTTCTCCTCACTGCCTGGGGTTTATGGGTAATTGGTTGGTAAATTTTATGATGCAATCAGGGATAGCTGATGCTCAGGCCTCATTAACAGAAGTGACAGAGCTGATCAATATCAAGACACGCGACTAGACAATGTGCAATTTACAGTAAGTGTGGCTTGAAACAGCCAATTTCTGCTGTGAGATGGTCTATATTAAGAGATAGCAAAGACATGATACACATTTTGCACTGAGTTCTCGTGGCAGATGATTGATAACTTACATTTTAGGTCAAATTTGTTGAGCTTTTTTGCTAAATCCCGCTAACTTGGTTCTTGGTTTAAAGGTTAGAAAATTGGTGTCAAAAGCTGTTTGGTATAGTTTACGTCATCACTCCCTTCTAGAGTTTTAAGAAGCAGTAAAGCTTTTCATTTTGGCACTTGACATTTTCAGGGAGAGACACTTCAGACATTGACCCTAATTTGAAATAATTAGCCAGAATGAAACAACCATTTTAGTTTTTCTATTTTTCTTTTTTTTCCCCTCTTTTTCTCCAATCTATTTTCCCTCTCCGTGATGCTTTTATTATCTTGCATTTGTTCTCTTACTCACTTCTTGTAGTTTCTCTTAATTTTTATCATTATTTTCCCTCCCTCCTGTCACGTATACTTGGCTCTTTCGTCTTAAAGATTTGGGTTGGTGCTAAAAAAAGGTGAAAGGACAGGAATGTTGGCCTGGAATCGTTTGGTCTGGTGCCAAGTGAGAAGAAAGCTCAGACAGACCGTCTGCGGTGTTGTGCCAGCAAGAAGTGATGGAGGAGAGGTCGGACAGGTTTACTGTGGCCACTGCTTGGGAATTAAATAAATTTACGGTCTCACTGAATGCTCTGATGTGGCTGATTAACAATAGGACACATTCCATGCAGTCTAAAAGATTAGGAGTTATAGTGGTTGGTGTTTTTTTTGTAAGCATGTCAAATACCTGATCAGTAATCAGAAAAACACCTTTTACTGGAAATTAGCTAGCTGACAACTCATTACATCAGTTTCATTAGCCAGTCCACTGAATCACATTTCTTCTACAGGCAATTTAACTACATTAGCCTACACCATCTGCATGTCAGAGGCATCAGGGTCATTATGTCGCAGCTGTGGATGTATCCCTGGATACAGACAGTACTTGAGTTGAGGGGGGATGGCGTTCCCCTGAAATAAAAATGGTCAAAATCATCCCCCTTCTAAAATGGTTATTCCGACTTTTCATCCCTTGAGCCTTTTTTATCAATGAATGTGGAAATATTACTACTTTTTTAACATTGGAAATATTACCACCATTTCAACATTGAGGGGACTTTGCACATATTTAGTAAAATACTCTGGGCAAAGAGGCATTTGTGGATATGACATTTTCAAATTTTTTGGGGATTACATCAGTAAGTGGCATAACAGCGCTGATGACACAGCTGCAATTTCAGTATCATGGCCAAGCAACATGGACAGCTAGATCTGAGGGATAATGTAATATAATAATTATCTTTGTGCTCTAGCAACAAAGAGTACACAGTTGGTTTCCCACCATGTGCATGGTCATCAGAACAAAATATCCGTCCCAATCAACTTGATTACTGGATACAGACTTACAAATATGCCTTAACATACAGTACTTGTACGTTCAATTTTGTCTAGAATGATTTAGTATTGACAATATTGCACTGAATGCGCCAGAGCAAAACATGAACTCTTACATTTAATGTTCATATAGGGAATTTATTAACTAATTATGAAACGGACTGATAATTATATTGATGGCCTGAGGAGTATAAGCTAAAATGGCAAACAAGACCAGGGAAGTCATACTTGATGGACATAAAGGTCAAACCAACCGGGTCAACTCTCAACTTTCAACAGGGATAAAACTTTCCTTTTGAAAGTGATTTTTTGACACATTGAAAACACTTCACCACCCCCAGTGGATGTGAATGCTCTTTAACTTGGTTAACTTCATTTAAAATTTCTGCTAAAACTAAAAAAAAAAGTTTAACTACACTTAATTAAACGAATGAAAATAAATGTGATGAGTATTTTAACACTTTGGGCCATAGACCAAGCTGCTCAGTTGGATGAGTTGAGAGGGAGAGAGATTAGCTTGCCAGCAGATAATGGAGTTTATAATGATGGCAAACTTCTTTTAAAAGAGCCTATCCAACTTTTTGAAACCATGGATTTATCTCTAGATTGATTTATTGCCTCTCTCCCCATATTTTTCCTTCAAGCCAACAAAATTAATTTGATAGAGAGCATAGTTTTAAAACGAGTGTTATCACAAACACACTTGTTAGATACACTCAATCTGCCTGGACTCACAAATAAAGACCGTCACGTAAGTATGTCTGTGTGAACTCTGACAGCAACAACAAAAACAGTCAGAGCCTTAAATCCAGCAACTTCCCTTCCTGGTCTTTTTTCCCCCTTTTGAATAATTCCTCTCAGCTGGACTCTGAACACTGAGCACAATCTCTTCATCCTCTTCTCCAATTAAACATTTGTGGTCCTGGGCAACAGCTACTGTGTTCCCATTAATTGCAGAGTTGAACTAATTATTATGAAAGAAAAACAAATCCTCCATTATATTTTCTGGGTGCTGGGTGTTTTTAATCTGTTCACATGAAAGAATAATATCTTTGTGGAGTCGAGTAATGAATAAATAAGGATTTGTGTGTGTATGTAGATGTGCGACTTCAGGTTTGTGTGCGAGACAGCATTGTGTAAGTGTTAAAGACTCAATCTGAATGAGTGCACGACGCGAATGAGTGTATAAATCTGTGTGCACTCACTTCTAAACTTGATTATTGCGGTTTTCCTTTTTTTTGTAAACCACATATTTCCCCACAGGCCGCTTCTGAAGCCCATAAAATGATGGTTGTTTTGGGCATTGGGATATGACTGTCTGTGACTGAGAGTGGGCTTGTGCATGCAGGAATATGAATGGGTGTGATTTGGACAGAAGGCTGTGGGAGTTGGTGTCTGGTTATTTTTCATGCTTCATTGCTTTGTTTGTGATGAGGCTGCTAAGCCCTTCTCATGTGTATGCTCACATCTCAGAGACAGGGAAGCACTCTGTTAAATAAGATGATTATTGCTTCGCATGTAAAATGGGGATTCTTGCACTTTATTTACTGGAGGAATGTCCTCTTGCAGTGATCCCTCAAGACGGCCGAGTTTTATCTGTTTACATGAAGTGAGCAATACAAACCTGAACAATATATAGTGTTATCCACCAAATAGCCCCCACACACATATAGATATATAAACACCCTATACAAGTATCCAGTTAGATACACATTAGCACATTGCACAAAGTACAGCAGAAGAGAAACTGTGTATGTGATAGCGGTCTTCATGGGTTATGACTGTTGACCTTTGACCCTAACTCTGATTCTTCGCTGGAGGGGATACAAACAAGCAAGCAAGTGCTTTCTCAAAACCAGTATCTATTAATTCACCCAGTATCGCATTCTTCGCTGGAAAGTATACTCACACTGCTGTTTGCAAAATTTCACCCACAAACTGTTTGTTTGAAGAAGGAGAATGCAAGCAACACCAAAAATACAATTTCAACCTCAGCTGCACTGCAACATCACCTGCACTGGATCAGGAAAGATAAATCATGCTCCATCTGCCATACTAACTCCCTCTCTATATGCTGGGAGGAGGTGCAATAACCCGACAAAGGGAAGGGCTGATCACTGTTCTTATATGACATACATGTGACAGCAAACACACCTGCACCCCTATGAGTCCTCTTATGGCTCTCCAATTCTGAGCCCCTAGTTGACCTCTGAAGGTGATTAATAAATGGACCTTATATAATCAACTCTCTCACTTCGTTTTGCTCATAAAGATTTCATCACCTAGCAAATTTGCCAAGAGTTCCTGTACTAATAAGTCTGTTTTGGCCAGATGGGATAAATAACCCCTTCAGCATCTTGGTTTATCCCAAGGTGGATGATCTTCCTGTTCCAAAGGGGATACCTATTTAAAAGGGGGATACCTAAAGGTACCCTTAATCTCCCAAAAAACCCATTTCCAAACTAACAGCAGGTCTTGATACATGTGTATCTCCTGCTGTAAGCCCAAGCCTCCCACCCTGTGTCAAAGATAGCCAGTGGAGAAAACCAATCTTTGCCACCAGTATCTGCAGCACTTCTTGGTCAGTCTGAACACAAAACTCATCCCCACTGGTGAGTCATCCAAAAAATCAGGTTTAGCTCCCAATTCAGAGCAAAATTCATATTACTGTAGGTGCAGCACCAACCCTCTTGTTGTCACGTTTCATTTCACCCGTAATTATGAACACAACACCAAGACGCTTGAACTCCTCTCTCCTGTGGCAATGACTCACGCTTTCATTATTCTGGCAGAGGACCACGGTCTCTGTTTGGTGCTGACTCTTGTCTCAGCCTCTTGTCACACCCCAGTGGGATAAGAGGTCACAGTCTGAAGAAGCCAACAGAGTCACATCATCGACAAGAGCAACAAGTAGGGCAATTGTACATCAAAAGGGCGGGAATAAGATCAGGGGTTTCATGATATAGGGTGGTAAGGTTTTGCTTGTTGGATTAGGTGATTAACTGACTCTTTTCTTGTTCATATTATAAGGTTAAATTTTGATGTGGCCATGGTGTCCACAATTTCCCTACCTGCTGCTCCCAGGGCGTGATCTACTTAAGGTTTGTGTACAAACACATGTGCAAACTTAATAGCACTTGCAAAGCTGATCTTCTAGCCAGGTGCAACAAGGATTGGGTCTGTCAAATGAGAAAAACAGCATGCACAATCGATTTGCATGTTTGTTTTCATGAATTTCCAGAATGTGTGCAGATCATCAGAATTCGCAAAGTACTGGGAGGGGTAGATGAAAAAAAGAATCATTTAACACCCGCAATGTGATTTTTCAAACCCGGAAACTGATTGCAGTCACTGTTTTGCGTCTATATTTAGCACGTTTGAAAGGCACGCCCAAAGTGGCACAGTGTTATGCACAAATGGTGTAAAGGAGGCAAAAGTGCAATGATAGATGACGGAGAGAGAAAATCTTCTGTGTGCATGTCAACATATTTGGTCTGTCAGAAATTTAACAATTGTAAAGTAATAGTAATAGTACTGCTTTTTTGAGCTACTAGGTGACCTAAGGTCTGATTTTGAGCCAGTCACAAAAAATGATCCATGCCATTTCTCGTACTGTAACACTGCATTACAATATTTGTATATATATATATATATATATATATATATATATATATATATATATATATATATATATATATATATGTGTGTGTTTGTTTGTTTGTTTTATTGATTTTAAATTGTTTTTAACCCTTCTCACCCCCAACATGCCCACAAATAGCACATGCAGTTTTGTAGTTTGCAATTTTGCACTTGTTATTTGGAATCTAAGTAAGAATAAGAATAACAAGATTAAGAAGAACTTTATTAATCCCTGAAGCGAAATTCGAATTTTTTGTTGTCTCACATAATATGTCTCTAAAAGTTATCTATCATTTACACAAGAGTAATTAAGTCTGATGGTTGTTAGTACAAAAGATCTTCTGAATCTTTCTGCCCTGCAGCAAAGAGAGAAGAGCTATCCACCACCACTGGCCTTTTGGTCCATCAAGGTGTTGTGAAGTGGGTGATCCTTAGAATAGTGGGTGTTCTTTAGAATATTCTCCACCTTCCTCAGTGTTGCTCTGTCCAACACATTCTCCACTGAGTCCAGCTTGAGTCCTACCACAGAGCCAGCCTTTTTCACCAGTTCATTAAGACGTCTAGATCAGGCCCTTAGTCTTCTCGCAGCAGCAGATGATGATAGTAATTGGTCCACATGATGATCTGAATAACCTCTTGCTTTTTTGATAGGTTGATTACTAAGTGAGTTTATTTATGAGTAATTGCTTTCCTTATAAAACCTCCCACAATAGCAAAAGTCGGCCATTTCCCAAAGTAACATCATATAATGTCTTACCCTTTTCCTGAATCCACATGGCATCACTGATTAATTCATTATCACCCAGTGACTATTTATCTAACATGAACTGCAGACATAGTGGTAGTTTGAAATTGCTTTCTCTGCAGAATGTGGTGACTATAGTAAATATATCTTCTTCCCTCCTAACCCCTACTTGGTTTTCTGTCCTGGACTCACCCCAGCATACTGACCCTCCACCAACCATTTATACAGTATGTTGCCTGTGCTGCTTCTGTTCCTTTGGGAGCTCATAGGCACTGAGCAAAACATGAAAATAACAAGTTCTCTGCTCTACCAGTGGAGAATACTCAAGCCTTTAGGACCAGCTGGGAGTCAAAGTCAAGACTGAGATGAGGAGCAATTACCAGTATTTATTGATCTTTACACCTGGATGACCAACAATGACCGACATACTGATAGGGATTTTTCAGTGTGACTGTTATGAATTTGTTGTCAAGCTTAAAAAGCGTTTGAAATTTTACCCCAAACAAAATTAACTGACTTGTGTTTTACCTTTGACCTGTGTTGCTTTTGTCTGCAACTGCACATGTGCACGTTTTATGCCCATGTTGTTTTTACATCAGAGGAGGTCATATTTCTGCCATTAGACACAGTTCATAAAGTAGAACCAAATAAGTATACTGTGACTCTCTGGCCCTTAAATCACCTGTTTCACAAACCGTTACAGCTGAAGCAGAGCTGCCCAGACTTGTATCTTCATATTGGTTTTCTTAAGTTCAAGTAACTTTAGTCAAATAATGACACTATAAAATCCTCCAAGTTTCATTGCATAGGTCACAGGAGTTTAGGTAAGACTTACTGGGAAATTGATTTGACATCCATTCTCTATCACAAATATAAGTCCTACAGACAGAAATGATCTGCAATATGAGTGACACGACTGCTTAAACGAGATTCCTGTTTCACAATGAGCCTGTCAGGAGACAATACCCTTTTTTTTTTTTAATTATATGGATTTTGTAACTTGGGCAAGGGGACTTTAAAGTCCAACTCCAATCTTTTAGTTTTCAGTGGTCTTTAAATTGTGATTATGGAGTTCTTAGCCAATATCATGCCATCTGTGTCATTTTCAAGGCCTTTCTTTGAGCTCCAGTAGCTCATTAGCAATTCACCTCTGAGTCATGGGCGGAGACAGTGTTGCTCTGCACACTCCTCTTCACACTAGCTCACAGCCTTACATTGCCAGTGTAGTAGAAGAAATAGGTAACATAGGAGCTATTCAGCTCTCGGACACTAATGTCTTTGGGGACATGATGTCAGTTAATATCATAATTAGCTTTCTTACGAGTATTGCAATCCGCTAACACACACACTTGTTCCGCGATTGTCCTCTCTATTTCTCCAAGTGTGGCCTGCATAGCAGGGCTTGTGGACAGAGCTTAGATTTGCTACGAAGGAAATCTCACTGTTTCTGAGCCTGACGTTTTGGTCTACCAGAGATACTCAGCGATTTGAATGCAGAAATACTCAGAAATGCAATTTTGCACTTACTTTTCTAATGATACTTCCTGTAGCATCAGAAAAATGCCACATAACCAAGTAAACAACAAGAAAAACATGATTTTCATGAAAGTGAGTCTCTAATGACTTTGATCAAAGATCTTCCTCCTAATAGAGGCCATGTTGTAACTATTGATGCAAAATATCATTGATAGTATAGTGCCTTATATTACCACAGTTGGACCTCATTTCTGGTATCCTGATCCACTCTACATTAAAAAATAAATAAAAAAAATAAGCAATAAGGTTGTATAAGATCCTCATAAACTCCTATACACTACATGTTTGCGCTTTAGTGTCTTCTCCCCAGATGTATGGTGGTTGTTCAGTCTGAGTGAACTGATTAATGCCCTCCACTGAAAATAAACAGGAAATCTTTATGATTGCTTTTCCTTGCATGTACAGCAGATAAATCTATTCAATAATGTTATTTTCTGTCTACACAAGTCTCTTACAGTGTGTCTGGGGTTGGGAGGTTGGGGCTGGGGTGATTTATTGTTCCTGGGTTTGTTTTCAATTAGTAGGATGTGACTTTTCTGGCACTGCCGCACTGAAAAAAAGACTGTTAACATTATATCACTAATCCTCCATGTGTAGTTTTGAGCAGAAACACCATGTTTAATGGAAAATGAACATATTTTCCTGTTAATACCAGGAGCCCATTCAACAAACTGTGTTAATTGTCCCTCACAAAGGAGAGTGTAACTATGAGTGGGAGTGAAATACGTGCTAACAGGAGAAATCTGCTTAGGCAGATCAAGAAGACATTTTAATTGTTGTAGTTGTAACAGTACTTATACCCAATTTTGCTCTTACATTTGAAATGAAACAACATGAATCCTTTTTTTGTGTTCCTGCCCAGACAGATTATGCAATATATCTCTTCCTTTTCAAGTGTGACTGCATTACTTTGCTGAATTAAATGCTAAATATAAACGTCTGTTGCCTATCATCTTGTGTGCGTGCGTGCACGTGTGTGTGTGCCCAAAGCCTTTTGTGGCTACGACACAAACAGCATATTCAGCACATGTACTTTAATGCTGTAAATCAACAGTAGGCTCCTCGCGTGGGCACGGGCCCCCGAAAAGCACAATCTTTTTCACTTGCCTCACCGAGGGACAAACATGATCACAGAGCTGGAACACATTCCTTTTCTCATGTCAGGTAGTGCTGTAATGGGATTTATGAAGATTAAACATATTCACAAATAATGCCCTTGTAACGCAACAGAGATATGGTTGTCAAAGAAAGCGTTATCCAACACACAGTCTAAGCCCACTGAACTGTGCTCCAGTGATCAGGTTGGCCTTTAATTCTAGCTCTTTTCTTATAATGTGACACCTCTTAGCTTACTGTCTTTGAAACACAGTCAGAGGGAGGGAGGGAGGCTCACACACTTGGGTAAGTCTGGACACACACACTTGATCTCTTTGAAATGCACACACCCTCCATGCAGGCAGCTAAGCCTGGTTGGGACTTGGCGGGTTGTGATATGGGCAGCTTTATCCGATTCTAGCCTTATCTTAAAAGTGTGTCTGAGAGAGTGAGACTGTGTTCAAGACTGATAAATGTATTTGTTTTTTATGTGTATGACTCCCATTGTGTCTGATCATTACATTGTTTGTTTGTCTACATACTTCACTTGGTTGATTATGTCTGATGAGTCTGTGCATCTCAATGGTGGTTTTGTGTCTTTGTAACTTACCTGATAGACACACAGACGTTACGGGGGAAAGAGAGAGATACACAGCAGAGAAATATGGGATCACACAAATGAAAATGACTTTGATTAATCACTATATTCAGTCTACTTTGTCATACTAAGAGAAAAAAAGCGTTATCCTGATGTGCAAAGTTCTTTATCTTCAGAGCTTATTGTACAGCCCTGTTATGAACCTGATGTTTACAGAGCACTATATAAATACAGCCACAACTCTTTCTGTTCAGCGCAGTAATAACTAACACGTTTAATAATGCATGGAAGGACCTCACTGTCAGCTGCAACATACAAATGTGACATATCAATGAAAGGTGAACAGAGCTATAGTCTAATCAATAGTCCAATTACATCAGTAAATGTCACAAATTTCCTGGGATGTGTCGAGTGTCTAGACTTGACTACAAGTTTTATTCCTCTGTATAGAGAGATACTTGCCGCATCGACAAGATGGAAATAGGTATCATTTTTCATATTTATTGTGAGGGTGTCTTTATGTTGTTAAATCTAGATGAATACCTTCTGAACATCTTGTTTTTCCAAACCTCAAGATTTCAAACTCCGGTTGGGTTGGGTTGGGTATCCCCAAAAACCTTGCAATACTATACATATCCTGATAAATGGGTCATTATACTAAATGTATTCTGGGACCACTAACACTCCAGATAATAAACTAAAAAATTTAAAGTGGAGCTGAGGAAACAACTTACGATGTAAGTGAGTCAGAAATAAGTTATTTATCAGAAACTCAGTGTTGGCACAATACTAATTTGAACTGAAATATGACACCAATTACAACAAACCAATATTTGTTTTTGTACAACCATTGCTGCAGAATTAAATCCTGGGGAGCCAAAGATGGAAATTTTCTTGTTGTTTAAAAAATACCATTTGTCTGTATCTTTGAGTTTCTCACCATATCACTATTTGAGAACTTATCGCACTTTCAGTCATTGAGCGGCAGTGTAGATCTTAAGTTCACAGAGTGCAACTTTATTTGTTTTTTGATCAAGTGACCTCTCTGTCTCCCTTCTGCTCTCTCACCATAAGCAACAAACAAGTGCTGCCCGTCTGACTTAAAGCTCCTGTAAGGAATTTTTGCCTTGTTCTGAAACTGACAGTGACAGTTTAAGACTCACAATAGCAAACAGGTCCTTAAACAGTGACAGTGACAATTTTAATAATGTAATTTTAACCCCTGTAAACACTGCTAGAGGGTGGGTGTCAGATGAGAGATAGCACGCTATAGAAACAGCATGGTGATGTGAGGGCTATTTTGTTGGCACACTCTGGGCCCCTTATACCAGCTGAGCACTATTTAAACACCACAGACTACCTGGGTATTGTTGACCATGTCCATCCCTTTATGACCACAGTGTAGCTGTTTTCTGATGGTTATTACTGTACTCCAGTGACCTCCACAGTCAAGAGACAGTCAACATATCTCAATCCAATAGAGCACCTTTGGGACATGGCAAAATAGAAGATTCACATCATAGATGTACAGCCAACAAATCTGCAGCACCTGTTTGATACTCTTATGTTGATAAGGACAAAAATCCTGAAATAATTTTCTTAACACCTCCTTCTTCTAACCTGGTACTGGCAAGATGTACCTAATAAAGTGGCTGGTGAGTGTATATGCTAGCCTGAGAATTGAAATGGTCTGACTGTGTCATTGAGAAAGTAGACAAAGGCAGTTGGCAGTATGAAGAGCTGCCGCATAAAAACTTTAACCTTCTTCTTGCAAATGAAGACATGGATTTAGGTTCTTTAGAGCTTGACCATTAGAAATAGTTCTTTGACCACTTTATTTTCATTTGTTGTGTTCTTTCTGAACTTCCACTCCACCACCCTTTCTCTCCCCCACACGCTTAGACTCCATTAGCCAGCCAATGAGTGCAGGGCTGTTGTGTTTAAAGAGGTTTAGGGAAATAAAAAAAAAAAAACACGCTTATAATCCACTCCATTAATGAATGAGAGGGGTGGAGAATCAATACTTTGTCCTTAAAAACAATATTAAGAAATTATACTTTTCACCACCTATCATGGTGCAACAAAACAAGCTTCTGACAACAAACGCTGCTCACCCTAACTTTGTTGAACACAGTTACAGTATTTTGTTGAATAAAAGTAAGAGCACTGCCTAAAAGTGAATAAAAAGAGAGCTTCAGTTTGATATATTAGTTTTTTTTATTATTATTAAAAAAAGAAAAACCCAAACAAGGGCAGTTAACAAAATTTAAAAAATTAATTAAAAAAAAAAAAAAAAAAAACTTTTTAGGTGCATACAAGTACAATAGTAAAAAATAGTAAGTTTAATCTGCAAAAAAAAAAAAAAAAAAAAACTGGGAACACATTTGGTTTTAAGAGTTTATCTGGGAATTTTAACATTTTTTACACTTACACTGCATGCATCAAAGCTGAGCACAGATGGTGCCCGCTGTGAAACTTGTTGAATCCAACTTAAAGCCATGATGACCAAAACAGTGCCAAATAAAAACACAAATCCAATCAGACAGGTTACATCTTCATCCAATGCCAGCCCTCCAGTAACAATCATAGCCCCCCTAAGGCTAAAGACCAAGCTCTCTACTGTGGTCACACATGGATGCAGAGCCTCTGAAGTTTAATAACACAGAGAAACAAAGGATTGAAGAAGAGAAAGATGGAAGGAGAGAGGGGGAGACAGAGGAATTTGAAAAGAGGGAATATAAAGCTGATTGCCAGCTGTGCGCCCGGTGTTTATTTAGCCAGAGTGGCTGGGTGGTGGTGAAGACAGAGAGAGAGAGTGAGAGGCAGACAGGGAAAGTTGTGACTGGAGGGAGGAGGGGAGAGGGGTGAGGTTTATTAAGGGACTGTTGGATGAATGGGTCTCTAGGGAGGAGAGAGATAGGATGGAGGGAGGAAGGGTGGGGGATATAGAAAATAGACGTGACACAGAAGGAGAAAAAAGGAAGGAGGGGAGGAAAGGAAAACAAGAAAAGGAGACAGAGGGAGGGTTAAAGAAAATAGGAGGTAGGACCAGACTGAGCATGTGAAAGACGTCTTTGTTTGGCACACGCTTGAAGAAAATGTAAAAATAGTGTTAAGGCTGTCTGGTCACCTTCCTACACACCCACCATGTGCATTCATATGTATGTGTGTGTGTGTGTGTGTGTGTATCATGGATCCTGTTTCTCCACGGTTAAGCTCTAAGATTAACCTTATGGGTCAAGTCTTCACCCTGCTGCACAACCTAACCCACACACCCTCATATGATACACATAATTTCACAACTCGACACATGCACGCCATTAATAGCAATACTTGCATGCACACACACTCACAAAAACACCACCCCCGACACCCGAAGACCCCTCTGGGCTCATTCTCTACTTTCTAAGCGTCTCTTTGAAGTGAGACTAAATGGGAAGGATTAGTGTAATAGTCTAATGTTACAATGGCGCACCTCTCCCTGTGATTTGCCACCGTATATTAGCGGCGAGTCGCCCCTCTTCCCCTCCAGCTGTTCCAGCTGCTTCCGTAGGTAACTGTCCCTCTGTCTCACTAAAATAGCCACACAGATGGAGGTATAACAATTTTTTCCCAGTTAGTTATCAGGGTCTCAACACTAAAATCTCTTGTAGTCTCACAGCAGTTGTCAAAGCCGTCTGTGCTCACTGTGGTTCTGTTACAACCTACGTCTGATCCAACGATCTATTTCTATTGATTCTTCAAATGTTTGCTGCTGTGTGGTGCAATCATTTTCATTCTATTGTCCTGATCTGCATTATGCGGGGGCTCTAGAATGAAAATGTTTTTTTTTTTTGTTTGTTTGTTTGTTTGTTTTTTTTTCTTGTTTAGCTGTGACTTTTCTCTTTAAAGCTTTTTGGAAAATTATTGATTCACCACTGATGACGCACTTTCATTCATTATCATAATCATTATTATTTCTCAATCCTCCCACCCGCTGGATGTGGAAGAACCTTTTCTCACTCCTTTTTCACTCGGACATGTGAAGTGAAGGCAAAATGCCTGTTAACTGTACTTTTACAAACTTACATAACTTCGATATGTCAGCCTTTTACTGGTAAAACATTCATGTTTCCAGGTGAATAAGATACAGCGCTCTGATCTGGCATGTGGCTGCTCTTCTTCCTCCTCCCTATCCAGATGGTCTGTGCCATGAAGATCCCACTTGATCCCCTCCCACTCTCCTGCCCCCTTAAGTGGGCACTTTAGATGTCATAACACCATGGCATTTGCCTTTGGCATTAAAAGATCAAGGTTACTCATTTTTAATGTTACACTATTCGAATTTTACACAATAGTTATTTTAACACAAGATGCTATAGCCCACATTTAGCGCACATTGTATATAGAATTAAAATTCTTCTCCCCTCTGGTTGCGATGTTGACATGTAGTTACTGTAAGACTGGTTTGTACTCAAGTCCTCTTTTTTCTGTGCAGCTCCATTTTTTATTATTATTATTGTTATTGTTATTGTTGTTCATGTTTTTTATGACTGACACTTGATACAGCCTATGGGCTTACGAAGTTGATGTTGCTCACCCGAGGGATATGCTGTTTGAGCCGAGTGTCATCACAGCGACTCTCCCGCCGAATGCATACAACACTACTGCGCCAGTGGTGGTTCCAGAAGGTGGAGAAAGTCCTGAAACTACAGAGAATAATTTGGCTTTAAATTCAAATAACGGTGGAAGGCGGAGCCAAGTCGTCCATAGTATATACAATCTATGGTCAGCACTCGCTGAGGATCCCACATACCCACCTAAGCACTTTTGCCACACTGATATGATAAATAACCAACCAAAGAGACCACCTCAGCCCAAACTGCGTTGCCCCCTTCAACAGACCCTGAGCTCCAGATAATAAATTGCTGAAACTACCCTATCATCTATGACCCCCCAACACCAACCATGAAACAAGATTGGCGAGAGCCTCACCATCAACAGAGTTATTGAGTGGGCACCTCCTTTCAGCAGTGTTTTTGTCAAGCTTGGTTCGTGAAGTCTGGAGGCGGCTCTCCAGGATTGGCTGTCACCTATCATCATCATAAAAAAAAAAATAAACAAAAACGCAAAGAAAATAAGGACAGAGTCTTTGGAGAGCATTTAAAAAAAGGACCAGGTAGGCAAAGTCTGGTCGAGAGGTGGGTAAGGACAAGAGCTCCACCCAACCAGGTAGGCTGTAGATTCTACCTCCTCTGTTTTCCCCTATTTTCACAAGCGAAAACACAGAAAAGGAAGCAGAAAAATATTTCTACAGAGTTGTTAAGAAGAGCACAGGACAGGAAAGGCAGGGGAGCCACAGCACACATCCCTAATACTTTGCTGTACCCCCACGCTAGTATGTTATTGGGGGAAAGGCGAGAAGGAGAGAGAGCGGTGTCAAACAGAGATGTCTGACAAAGAACAGGGACAGAGCGGGCCTTTTTTGCCTTTTCAGAGTAAATTATGCAGCGCTTTATTTACAGAAACATTGCTTGCCTGCTTTTGTTGCCTTCATGAATTATTTGGGATTTGTTAATTGATGATTTCATGCAAGGTCATGTTTTATTCAGATGTTGTGCTGTGAAATTTCCTGTGGAAAAGACCAACTTGAAATTTGATTTTAGTTCAACTTCTTTTAACACAGTCAGATACTCTGATTGGAGAGGTTTGGTTTCAAAAGCAACATGTAAAAAAGAGCATCAAGTAAGTCAGTTTACTCTCTGTGCTTCAGTGGTGTTTTGATGACAGCCTATCATTACTTATCATTCACAATACCATCTAAATCCTCCCTAGTGTTTGTCTGCAAAGTAGCTGTTTTTTCAAGCAGGGAAATTTAAACAGATTGCATTTCAAAAGAACCCTCTCCAGTCCTCTTGTGGACAATTTGACCTCTCACATAACCACAGTTTAGTCTGCCAGTGTTTCAAGCTCCCAAAGATGGTTTAAGGTTCTACACACATCACAGGGCGCTGTTTGATATCCAATGTTGAACCAAAGGGAATTCAGCCCTTCTCTGTGAGTCATGTTGTTCCGTCTGATCCGACATCTGCAAGAGGCCGTGAGGAGAGCGGGAGAACAGAGGAGAGAGGGGGGAAGGAAAACCAGGCAGGGACGTGCAACAAATAGCTGGCAATGAAGAAAAAGACAACGATGAGAAGGGGATTAAAAGATGGGGAGGGGATAAAAGCTGGGGAGAAGCATGGTTGGAAATAAAAGGATGAGGACCACTGAAGAAGGAGGGATATTTTACGGAGGACGAAAAACCTCGAAGAAAAGAGAGAAAGGATAGATAATGACTTGAAACACTGGTACTGTTTCAGAAACATAAGATTCAGCTCTGCAGGGGGGGGGGCTCTCTGTATCTCTGCCCAGAAAATCAGTTATCCAGGGGAGAGGGCCTGAAAAGATCAATAATACTCTCACACAAAACACACACACAGTCAAACACACATCGAATACACACACTGCAATGTGCATCTAAATTCATACTCAAACTGGTTATTATTCTTTTATGCTTTTTCAAAGATGACCCCTTGACTGCAGAAAAATGGTTCCCTGTGTACATAGCCCATTTCTTAAAAATCCCAGTGGGACCTCTGACGGTATTACGTGGAAATAGCTCGTCAGTTGTCTAATGGTTGGGCTTAGATAGAATAAGTAGACCTCATGAGTCCGGCAGGGAAGCTTTGGTTGAAGGACAGGCAGGGAAATATAAGGTCTACAAATCTTACCAGTCATAAGCAACTAGATACAGTTATCATAATGCTTTAGGGGTCCAAACATTTAAGGTGGAGTAATTGCAATACTATAAGTTGTTCACATTACATCCCATTTACACTCTACTGCTTATAACAAGTTTTCCTTTGAGGAGCATTTCTTTCAAGTGGAGACCTCCAGTATTAAAAGGCAGCCTCCAGTAATCTGCAGTTGAAAAAACAAGTGCCAGAAAATGCTAATTGTACATGGGAAATGTATTGCTTTGACTCATCTTGGCATGTTAGTTTGCCAGCAAAGCTAAAGGCCCAACTACAGTTGACTAAAGGTCAAGGACATTTCTTTGACTCTGTTTTAGTTGATCAAAACTTAGCTGGAATAAATTTTATCAACAAGGTGACCTCAATCTTTGGAGGTCATAGTGGCCTTTCTAAAACCAATGGATGGTGAAACTGAGTGTCCGTTTTACATAGTCCTTGGGGTCTTTTCACAAAATTTAAAGGCTTGTTTATTTCCAAGAAACCAACTAGAGTTCATTCCAGCAAAGTAGCTTCGGGTAGTGTTGGCTAAGGTTAACAGTTTTTTGACTTCCTCCCTCACTTTCAGATTATGGTTTTTCCATGGCTTTTGAAGCATTTTTGAACAGCCAATTTGAAGTTTGTTGTCCAAAAACCCTTTTTTTTCCCTGGACTGCAGCCAGCCTAAAAAACTTTCTCTAGTGAGCTCTACTGTGAACACGCTGTTTCTGTGTGCTCCGCCTGTCCACGCCTCCTCCTCCTTCAGTGCAAGCCACGCCCCTCCCTGTTTCTCTGGAAGAGGGGGCGTGACTTGCGCTATATGGCTAGGTATGGCTGGTAGAAGTGCTGTGGTCCAGCCATACCAGTTTGATCCAGAGTCTGACCCAGAGGGAGAGGCTCCTAAAGAAATTCCAACTCTGCGGCTACAGCAAAACATTTCTGAATGGTTAGTTACAAATATTATGAGTCTCCATATTTTTCTTCTTACTTTGTTCATGTGTTGGTCCACAGTGACTTACATACTCCTGCTAACATCTCCGCTGTCTTCTTGAATGCAAAATACTTTAAGTATAGTTATCTCCCGGGACTATGTTCTTGCAGTTCTTGCAGTCTACAGAAACAGACTCCTCTGCTGCTTCCTGCAGCCAACAACAGAGCAACTGCCGTGCCTTTGTCGTATCCCATTTCGAACCAGCTTTTGCGAGGGAGGAAAATAGCACTTAAGTGGAAATTTTCAGGGGGCAGAACAAAAATCTTGGGCAGGGTCACCAACTTGAAGGGGAGGAGTTATCACAGTCCATGACATCATGGAAGTCGATAGTTTCAATCCACCCCTTTGAGCAGACATTTTATGAAAGGTGGATCAAGCAAAAGAGGGAGAGGATAGAATTTTCTCATTTTGGGGGGTTTGTAGACAGGCTGGGGAGGCATACTATTGTTAGAAAATCATTCCAAAGTGAATTTTGCAGAATATGGGACCTTTGAGAGTACCCCACAATCATTTATGGGATCAGCATTTAGGAGACAGTCAGTGTGGAGAAAAAAAGGCAAAATGCTTAGGTCTTGTTCAAAGCTGTAACCTACTATCCAACAATGTTTTTTTTTAAGGTTTTCACCATCTTCATTAACCCTTATCGACTGATTCTCACACCTAGAAGTTTCTGTTTAAAATCTAACACCTAAATTTGCCAAGTGCTTGCTTCTGATTGGTCAAACTGTAAACTTCTCATTGCTATCCTGCCAACTGTTGACTGGGAAAACCTGATCCAACATGCCAAATCAAATCAGGAGACAAGACCCCTCTGCTGAGAAAAAAAACAAACAAAACTAGGGCCCCGTTGGGGCACTGGCGGGCCCGAGCCGCGTTGCGCCGCCCCCAGTGCGACCGCCTCCCCCTCCCGATCGCGTCACACTCAAGGTCCAAAGATGGTGTGCGCACTTGTCTGTGGTCATTTCCCATTATAATGAATGGGAGGCGCAGTTTCTACCAACACACTCGATGCAGACAAACTACATGTCCTATTTGAAAAAAGTCTGGACCATGAGTGAGGGCACAAACACAGCTAGGATATATCAAAACGGCAAGTTGCTCCTCGTTACGGTGTTGCCGGGAGAGCGATGCGATTGAGCCATTGAGTGATGGGCAGGAAAAACTTGACTTTTTCTCCTGCCATGGGGGATGGGGGATGGGGGGGGGGGGGGGGTGGATTCTTTTAAGAATGTGGATATTTGGGTCATCTTTGGCGCCCCCAGAACGTAAACCGTGGGGTGCAGCGTCATGATTTTTAAAACTTTGAATGGCCATGGGGTGTAGATTGGCCTGAGCAAATTTGGTGTCAGTGGGACGAAAGCCTTAGGAGGAGTTAGCCACATTCCAATGTGTGCTAATCGGCAAAAAATGCAAAATAGCCCTTTAACCGTACATTTTACAGATACGCGTGCATTGACTTTTTCGTAGATCTTATTGAGATACATGTGTGTGTCAAATTTTGTGTCAATATGACAAAGCATACAGGTATGACAGTCAACAATGTGTATTTTCACCTTATGGGACAAGAAAAAATGGACTTTTTTCTCCTGCCATGGGGGGCGCTCTTTTGGGGAGTAAAAATTCCTTCACAAATGTGTTGATGGCTGGACATTGCATCATCCTAGAAAACTTGGAGGCCAGAGAGGACAAAAATAAAAAGTTATGACTTTTAAATATGTGGATTTTAGGGTTATCTTTGGCGCCCCCTAGAACCTAAACCGTGGGGTTCAGCGTCATGATTTGAATAACTTTTAATGGCCATGGGGTGTAGATTGGCCTGAGCAAATGTGGTGCCGGTGGAACAAAAGCCTTCGGAGGAGTTAGCGAAATTCCAATGTGTGCGGATCGGCAAAAAATGCGCAATAACCCTTTAACCGTACATTTGACAGATACGCCAGCACTGACTTTTTTGTAGATCTTATTGAGATACATATGTGTGTCAATTTTTGTGTAATTTTGACAAAGCGTACAGGCGTGACAGTCAATAGTGTGAATTTTCACCTTATGGGACAAGAAAAAATGGACTTTTTTCTCCTGCCATGGGGGGGCGCTCTTTTGGGGAGTAAAAATTCCTTCACAAATGTGTTGATGGCTGGACATTGCATCATCCTAGAAAACTTGGAGGCCAGTGAGGGCAAAAATAAAAAGTTATAAGACTTTTAAATATGTGGATTTTAGGGTTATCTTTGGCGCCCCCTAGAACCTAAACCGTGGGGTGCAGCATCATGATTTGAATAACTTTTAATGGCCATGGGGTGTAGATTGGCCTGAGCAAATGTGGTGCCGGTGGAACGAAAGCCTTCGGAGGAGTTAGCGAAATTCCAATGTGTGCGGATCGGCAAAAAATGCGCAATAACCCTTTAACCGTACATTTGACAGATACGCCCGCACTGACTTTTTTGTAGATCTTATTGAGATACATGTGTGTGTCAATTTTTGTGTCATTTTGACAAAGCGTACAGGCGTCAGGTGAATTTTTCACCTTAGGGGGCGCTATGGAGCCATTTTGCATTGTATTGTTTGCGCGACTTCAGAATATCAAATTTTTCACCAGGCCCGGTCGTCCTGCCAAATTTCATGAGTTTTCGCCAGTGGGAAGTGGGCCATTTTCCAGTTCAAAGGGGAGGAAAAAGAAACTAGGGCCCCGGTGGGGCACTGTCGGGCCCGAGCCGCGTTGCGCCGCCCCCGGCGCGACCGCCCCCCCCTCCCGATCGCGTCACACTCAAGGTCCAAAGATGGTGTGCGCACTTGTCTGTGGTCATTTCCCATTATAATGAATGGGAGGCGCAGTTTCTACCAAACACTCGCTGCAGACAAACTACATGTCCTATTTGAAGAAAGTCTGGACCATGAGTGGGTCCACAAACACAGCTAGGATATATCCAAACGGCAAGTTGCTCCTCGTTACGGTGTTGCCAGGAGAGCGATGCGATTGAGCCATTGAGGGATGGGCAGGAAAAACTTGACTGTTTCTCCTGCCATGGGGGATGGGGGATGGGGGGGGGGGGGGGGATTCTTTTAAGAATGTGGATATTTGGGTCATCTTTGGCGCCCCCTAGAACGTAAACCGTGGGGTGCAGCGTCATGATTTTTACAACTTTGAATGGCCATGGGGTGTAGATTGGCCTGAGCAAATTTGGTGTCAGTGGGACGAAAGCCTTAGGAGGAGTTAGCCACATTCCAATGTGTGCGAATCGGCAAAAAATGCAAAATAGCCCTTTAACCGTACATTTTACAGATACGCGCGCATTGACTTTTTCGTAGATCTTATTGAGATACATGTGATTGTCAAATTTTGTGTCAATATGACAAAGCGTACAGGTATGACAGTCAACAATGTGTATTTTCACCTTATGGGACAAGAAAAAATGGAGTTTTTTCTCCTGCCATGGGGGGGCGCTCTTTTGGGGAGTAAAAATTCCTTCACAAATGTGTTGATGGCTGGACATTGCATCATCCTAGAGAACTTGGAGGCCAGTGAGGAGAAAAAAAAAAAGTTATAAGACTTTTAAATAAGTGGATTTTAGGGTTATCTTTGGCGCCCCCTAGAACGTAAACCGTGGGGTGCAGCGTCATGATTTGAATAACTTTTAATGGCCATGGGGTGTAGATTGGCCTGAGCAAATGTGGTGCCGGTGGAACGAAAGCCTTCGGAGGAGTTAGCGAAATTCCAATGTGTGCGGATCGGAAAAAAATGCGGAATAACCCTTTAACCGTACATTTTACAGATACGTGGCCATTGACTTTTTCGAAGATCTTATTGAAATACACGTGTATGTCAAATTTTGTGTCATTTTGACAAAGCGCACAGGCGTGGCACTCTACAATGTGTATTTTCACCTTAGGGGACAAGAAAAAATGGACTTTTTTCTCCTGCCATGGGGGGGCGCTCTTTTGGGGAGTAAAAATTCCTTCACAAATGTGTTGATGGCTGGACATTGCATCATCCTAGAAAACTTGGAGGCCAGTGAGGACAAAAATAAAAAGTTATAAGACTTTTAAATATGTGGATTTTAGGGTTATCTTTGGCGCCCCCTAGAACCTAAACCGTGGGGTGCAGCATCATGATTTGAATAACTTTTAATGGCCATGGGGTGTAGATTGGCCTGAGCAAATGTGGTGCCGGTGGAACGAAAGCCTTCGGAGGAGTTAGCGAAATTCCAATGTGTGCGGATCGGCAAAAAATGCGAAATAACCCTTTAACCGTACATTTGACAGATACGCCCGCACTGACTTTTTTGTAGATCTTATTGAGATACATGTGTGTGTCAATTTTTGTGTCATTTTGACAAAGCGTACCGGCGTGACAGTGAATAGTGTGAATTTTCACCTTAGGGGGCGCTATGGAGCCATTTTGCATTTTCTTGTTTGGGCGACTTCGGAATATCAAATTTTTCACCAGGCCCGGTCGTCCTGCCAAATTTCATGAGTTTTCGCCAGTGGGAAGTGGGCCATTTTCCAGTTCAAAGGGGAGGAAAAATAATAACTAGGGCCCCGTTGGGGCACTGGCGGGCCCGAGCCGTGTCGCGCCACCCCCCCCCCCAACGCGCTGCCTCCCCGTCCCATTCGTGTCCTCTGGCCATCGCCCTCTCTGGTAACGCCCATCACTGCAAAGACCCTTTTCCTTCATCGGCGTTTGCTGTTCTTCCTGCCAGTGCGTGTTGCTTTCACTTACACTTGCCACAGCCAGCCTCGTGAGTGCCTAGCCTATTGGATATCACTGTCATCTACACAGGACAGTCATTACCTTTCTATTAATACTTTGTTTTTTAATTTCACATTAATTTCCATATTGTATAAATGACTGGAAAAAACTTGAGCCCCTGCCCCTGTATAATCATGTGCACGTCCCTGTTCTAGCTCCAAGGTGAATCTTCACTGCTCATGTTCTCCTCAGAAGCAGTCACCTCACTCCCCTCAGGTTACTGTACACATGCACCAACTGCCTGCTTCAGGTTTGGATGGAGCTTCATGGTTGTCTTTTGGAGAAATGACCAGTCAAGTTGTGTTTGAAATTTGATTTTTTTCAGGGGCAAAAGGAGCCTCTGCATTCTTGTCAAATATGTAAATAGCATGTTTTTGCAGGTGCTAAAAAACAGACTCTGAGTGTGTGTGTGTGTGTGTGTGTGTGTGTGTGTGTGTGTGTGTGTGTGTCTGTGTGTGTGTATATATCTTGCAGTACTCTGAGAAGAATAATAAGCATATTTCTGCGGTGAATTTTGAAGATTCATCTGAGAGTTAGGAGGGCTGATCATTCCCTTACCCTTTAGATGTCTGTCTATGTCTGTTTTTGTGTGATAATGAAAGAATCCCAACTCAAAAAGGCTCTGTTGATGTTTTTTTTTTGTTGTTCATTCATATTCAAACCACTATTTTATATCACTGCTAATACGCCAAGACCATTTTATGGTATTTAGCTTTATTATTTCTATACATTTTGCAAGGAAAGAAACCAAGGCCTTCACTAAAATTTCCATAAACTTTAGGAAAGGACCTCTGGTTGTTTAAGGGGGTCATTACTGCAAAAAAATATTCTTCCTAAATTTTGAAGGTCAAACCTTAGATCCATTAGGTTTAAATAGAAAAAGCATTAAAATATGTTAGGATTATAGCATATGACAAATGTGTGCCTCTCAGTGGCATAACTACTTTGTCTGCTGGCTCTGCAGTCGATTGACGCTCCCCAGCGTTCAAGTCACATGACATATTTAACCGGATGTAGCTGCAAGACGGAGCCTCGTTCACCCTCCGTTTCAACTTATCTCAAAAGTGAGGACCTCAAACTATATACCAGTTTTTAAATTGTGTTGATAGGCCAAATAAAACCAGAGTTATGATAAATTATGTCCGCGATACTTTTTTTCTGCTTATTTTGATCACGTTCGGCGCTCGATCACGCTGTATGAGACAGGAAAACATAGCATGCAGACATTAGCGACAGCTCTTACAGGCGGAAAAGGCATGCCAAAAGAAAAAAAAACACACCACAACATCTCTCCTATTGGTGGAAAACTTCACCACAACAACCAATCCAAAATTATATGGTGACTGATTGACAAGGGGCGGGTGCTTACGTTCTTCCTGCAATATGAGAAGGGAGGGAGGAACTCTCAGCAGGGATGCAGTCTGGGAAACGTAGTTGCAAACCTAGCGACTTTGTTGTTAGATTCAATGACTTTTCAGACCCCCTAACGACTTTTTTTTAGAAAGAAAGGGAATTTTATCGACTTCCTCTGGAGTTTAGAGACTCTGACATGAAGCAGGCTTTCCTTACTGAGGAGTTAGCAACGCTGCTAAGGGTGCAGAGCCACACATGCGCTCCGAGCTCTGCATGGGAGACTAGAGCTGAGAGAGCTGCAGCAGTTAGCAGGTTTCACCCTCAGAGACCACCAGGAGTTCATGTTGAGGCATTTTTTGTTTTTTGTTTTTTTTGCCATAGACACTGTCAGCACAATCTGCAGTTACACTAACAAAAATGCTGCAAAAAACAAAGAATTATGGAAAAATTACACATGGACTGACATAGAGGAGGATCTACACAAGTTTTTTACATCATGTTTTACATCATGCATCATTTACATCATGTTTTTTTGTAGTGGCATAAATAAAAAGTGACATTTGTGAGACTATACAGTGTTTTGTAAATAATTTTACAAAGAACGCCTGGGCCATTGCCTGCATTTTGATGTAAATAGAGGTAAATTACTATGTTCTTTGTTAAAAATTTGCATATGTTTTGAAGTTTACAATTTTTATTTGAAGTTTAAGTTTTAAAAACAGTTCATCACACATATTTGTGGTTTAATTTCACATTAATTTCCATATTGTATAAATGACTGGAAAAAACTTGAGCCCCTGCCCCTGTATAATCATGTGCACGTCCCTGTTCTAGCTCCAAGGTGAATCTTCACTGCTCATGTTCTCCTCAGAAGTAGTCACCTCACTCTCCTCAGGTTACTGTACACATGCACCAACTATCTGCTTCAGGTTTGGATGGAGCTTCATGGTTGTCTTTTGGAGAAATGAACAGTCAAGTTGTGTTTGAAATTTGATTTTTTTCAGGGGCAAAAGGAAGCCTCTGCATTCTTGTCAAATATGTAAACAGCATGTTTTTGCAGGTGCTAAAAAACAGACTCTGAGTGTGTGTGTGTATGTGTGTGTGTGTGTGTGTGTGTGTGTGTGTGTGTTGGCGTGTGTGTATATGTGTGTGTGTCCGGCAGTACTCTGTACTCCTGCAGTGGCCAAAAAGACTTTTAAGAATGTGGATTTTTGGGTCATCTTTGGCGCCCCCTAGAACTGCAGTACTCTGTACTCCTGCAGTGGCCAAAATGACTTTTAAGAATGTGGATTTTTGGGTCATCTTTGGCGCCCCCTAGAACGTAAACCGTGGGGTGCATCGTCATGATTTTTACAACTTTGAATGGCCATGGGGTGTAGATTGCCCTGAGCAAATTTGGTATCGGTGGGACGAAAGCCTTAGGAGGAGATAGCCACATTCCAATGTGTGCGAATCGGCAAAAAATGCGAAATAGCCCTTTAACCATACATTTGACAGATACGTGCCTATTGACTTTTTTGTAGATCTTATTGAGATACACGTGATTGTCAAATTGTGTGTCAATATGACAAAGTGTATAGGCGTGACACTCAACAATGTGTATTTTTACCTTAGGAGACAAGAAAAAATGGACTTTTTTCTCCTGCCATGGGGGGGCGCTCTTTTGGGGAGTAAAAATTCCTTCACAAATGTGTTGATGGCTGGACATTGCATCATCCTAGAAAACTTGGAGGCCAGTGAGGACAAAAATAAAAAGTTATAAGACTTTTAAGAATGTGGATTTTTGGGTTATCTTTGGCGCCCCCTAGAAAGTAAACCGTGGGGTGCAGCATCATGATTTGTACAACTTTTAATGGCCATGGGGTGTAGATTGGCCTGAGCAAATGTGGTGCCGGTGGAACGAAAGCCTTCGGAGGAGTTAGCGAAATTCCAATGTGTGCGGATCGGCAAAAAAAGCGAAATAGCCCTTTAACCATACATTTGACAGATACGTGCCTATTGACTTTTTTGTAGATCTTATTGAGATACACGTGATTGTCAAATTGTGTGTCAATATGACAAAGTGTATAGGCGTGACACTCAACAATGTGTATTTTTACCTTAGGAGACAAGAAAAAATGGACTTTTTTCTCCTGCCATGGGGGGGCGCTCTTTTGGGGAGTAAAAATTCCTTCACAAATGTGTTGATGGCTGGACATTGCATCATCCTAGAAAACTTGGAGGCCAGTGAGGACAAAAATAAAAAGTTATAAGACTTTTAAGAATGTGGATTTTTGGGTTATCTTTGGCGCCCCCTAGAAAGTAAACCGTGGGGTGCAGCATCATGATTTGTACAACTTTTAATGGCCATGGGGTGTAGATTGGCCTGAGCAAATGTGGTGCCGGTGGAACGAAAGCCTTCGGAGGAGTTAGCGAAATTCCAATGTGTGCGGATCGGCAAAAAAAGCGAAATAGCCCTTTAACCGTACATTTGGCAGATACGCCTGCACTGACTTTTTCGTAGATCTTATTGAGATACACATGTGTGTCAAATTTTGTGTCATTTTGACAAAGCGTACAGGCATCACGTGAGTTTTCACCATAGGGGGCGCTATGGAGCCATTTTTCATTTTTTTGTTTGGGCGACTTCAGAATATCAAATTTTTCACCAGGCCCGGTCGTCCTGCCAAATTTCCTGAGTTTTCGCCAGTGGGAAGTGGGCCATTTTCCAGTTTAAAGCGGAGGAAAAATAACGAAAGAAGAATCCATCAGGAACAAGAGGGCTCTCGCAGCTGCTTAGCAGCTACGCTCGGGCCCTAATAATAACAAAAGAAGGAAACTACAGGAACAAGAGGGCTCTCGCAGCTGCTTAGCAGCTACGCTCGGGCCCTAAAAAGAAACAAAGAAAAACCACTTGGGGAATAATAGGGCTCTCGCAGCTGCTTAGCAGCTACGCTCGGGCCCTAAAAACACTAACCACATACATGAGGGCATCCTGGCCTGGAAATCCTTAGCTTTATTTTTACTATGACTCACTACACTGTAAGCCCTCAAAAATACATTGTCAGCAAAGAGTATCACTGAATAAGTCCTGCGTCCAACAAGCACAAGCTTGTGGTGAGACGCCTCCATCTTGTTTTATTTTGGCTGGACTTCCTGTGTTTCCTTGTTTGTCTGGTCTGGCTTCACTCTTTTCCAGAGCTTCCTCCCCTCCCCCGGCGCTGAGGCTGAGTGAGACTACACACCTGCTCCACATCTCCAATCAAGGCACTTTAAGGAGCCTGCAGCCCTCAGCCTCAGGGCCTGAGTATTGTCTACCCTTCCTAGCGGTACAGACGTGTCTCCTGGCCTTCCTTGTGGTATAACCTTCAGAACTTTGCTCCCAGTGACTATTTTCATGTTCATTAACTCCCGTCTCCTCTGGTTTTTTCCTGCAGTGTCTCCAGCCCACACGACAGCCAGCTAACCAGCCCTTCGGACTTCCTCTGTTTGCACTATCTCCCCTTTTTTGGACATTAAAAGTCTCTTTAAGTTGATCTCAGTCTCTGTGTCTGCATCTGGGTCCTCACCACGAACCTGCCTCACAACAGAATACTCAGGCCAGGAAAATGGACCCAGCAGACCCAGACAGAGTTCATCAAGCCTTCCAAGAGCTCGAACTTCACCTCGATCGGCGTGAGGACATGCTCCAGGGCCTCAACCAAGCCTGTCAGGGCCTCACCATTCAAATAGCGCAACTGGCAGATCAACTCCTCTCCCAGCTACCCCCGCAGCAATCTGGGTCTCCCCCCTCTGTGAGTACGGTCCCCTCTTCACCTCCTCCACCACCCTTTATCCTCAAAGAGCCCTATGTCCCTCCTCCTGAGCCATATGCTGGGGAGAGTGGGGGCTGCAGAGGTTTCCTGCTCCGCTGCGCACTAGTCTTTTGACCATAAGCCCCAGCTTCCCGTGTACCAACCCGAGCCTAGGCCCCAGCTTCCCGTGTACCAGCCCGAGCCTAGGCCCCAGCTTCCCGTGTACCAGCCCGAGCCAAGGCCCCAGCTTCCCGTGTACCAGCCCGAGCCAAGGCCCCAGCTTCCCGTGTACCAGCCCGAGCCAAGGCCCCAGCTTCCCGTGTACCAGCCCGAGCCAAGGCCCCAGCTTCCCGTGTACAAGCCCCAGGCTCCCAGTGTTCAGGCCAAGCAGCAGCCCCAGGCTCCCAGTGTTCAGGCCAAGCAGCAGCCCCAGGCTCCCAGTGTTCAGGCCAAGCAGCAGCCCCAGGCTCCCAGTGTTCAGGCCAAGCAGCAGCCCCAGGCTCCCAGTGTTCAGGCCAAGCAGCAGCCCCAGGCTCCCAGTGTTCAGGCCAAGCAGCAGCCCCAGGCTCCCAGTGTTCAGGCCAAGCAGCAGCCCCAGGCTCCCAGTTTTCAGGCCAAACCGCAGCCCCAGCAGCCTGCGTACCGTCCCAAGCCCCAGCAGCCTGCGTACCGTCCCAAGCCCCAGCAGCCTGCCTACCGTCCCAAGCCCCAGCAGCCTGCCTACCGTCCCAAGCCCCAGCAGCCTGCGTACCGTCCCAAGCCCCAGCAGCCTGCGTACCGTCCCAAGCCCCAGCAGCCTGCGTACCGTCCCAAGCCCCAGCAGCCTGCGTACCGTCCCAAGCCCCAGCAGCCTGCGTACCGTCCCAAGCCCCAGCAGCCTGCGTACCAGCCAAAGCTCCATCCTTGCGCCTACTACTTCCGGAAATTCTCACCCACCAAACGAAAGCACGACGTGGGAAACCGGGAGTTGCTGGCTGTTGTGTGGGCACTCCAAAGATGGAGACACTGGCTGGAAGGAGAACAACTACCATTCCTCATTTGGACCAACAACAGAAACCTGCAATACCTCCACTCTGGTCGTCGCCTCAACTCCAGGCAAGCCCGCTGGTCCCTTTTCCTTCATAGATTCACCTTCCCCGTCTCCTGTCGTCCCGGCTCCCGCGACCTCAAACCAGACACCCTCTCTCGGACCCACTCCTTGGTTACCCCGGACCCCATCCTCCCTGCCTCCTGTGTCGTCGGCTCCACCTCTTGGGAGATCGACACCATCTTCCCTGTCTCCTTGTTACAGCCTGTTGCCTTGTGCAACCTGAGCCCTCCTTCCGTCGCCCCTCCACCCCCCCGGTTGATTGACGACCACCCTGCCCTCACCGTACGGAAAATCCTGGATGTGCGGCCTCGGGGGCGAGGCTTCCGGTGTCTTGCGTACTGGGAGGGGTGCGGTCCGGAGGAGCGTTCCTGGATCTCCCCCTCCCTCATCCTGGACCACCAACTCCTTGAGGATTTCTACGTCGCTCACCCCAACAAGCCCAGCAGAACGCCAAGAGGCGTTCGTTAAGGGGGGGGTACTGTGGTGAGACGCCTCCATCTTGTTTTATTTTGGCTGGACTTCCTGTGTTTCCTTGTTTGTCTGGTCTGGCTTCACTCTTTTCCAGAGCTTCCTCCCCTCCCCCGGCGCTGAGGCTGAGTGAGACTACACACCTGCTCCACATCTCCAATCAAGGCACTTTAAGGAGCCTGCAGCCCTCAGCCTCAGGGCCTGAGTATTGTCTACCCTTCCTAGCGGTACAGACGTGTCTCCTGGCCTTCCTTGTGGTATAACCTTCAGAACTTTGCTCCCAGTGACTATTTTCATGTTCATTAACTCCCGTCTCCTCTGGTTTTTTCCTGCAGTGTCTCCAGCCCACAAGACAGCCAGCTAACCAGCCCTTCGGACTTCCTCTGTTTGCACTATCTCCCCTTTTTTGGACATTAAAAGTCTCTTTAAGTTGATCTCAGTCTCTGTGTCTGCATCTGGGTCCTCACCACGAACCTGCCTCACAACACAAGCTACTCTGATCTGTAATTTGTTTTCTATACGCATGTTCAAATGTCATGTGAAAGTAGTCATGCGAAATTGATCTTTGAGGAGAATATTTACTGTATTGATCCTGATTATGTTCCCCCTTTTCAAGACTACATTTTAGGAAAATACTTTTTGATGGCTTACTCTTGTTTTTGAAAAGAGAACTATTTTAAGTAAAAGAATAATTTGTCAGACACAATGAATAAAATTGATAGTTTTAGGAATGAAAGACAGGATAAATGCTAGGATCAATGCACTGCTATTCATATTTCAGGTGAGGGATTAGATGCGCAATTGGAAATTCATCATGAATTTCAAATTCATCATATTTGTCCCATTGTTATCATTTCATTTAGGAAAACCTAACCTGAATTTGTCAGTTTTTCTCATCAGCAATGTAATTTAAGTCATAATTTAAGGTGAACATTTCACATCTTTTTATTTATTCATTTACAAAATTTACACTTCAGTGTTTGCAGAGACAAACAAAAGCCTGTCTCACTTTAAAGCTAACCAGTTGTTTTTATTTTAGGATGGACTACAGAGATTTGTTCAGGCAAAGACCTGTTATTGCGGTTGCATGATTCATCTTTATATGTTTATATGATATTGGAAATATATTTCAGCCTGTTAGTTTGAGGGTGGAAATCCTCTCTGCTCTTACGACTAAGACCCACAGGATCTGAAATGGTTCCGCTCCGCTCCGGCACGGCAGGCGGATCAAATACGCAAGCATTATAATCAATGTGCGTGATTCCACACAATCCGTCCACCATCCAGCTCCGCTGCAGATCGGCTCTTGCGGCCAGATCAGATACGCAAGGCTTCTATTTGTGCTAGACGCCGCAGCACAGCGCATCAATTTGGTGCAGTGAAGCACAAGCAGCAGCAGAAGTTGTATGCGGCTACAGGTTTCGTATTTTACAAAAGCAAAATATCCAGTTAATTTTCAAAATCAAATAAAGTCAATATGTTAAACTGTTCTTCACTTGATGGTAGGAGAAGCCAGGGTTGTGGGATGTGGGTGTTTATATACACCGATCGGCAGAGCTGATTCTATGTCACACAGTGAAACACACAAGATCTTGTGAGATCTCGTCCAGTCTCGTGGGAAATATCGGTAATCTCGCAACCACTTCTCCTCCGATGGCGGAGGTGGATCGGATCTGGTGGATGCTGTATGCTTGTGTATTTGATCCGCCTGCCGGTCCTTAGTGGAGTGGGGCTGTTCCAGATCCAGTGGGATTCCCGGGTTCAACGCTGTACTCCTATGCCTTTGTAGGATGTGCAACAACATGTACTTTCTATACATTTTAAGGGATTACACAAAAAATGTACTTTCCCTTTCTGTAGGTGTGATCTGTAGTCATTTTTGGCTGTAAGAAGCTAAGTGGCTTCTTTCATATTCCTTAAAGCTCTAAAACAACCACTGGATAATGTCCTCTTTTTTTCTGAGAGACGGAGAATGGAATGCTCTTTTACTGAAACAGAAAAATCACAGAAAGCAGTACAGTGAGACCAGAATTTCAAGAGAGGGGTTGAAAATAAAGAGATTTGTTGACCCAAATGAGAAGACATATTGTGGAGACAGAGTCATTCAAACTGAATCAGTTCCACCCACCAATGATCCTTCTCTCTTTCTTTCAGCCGCCTCCTGTGTTCTACTTTCTGCTTTCTCTCCCATTGTGACTCTTTTTTTTCCCCTACTTTCACTATCACACACACACACACACACACACACACACACATCCTTGTCTTTGTGCTATGGTCAGGACACATGAGCAGACCATGCATTGTGGGAACCAACCTTTCTGAAGGTTGTACAGCACTGAGAAAAATCAGGCAGTATCCTGACATGTAGGTAAACAGAGAAATCACTTCAAATTACCAATTAGACAAAGTAGAGGTCCCTGACCAGACTAGGCACAGACATCTGGGAACCTGTCTGGTATTTGGCCACATCTGGGGTCAGTATCTACACACTGCCCGGTTTTTCTCTCCTCCTGGGTACCACTTACACAAACATCAGATCAAACAGACTTTGTGGGACCACTCCACACTTGTCAGTGCAGGACAGTGATGAGAACCAATCTCGACAATCTTCGACAAGTACATTTCTTATCAGTATCACCAGCTTATATTCAAGGTATTATAAGTGCATCAGTCTCTAGATCTACTCTCAAACCTGACCTGATATACCTTCAATGTTCACAGGATGTGTCTTTCTTAGAAGTGCACCATCTGATGTTTTCTTCAGCCAGAAAGTTCTCCCCTTTCTCTTGTCTGAACTCTAATTTTTAACACAGCACAGATGGGCTGATTTTATAGTTTTGATAAGGATGATGTTTTGTGTTTTAGGGTAAATTGTACAAATAATTAAATTGAATAGTGACAGAAGTCAACAGCTGTCTTGTGTCTTATGTGTTAATATGCATGTGGCTACATAAGAAAGATATATCTATGTAAAGGATTTTTTATACTGTTCATATGATTAGACCTGAAACAGTGGATGAATTTAAAAGCTGAAAGTTTTTATTCAAATTTTTTTGAAGATGTTGGATAAACAAAATTTGTTCAACTAAGGAACCACAAACTAACATTCTTTCAAAAACAAAAGAAAACACCCTCCTCTTTTAAAACTGGTACAGTGTGTCTGTGCAGTTATTGGCAGCTTATAACAAAAATAAATCGAGTCAAAACTCTTCATTAAACTCCCTTTACAGGTAGACAAATCTGTTACTGTATGACACAGCTCTGAAGCCCAACCTACAGTAACTCTAAGCATCCAAATATAAATTAAAATAAGGAGGTAAAATAAGGAAACACTAACAAGTTAATGGTATAAACCAGAAAACATGCTTTACCTTGAGGACAGTAAAAGTGATGCAACCCTCCTACAGCTGTCAACAGACAACACCTGATCCCTCTAAACTTTCCTCTTCAGAGCTGTGATTCGGTTTTTGATATAGAATTTAATAGCCAACCAATTCCTGTTTTTGAGCGCTTCTTTCTCTTGTTCAATGCACTTATCGCAGTCGCGTTTCCCTGGAACACGGCATGTGGTGATGAAGGACATCATGTGTTTCTCAACGGCCAGGATCTCCTCTCTTTCCCAAGGCCTCTTTTTAACAGGCTGCCGAGCTGTAAATAAACAAAAACATAATCAATTCTGTTTTTTAACCATGGAGTGATTTAGAAGCAATTTAAGTAACATAGGTGAATGAGAACTCAGAAACTTCCCCCTCCCCAAAAAAAATCTTAATCACAAATGTGTGTCTGCAATCCACATTTCAGCACATGCCAAGAAAACACATTTACAACCACACCATAAACTAATCTGATTTCAGACCGGTCTCAGAGAACTTGCCTCTTTCCGTTTTTGGTGACCCCTGTTGTTTGGTGTTTTGAGGTGCGATGGTGCTCTGCTGTGGTGATGCATCATCATGGTTCACATCAGATGGTGCATCCTCTTCCCTCTGACTAGATGTAAACTTACTCCCTACAACAGAGCAGAAGAATATAGACTGTATCCACCACAGCTCACTAGCTCGTTTGTGCAATAGGTGAAAAACCAGTTGGATATTGTGACTGTGGTCATGCTCTAACTGATTGTGAAGCACACGTGACACCAGCCATTCAACCCCTTTATGTTAAAGTTTTTTGATCTAATATTTGTAACCAAGAATCTCCTAAAGTTGATCAAGTTTCTCATGTTAAAAAGGATAAGTATATATGTTGATACATTCAAAATTTGTATACAGGATGATGAAAATTGTTTCCTTGAATATTTTTTCTAGTAAAATTTAGTTTAGTAAGTTCCTAATGACATGTTAAAATACATTATTTACATTATTTAGGGGGGTATTTGTCAACTTACCTGCTAAATTGAAAGATTTGGGATTATCTGGTTAACAGGAAATGCTTTTCTTTTGAAGGACCTCTAAACTGAATTCACAGGAAGTAAGGCACTTCTTGTCACTTGATGTTATGAAGTCAAGTGTAAAACTGAGTTATAATTACTTTCATCCATTAACTTTAAAATGTTAGCATAAAGGTTGACTTTATACATGTTGGTCATAATTTGAAGCTCTTCACTATGAGGCACAGGTTAACAAACCCCACAGACATATTGGAAGTCTAACGACTACAGACTGTAGCATAACAGTGCTCTCCCCAACTCACAAACATTTCAAGATCTCTGCTGACTGACTGCAGTATTGATCCTCCATGCTGATAAGAAGGGTTAAACTATAAATCTAAATACTTGTAAAATACATGTGCAAAATTATTCTCTGTAACTCTTATCTGAAATTAGATCATAAACTATTTCAATTCACATAAACTGAAAAAAATATCAACTCAATAACTCTTAACGAGCTCTTTGACACAGCGATATAGTGCTGAGTAGTGTTGTAGTTTCAAGCCTGTGACATAAATACAGTTGATGGAGTTGATAAATACTTAGTATTGTTTTTCTGTGCCATTAAGCACATTTTGAGGTGATATTGCAATTAAGTAAATCACCAAACCTAACTTGATCCCTTTTTTTTTGAACGTAAACAAATGCTGATGTAAGGTGAATCACAGGCCTCAAAAACTACAATTGACTGAAAACCATTAACGAGTACTGCTCCAAGATGGCGGTGGTCTTGGAGCATCCTGGGGTTGTGTGGCATCTTGTGATTATGATATCTGTGGATACACCACCCTGGTTATATCCTAACCTAAAAGAGGTAAATCAACCTACCCTATTGCCCCCCAACACCTCTAACACCATGCTTGTGCTTGACATGCAAGTGCTTATAACAGCAATCTAAAAGCTCAAACTAAACTTGGTGCAGGGATTAAAATGAAGCCGTTACAGACATTACATAGTCACCTCTCTGATGTTGCAAATGAACATCAAGACCGATGAGCTTTAAAGTTAACAAAAACATTTTATGACCAGTTGTTGACAGACAAAAGCAGGCTCCAAATGGATTCTGTAAACTGATATTGCACATGGATGTCTACAAATATGCAGCAGTGGTCACATATAAAATTGTATGTAAATACCAACCTTCAGAGCCCGACTCGCATGCCTCGTCAGGATCGCTGTCAGGGTGCACATTCTCTGTATAGGGGTGAGGGGGAATGAGTGTTATTCAAGATCATTTGTTTCTGACATGGTGAAAAATTCCCAGAAAACATAATTACAAAAAGTGCATTTCCTTCAAAAGGAGACAAGAGAGATAGATAAATAGTACCCTCCGGGTCAATGTTGATGTCATCCAAGGTCTTTCCCTTGAATTCTCCCAGCCGTCCTTTCTCCAGAGCCAATAGAACTTTGCTTATTTTAGCAAGCTGGAGGGTGCCCTCAGGAAGCCTATAGAACTGCCTATGTACTCGTATGTCATGGCCGAGAAAATCAGCCAACTGGTCCAACTCTGTGTTGCTGAGGTTGAGAACTTGTGAAAGAGTTCCTGTTTGTTTGCGAAGGTGAGACTTTCGGGACTTTTTGCACCACAGATCTTTGCAAAATGTCGAAGGCAGTCAGAACCACGGAGGCATGTAAAGGCAGATGGTCTAGCAAAAAGATACCTGTTCTCTTTAGGAACCCCACATTCCTGCCGTTTGCTGGTAAGTAAATCCAATGCATGCTGCATTGCCGGGGTCAGAAGAACGGGAACCTTTCTTCCTCTTTTTCCCCTGATCTCGATCCGTCTGAAGTGTTGGCAGAGTTTCTTCTCAACAGGTGACAGGGCATCAATCACATCATCTTGAGGATCTGATGTACTGTTTGACAAATATGCTGTCATGGGCATTTTTGACACCTCCCCAGCTCTTCGACGATTGAAAAGGATGACTTGAGTCAACGTGACCTTGGTCAGCTGTGACCATGTTTGCGGGGATGTCTCAGTGGATAGTTTTGAGCTGTAATGTTGCTGTTTCTCATCCAAATAGGAGTGGAGAGTTTGGACATCCTTTGTGAAAGGAAGCAGCAGAGGGGTGTTCCACCTGGCCTCCTGCAGTGTCCTCAGTGATGCAGCCGAAACCATTTCATTCCAGCGAGTTTCGTACACTCTGCGAAATGTACGTGCATCTTTAGCAGCACTGTAATTGTTTTGTACATTTGCACGACTTTCTACAAGCATTGATACCTTTGTCAGGCTATGTCCAATTTTGAGGGCCAGACTTGGACACTTGTAAGTGTTGGTTGCACTATCAAAACCTGCCACCTCTTTTACAGCCTGAATAACTTGCATGAAGTTGGATGGTCTGATGTGGTCTCGAATGGTCTTCATGGAGGTGGTTTTTCTGGAGCACAGCAGAAGTCTTCCAAGCTCTCTTAACTTCTGGCGGATATATTCATGTTTTCCAGGATCATGTCCCAGTCTGTTGTATAGATGGTCCCCGTACTCCAGAATACAGGCATCAGATTTAACTGCTGAAAAAACCTCATCTTGGAGCATGTTGTTTAAGAGTTTCCACAAGTCCTGTTTGACGCCAGGTGGAGGAGGTGAAGTAAATGCACAAAGGGCCTGGACACGGGTTTTACCTGGTTTGTGTGGTACAGAAGGCCTAAGCTTGCAAATCTGCATGTGCCGCCAAAGCAGCTTTCTGGCAAAAAAGCCTTGACAATATGCACAGTGTAGGAAATCCTGTGCACTGGAATCCTGCCTCGGCTGCTTGCGGGGAACAAGGTTACCGACCCCAGAGTGTAGTACCTCTACATTGTGTGAAAAGTTGCCCCTGTTTCTCAAAAGTTCCAGATGCATTCGTCTTTCTTTGGAGCCTTTTTTGAAGGCAAAAGCCTGTGCAACCTCTGACTTATCTATATGTGCTCGCTCTAAATGTCTTGCAATTTTTATAACACCCAATTTGCAGTACAAACAGTACTGCTTCTTGTTATAAAGTCTTGACCCATTCTCTTTTTTGCAGACAGCGGGTATGGAAAGTGGACCACCAGACTCATTATCATTTGTAAGAATGGAAGAGGAACTGTCAGGAAGACATTCGTCCTGGTCCTGGTCTAAATTCACCACTGAGTTTTGGGACAGGGCATCAGCGTCTGCTACAAAACTCTGGTTAGATGAGTCAGCATGGCTGGCTAGTGTTGAATGATGAACCACACTTCTGTAGCATTGCCTTTTACGCATCAGACCAGAGCTACTTCTCCTAACAGGTGAACGCCCTCTTGTAACAACCTGCTGTGAAGAGGCTTCAGATCTTTGGGTTAAGGGAGGGAAATCTTTGATGACATCTTTTATCTTGAAGAGAGGGTCCACTTCCAGGACTTCACTTCTGCCGGAATCATCAGAGTCCTCACTTGTCTTAGGAATGTATTCCTCTTCACTGTCAGCTGAGGTGGTGTCATAAAGCTCTTCTGAATCAAAGTGAATCTGGTTTTTCATCTAAAGAAAGCAATAAAAATATGATAGACAGTAGGCACAAGACCAATGAAATGTCTGCAATTGACTTTTAATACATTCACTGCACTGTGTGTGTGTGTTGTTTACCAGTATACTTTTGGTCCTCCTGAGCCTGGGGACAGAAATATGGTCCTGCTCTGAGAGGCAATGTTCAGATTCAGGATTTGAGGATGGACTCTGGGGTTCATCAGAATCTGTGTAGTTTACTAGAGGAAGATTCAGCCCATATTTTTTCACTGAGGGAAGAGGACAAGCTGCATCTGAGTCCTAGAGAAAATAAAGACAAAACGAAATACTGAAGCATCTCATCAAGGTACGAAAAAAAGGCCTATACTCAAAGCTAATTAAGATCAACCAGATGGTAGCCCTTTTACTGAAATGTATGCATTGGTGAGGAAAACTGCAGCTTTAACACCTCAAGACCAGACAGGATGGTCAGCTGGAATAAATACCTTTATCTCTCTGAGTGTAGATCCCTCAGGAGGCTCCTCTGTGGTACTGGAGATCTCAGCCTCAGATGTTTCAGCCACAGTAGGTGGTTCCATGTCCTAAACAACAAGTTTGAGATGAATAGTAAATAAACTAACTTATTATTGATCAAATTTCTGTACATTAAAGGCTTCTAGCACATCAAATATACATAACAGTCTATTTACCTGATGAATCCACTCACTGCAGCTCATGCTAAATCACCTCATCTAAACAAATCCATTTGTACTTACTAGTGGTGCAACAGATCATCATTGATCCATGATCTGTTCGGATTGACGTCATTGGTTTGGCACAAATGTGACCCGCTAATTATTTCTGAAAAAAAAAAAGTTGTGCTCCGTCCACACACAGCTTATTGTAAGCGAAGAAAGGAGGAGGGCAGACATGGCGAGTTGAGGAAAGGAGGAGCTTGAACGCCCCGCGACACTTAAGTCCCTTGTATGGGAGCATTTTGGCATCCCTGTCAACTATGATGAAGAAGGAAAGAGGTCAGTGGACAAAACTGCGACGGTGTGTAGGCACTGTGGCATAAGAAATCGAAATGACAGTGGGAACACATCGAGCATGTTCACGCATTTGAAGCGACATCACCCGGGTGTTTTACTGACTGGCGATAAAACGAAAGCTGGCCAACAACTTCACCACAGCATTTAAGCAGCCTCTTCCTTGTGCAATCCGACAGGGCTAAAGCTATCACAAACGCTATCGGTGTGTTTATAGCTACAGACATGAGGCCATATTCAGTTGTGCAAAACATGTTAAAAACATGCTGAAAGTCCTTGAGCCACGTTAAGACATCCCGTCGCTCACATACTTCATTTTTGGTTCATTGTTACATTTTAAAGGAAGGAGATATGCCTGTATATTGCACTTCAAGTTGTTTTTCATTAATAATTATGCTAGAAAGAAGATATTATGCCTTGTGCACTACTTTTATATATTTAATTTAATCATTTAAGTGTTTAATAAACAGACAAAACTCGTGTTTGTCTTGTTTTTTTTTTTTGTTGCTTTTTGCTGATCCAAAAAATGATCTGATCCATGACTCTTGATCCGAGGAACGATCCAATCCGTGAGTTTTGTGATCCGTTGCACCACTAGTACTTACTGCTATTTTTTGTCAACTGATGTCTTCTTTAAACCACAGAGTGAATGATGGAGAATAGAAAGGACTGGAAGAGACTTAAGTCTCCTTGTCAAACAGCTGGAGTGACCGGTGGGTTCTAAGATCATCACATAGTGAACAGATAAACTGCATATAATGTTTATTTCACACAATAAGAAAAAAAAACCTTTTTTATCTCTCATTAATGTCAACATTGTATCTGACTTTACGTGGACCCCACGAACACTGTAAACCTGACAAGTGTGTTTGTCAGACATCTTAAATACCAACCTGACTGGACTCCACAACTCAAAATCAACCCAAGGGAGCCTTAAAGCAGACACACAGCTTAACTGAGCATCAAAATAAAAAAATCAGATACATTATAAGGACCTGACCAATCAGCAGAGTTTTTAAAACTGCACCTTTAACACCTAAAAATCAGACAGAATGATCAGGTGGACTAACACCTCTATCTCTGTGAGTTTGGATCCCTCAGGAGGCTCCTCTGCGGTCCTGGGGATCTCAGCCTCAGATGTTTCAGCCACAGTAGGTGGTTCCACGTCCTAAACAAAAAGTTTGAGATGAATAGTAAATTAACCAACTCATAATTGATCTAAATTCTACACTTTTAAAGCCACTGGCACATAAATATACATTACCTTCATAAACCCGACGAATACACTCACTGTAGCTCTCATGCTAAATGAGTTCATCTGGACACATATTTTCTGTACTGACTGCTATTTTTGTACACCTGGTGTCTTCTTTTAAACATTTACTGGACCATGGTGAACAGAGAGGACTGGCAAAGACTCAAGTCTCCCAGTGAAACAGCTGGAGTGACCGGTAGGTTCTTAGATCATTACACAGTGAGGAACACATCAACTGCAAAGGATGTATTTTTTTCATGTGATATTTAATCTCCCATTAATGTCAACAGTGTATCTGACTTTACGTGGACCCCACAAACACTGTAAACCTGACAAGTGTGTTTGTTAGACGTCTTAAATACCAACCTGACTGGACCCCTTAACACAAAATCAACCCAAGGGAGCCTTAAAGCAGACACACAGCTTAACTGACCATCAAAATAAAAAAATCAGATACATTTAAAGGACCTGACCAATCAGCAGAGTATTTGCAACTGCAGATTTAACACTAAAGAGCAGACAGGATTATCAGCTGGAATAATTACCTCTATCTCTCTGAGTGTAGATCCCTCAGGAGGCTCCTCTGCGGTACTGGAGATCTCAGCCTCAGATGTTTCAGCCACAGTAGGTGGTTCCATGTCCTAAACAACAAGTTTGAGATGAATAGTAAATTAACCAACTATTTATTGATCTAATTTCTGCACATTTAAAGCCACTGGCACCTCAAATATACATAACAGTCTATTAACCTGATGAATCCACTCACTGCAGCTCATGCTAAATCACCTCATCTAAACAAATCCATTTGTACTTACTGCTATTTTTTGTCAACTGATGTCTTCTTAAAAACATAAAGTGATTATAAAGAATAGAAAGGACTGGCAAAGACTTAGGTCTCCTAGTCAAACAGCTGGAGTGGCTGCTAAGGTCTTAGATCATTACACAGTGAGGAACACATCAACTGCAAAGGATGTATTTTTTTCATATGATATTTAATCTCTAATTAATGTCAACTTTGTATCTGACTTTACGTGGACCCCACAAACACTGTAAACCTGACAAGTGTGTTTGTCAGACATCTTAAATACCAACCTGACTGGACCCCACAACTTAAAATCAACCCAAGGGAGCCTTAAAGCAGACACACAGCTTAACTGACCATCAAAATAAAAAAATCAGATACATTTAAAGGACCTGACCAATCAGCAGAGTTTTTACAACTGCAGATTTAACACTAAAGAGCAGACAGAATGATCAGCTGGAATAAATACCTTTATCTCTCCGAGTGTAGATCCCTCAGGAGGCTCCTCTGTGGTACTGGAGATCTCAGCCTCAGATGTTTCAGCCACAGTAGGTGGTTCCATGTCCTAAACAACAAGTTTGAGATGAATAGTAAATTAACCAACTATTGTTCTGATTTCTTCACAATTAAAGATACAGGCAACTTTAAATACATTATGATTCTTAAACCTGATGAATCCACTCGCTGTAGCTCTCATGCTAAATCCCATAATCTAAACAAAATCATCTGTACCAACTACTATTTCTGTCGCTTGGTGTCTTCTTTTAACCAAAATGTGGATCATGGAGCCCAGAAAGGACTGGCAGAGACTTCAGTCTCCTAGTCAAACAGATGGAGTGACCGGTGGGGTCTTAGATCATTACACAGTGAGGAACACATCAACTGCAAAGGATGTATTTTTTTCATTTGATATTTAATCTCCCATTAATGTCAACAGTGTATCTGACTTTACGTGGACCCCACAAACACTGTAAACCTGACAAGTGTGTTTGTCAGACATCTTAAATACCAACCTGACTGGACCCCACAACTCAAAATCAACCCAAGGGAGCCTTAAAGCAGACACACAGCTTAACTGAGCATCAAAATAAAAAAATCTGATACATTATAAGGACCTGACCAATCAGCAGAGTATTTACAACTGCAGCTTTAACACCTCAAGACCAGACAAGATGATCAGCTAGAATAAATACCTCTATCTCTCTGAGTGTAGATCCCTCAGGAGGCTCCTCTGTGGTCCTGGAGATCTCAGCCTCAGATGTTTCAGCCACAGCTGATTGTCTGCCCTTCTAAGATTAGGATGAATGACAAGTGTGTTTGTTAGATTGCTAAAATCACAACCTAACTGGAGCCCATTACATCAGAACAACTTGAGTAAGCTCTGAAAATGTACTTCAATTTTTGTCAGTAACAAAGACTTTGACAAACCTTTTTCCTCCTAGGCCAGTCATCCTGTTTTTGGACTTTTCTGCTTCTCAGCGTATACATCCTATAAAGGAAAATTTATAGTTTCAAGTTTTGATTTTTTTTTATCTCTATGGACAAACATGCCAGGCCCAGTGCATGTCTGCAGTGTCATATAACTACTCAATAATGTTTAATGTTACTAAAATTACATTCATTGTAAACTTTAACAACCATGTGACAAACCAGTGAGTAGTGACCATGTTGTCTGACACAAAATGATGAACTTGCTCCTGCTGCTTCACTGTGAACGGTCTGTCATTTACTTCAATTAAAAGCGCACGTGCCTAAGATGGCGGCTTTGCTCTCACTCCCCCCACCCTACCCCACCCACCCACCATAACGCACATTTCCCCAAATATGACCGTGTTGTAAAAGAATAAGATTCAGATAAAGATTAAACAAAATCAAGTCACATTTTCGGTGTTTTTTATAGTTAAAAACTTTGACAAAAAGTTACAAAGAGAACACAATGCGACCGTGAGACCGCTAGTTCTGCCTAACGAACTTTGCTAGCAGCTAGCTTTCTGTGTGCATGCCACATAATACCATGTGTGAAAACACCGGGTAACTTTTTGACTATAAAGTAATCACTTACCTAATTATTTTATCAGAATCCCACTTACCTTTCAGTTAAATCCTCTCCTGCTGCAGCTCAAGTCTCCCCTGCAGTCAAGTGCTTCTCACTCATCTCCGTACCGTCAGCTGAGGAGCGCTTACTCTGTATAGTCAGCACGTCCTGAACGGGTGGTGCTGCTTTAACCATAGATTCCTATATCCGCCCGCCAGGCATGTCAATATAAAAATTTAAAGCAGCCCACTCCTTTTTGTTAGAGTAATAGTGTGTGTGTTTATCAGTTACCAGTTTCAATAAATGTATTTATTTACTAATTTAAATACACTTTTTGTAGTCAAGTGCTTATCTCTTCTCCAAACTATCAGCTAAGGAGCGCTTACTTTGCAAAACCGTTACATCCTGTGCGGGTGGTGCTGCTTTAATCACAGAATTTGTGTGTCCGCCCGCCAGACATTTGTTATTAAGGCAGCCCGCTTCTTTTGTTATTGTAGAAGTGTGTGTTTATCAGTTTCAATTTCAGTAAATAGGAACTTATTTATTTAAAAGGATGATATCATGTTTCTGACAATTAATCACTTTGTCTTGCCCAGCCTGCCTGTACTATCTCAAACAACAATAATAATAATAATAATAATAATAATAATAACATTCTTACTGCAAGAATCCCAATTCTTCTACTGTTACCACTACTACTTCTATTATCATTTTATTAGTATTATTATTGCAGTACATTTTACTTGTGTTACTTTAAAAAAATACTGAAAGATAAGTGTCACAAAAACTCATGTTATAAACGAAGAAAAAAAAACAAAGCTTGGATAAAATGGCATCATCAGTGATTCCAGAGATGTGTTTTAGAGGAGAATTGGATTTTGGCAGATCAGTTTTCTGTTGGAGGTTGAGGCTCTCACACTCTCTTTCACCACTGGTCCTGCAGACAGGTCAGAAAGGAGTGTGAGAGTTGAGCAGGTCAGTAAGACAGGATTAGGACCTTATCAGTAAGATAGGGTCCTGATCATGGAGAGCTTTGTGAGTGAAGAGAGGGACGGTACAGTGAGAAAGTCTTTGGATTGGAGACTAGTGGAGGTTCTGGAGTAACAGGGAGATTTGCTAACAGAAGTAAGAGTGTGTGAGAAGGTGAGCAGCAGAGTTCTGGATATACCAGGGTTTATTGAGGACTTTGGGTAATGAACTGTTCAAGATGCTTTAGTACGCAATTCTGGATGATATGACAGCATTATTAGGGGATAATGCAGATGAGAGAGAGGCTGAAAGAGCTGAGACAGGGATGAACTTGAGGTTCCTGAATGCTGATTTCTCTTTTTGACCATGAAAGCTGATGTGGATATTCAGTATTGTTGCTAGATGGTGGTCACAAATATGGAGATTGTGGCTCAAGACTTGCTTAATGGTGAGACCAGAGCAAACCAGCAGAATGTGCTCACAACTGCGGGTGTGGAAGTTGATATTTTGTGTTAAGTTAAATAACTGCATTAACCAGTAAGGTAGAGCTTTAAAGTTTGAAAGAAAATGGTATGAAGGTTTGTGTTGCAGGAGTTTGAGAGGAGATAAAGTTTGTTATCGGTGATGAATTTATTCAGGGAGGGAAAGATTCCATTGAAAAATGAGTGTTAACTTACACCAGTTGCTTTGGAATTTGCTCAGAGGACTGGAGAAGAGAGCAGAGATTTGACAGGTCTACATGCTGTTCTTTGTTGTTATGATGCAATGAGGCAGTGTGGCAAGACCATAGTGAAGGGTTAAAATTTGTGGATGAGAAGTGGTGTATGTATGAAAAATATGTGCAGAGCCTCTGCACAACATTATCTGTGGACTGTATCAGCCTTTCTCAGACTGTCAACACAGCCTTGGCAGAGGTGGTTAATGAACAGATGCAGTGCTAAGGAGTAATACAGTCAGGGGAAGCTAGTTTATAGCTAGTATTGGCAGTGGACCAGAGGCTAGGTGTCCTAAGAGGGAGAAGTAACAAGCAGCCCAGGAACATCTGACAGGTTACATCCAATCATGACAGCAGCAAAAACACTACAGTTGTGTACTGAGGAGAGGAGAGGATAGCCAGGAGCAGCAGTCTGTTGTTCCTGCTATCTTCTGTGGCAGCTAACATTAGCCGACACTTTGGCTACCTGGCTATGTACACTGCTAACTTTTTTACAGATTGTTCACCCAGCAGCAAAAACACTACAATGTGTGTTGAGGAGAGGATAGCCAGGAGCAGCAGACTGTTGTTTCTACTACCTTCTGTAGCAGCTTACATTAGCTGACAAGTCAGCTACCTGGCTATGTACACTGCTAACTGTTTAAAAGATTGTTCACCCAGCAGCAAATCACTACAGTTGTTGTGTACTGAGGAGAGGAAATGATAGCCAGGAGCAGCAGCCTTTTGTTCCTGCTACCTTCTGTAGCAGCTAACATTAGCTGACACTTTGGCTACCTGCTTATTAACACTGCTAACTTTTTTACAGATTGTTCACCCAGCAGCAAAAACCCTACAATGTGTGTTGAGGAGAGGGGAGGATAGCCAGAAGCAGCAGCCTTATGTTCCTGCTACCTTCTGTAGCAGCTAACATTAGCTGACAAGTCAGCTACCTGGCTATGTACACTGCTAACAGTTTTACAGATTGTTCACCCAACAGCAAAAGTACTACAGTTGTGTGTTGAGGAGAGGAGAGGATAGCCAGGAGCAGCAGACTGTTGTTTCTACTACCTTCTGTAGCAGCTTACATTAGCTGACAAGTCAGCTACCTGGCAATGTACACTGCTAACTGTTTTACAGATTGTTCACCCAGCAGCAAATCACTACAGTTGTTGTGTACTGAGGAGAGGAAATGATAGCCAGGAGCAGCAGCCTTTTGTTCCTGCTATCTTCTGTGGCAGCTAACATTAGCCGACACTTTGGCTACCTGCTTATGGACACTGCTAACTTTTTTACAGATTGTTCACCCAGCAGCAAAAACACTACAATGTGTGTTGAGGAGAGGAGAGGATAGCCAGGAGCAGCAGACTGTTGTTTCTGCTACCTTCTGTAGCAGCTAACATTAGCTGACAAGTCAGCTACCTGGCTATGTACACTGCTAACAGTTTTACAGATTGTTCACCCAACAGCAAAAGTACTACAGTTGTGTGTTGAGGAGAGGAGAGGATAGCCAGGAGCAGCAGACTGTTGTTCCTGCTTCATTGTGAAGTAGCTAACATTAGCTGACAAGTCAGCTACCTGGCTATGTACACTGCTAACAGTTTTACAGATTGTTCACTCAACATCAAAAACACTACAGTTGTGTGTTGAGGAGAGGAAAGGATAGCCAGGACCAGCAGCCTGTTGTTCCTGCTGCATTCTGAAGCAGCTTACATTAGCTGACAAGTCAGCTACCTGGCTATGTACACTGCTTACTTTTCTACAGATTGTTCACCCAGCAGCAAAAACACTACAATTATGTGTTTAGGAGAGGAGAGGATAGCAAGAAGCAACAGCCTGTTGTTCCTGCTACATTCTGAAGCAGCTAACATTAGCTGACAAGTCAGCTATCTGGCTATTTACACTGCTAGCTTTTTTACAGATTGTTTTGCATTACAAATATCTGATGAATATAAAAAAATCAGGTCTTTATTTACAATGGACCAATATAATTTATTCAGTATTAGTCTATTGTAATGCCATAAATTACATTTCTAAAAGTCATTCTCAGTACAAAATCATGTTATTGAGCAAATGTTTCTAAGAGTCAAAGAGCTGTAAGTTTTTAACTCATGATGTGCGAGAGCATTAACATCAGTTTACCAGACCAACCAAATCTCTTTATATGTGTAAATGTCCATCTCAGATATGGGTTTGTCTCACCTTTTTTTATTACTTGTTTTGATAAGTCTGAATATATGGCTAACCCCCTAGACAAAGTGGCAGCTGCCAAACTCATGACACCAATAGGTGAGACAGAGGCTAAACAACATTAACTGTTTAAATCTAAAACCAGACTTTAAGTTAAGGCGAGGTAATACAAAATCTTAATTAAATTTGTCATACATTTGCAGTTCAATTTTGTCTGATCACAAAAATAGCATCATGAAAAATTGTGGTTTAACTTTACATTTCAAATAACTGGTCAATATAAAAAATCTAAATTAATTCATAATTAAAACTAATGCAGAATATTTTACATATGGTTGTCTTCTGATGTGATTGACTTTATTGTTACAGCCTCTTCTTTTAAATGCTCCAAAGTGTTTTTTACCATATTCACCATATTCTGGTGGATGACTTCAGAAAAGCAGTAGCCACAAGAAGGCTTGTGCTCACAAATCACTTAATATTAGGTGCCAGGGACTAATGTTTTGAGAAATCCCTTGGAGCATTTCTATAATCTAAAGGTTCACATTCACAAGCTATATATAACCATGATGCTTCAAACCTGGACAACTAACTTTTGACGCTAAATCAAATCAGTTTACCATTGATTCAAAAAGGCTACCTTGGGAAATAAATAAATAAATAAATAAGCAAGATCTAAAAGCATTTTTTCAGTTTTTATCATTATGTTGCTGACTTCTTTGTCATAAATCTGTTAGTCACGAGCAACAGATGAATATGGCTCTACCTTACCTTGTCCCATGATCAATAACTTAAAACTTCTACTATATCCTTTCATTCAAGTGGAATGAATAGTCATCTTAAGTTAAAGAAGCTAGCTTAATCTCAGAGGGCTGTTGCATAGCATATTTCAATCAAGTGTGTGTACAAGTGTGTATGGCTGCAGTATCACTTTTCACCACTAGGGGCCAGTACTGAGTTACCTCCCACATACACACTTTAGCACACAAATGTCGGTAAATGTGTATTCTGGGGTGAACCCTGAAAATTTGACAGGGCACTATTTTAACCATTTTATCACTGAATAATAGGTTACTTTTTGTGGGGTCCAGGATTTTGGTCCCCACTTTATTTTCAGTCCCCACGCTGTGAGTGGGCTATCACATCTCGGTACCAACAATGTATTAAAGACAAACACACACACACACACACACACACACACACACACACACACTTAAATGTCAGTCTGTCCACACATTTACTAACAGAAGCATGCCATATTCCTCGGATGAACACACTTTCTGGCACAACATTACTGCTTTCCCTTCTTTCATTTTTTTTTTCTTCCTCCATCCTTCTCTTTTCCCGCAGAGCTCTTTTCAGAAGTAATGAATGCCGTAATCTGGAGGGGGAGATGATTTCATCCAGAGCTTTTAGCTGCTGGACTGAGCATGAAAGCCTCAGTCTGTACTTCCAGCATGGTGTTCCCTTTGGGGCAGTGTTAGCAACACGACTGGCTTTGCTTTCAAAGCAAATTATTAAATTGAGGGCTTCTTTTCTGGCCGTAAAACCATGTCTAAAGCTCAGTTTGCTGGGGACTGCAACCAGCAGAGGATATCAAGATGTTTGTAGTAACCGCAGAGATATATTGGTTTCATAACTGATGTACACATGTAATGTATTGTAATGTACAGTAAAGATTACATCATATATGAAAAAAAATTACTGGTAGCTTTACCATCAAACAGGTATGAAAAACTGTTAAAATCTTGCAAAAAGGGGTTGTGTTTGCTATTCTAAATGCATTCATGTTGATATATGATGAGTAGATGGTTTTAAGTGTTCAGATCAAGAGAAGTTTTAGATTACTTCCGTTATTTCACACAACAAAGTCATCAATTATGACTGCATACAAGAAAAAGGTTGCTTGAGTCGTGGAGGCTGCAAAGCTTACTTGATAAAGTCTGATAAACGCTCTGTGATGTGAGTCAGCATACGCATCAGGCTGAGATGAAAAACTCCAGGTGTGGAGCCTGAAAAAATTGAGTCTGACAGACCTTTGGAGCTCACTGCTGATGTCTACTTGAGTCCAGCGTTTCAAGGCGACATTAGCCGCTACTAGGACAACACAGCTGAATGACAAATCACACTGTCACCACTTGAGTTTGATTGATGGCCCAAGGTTGTGACAAGAGAGAATAAAATGTGGCAAATCTGCGGTTCTACTTTGTCATTTTGAGCCTTTTTTTTTTTTTTTGTAATGTGGGTCTGGAAGTGTTATGCGCAGCGCTAACTTTTTAAATTCTCAGCTAAAACTGTGAAAGGATTTGACTTTCTTGAATGCATCTTATACATTTAAATTCCACAGATTTAAATATTTAGCTTCATGGCTGGGCCATTTTCCTAAGTATTTAAATAAAGAATGAGAAAAGGACTCAACAGTGCATTACATCTTGAGAGACCTCGCTTTCAACACCAGCCTTTTTTTTTCTATGCATGAATATATCTCATGTTTATATAGAACTGGAGGATAAATCAGAAAATATATCTTAACCCACATTGATTTAGGTGTCACAGTGTTGAAACAGGAAATCACACCCCATGTTATTTGACTAAAATGTCAAAGCTTTAAAGAGGTCAAGGCATTGTGAAAGGAGACACATACACACAGACACGTATGAGGTGTGAATACTGATTCCAGTAGGACTAGGAAAATGGCTGCAGACCCTGAATCTGAAAAAGACCAAACAGCATGAAACAGCCTCGAGGCCTTTGAAGTGCTCTCACAGCTCCATCACTGTGCAGGAAGCAGCATTTAAACGTGTCATTGTGGTGAAAAGTAAGTGTGGTAACTACAGGTGAGAAAATGCACATTTTCTGATTTTGAGAAGTCAAAATCATAGTTACATCTTAATGGAAATATGCAATCAAGCCATCGCATACCAGCTTCTTTATATTCCATACTATTTTAAATAGATTGATGCTGTATTGCACAGTGTGTTAAATTTGTGCTTGAATAAATGAATCCCTATTTTCAGTATATACTATCTGGTTAAATGGCATATTTCATTAGAAAACCTGTCTGTTCCTTATCATTTTACCAAAGTGTTCCATTTCTAAAGTGACTATTTACATTTGCTGCTTGACTTAAGTAGATGCTCAGTAAGCATACTCACAGTGCTCTTTCATAGTGCGTGATGAGACAGGCTTAAGGCTCATTTATGCTCAACGTTACATACAGATCCGGATATGAATGGAGCTCTCAGTCTGTGCTTCGTATTTCTGCATGTATCCTTAAAGTTTACACATATGGGCCAGACAGAGCAGTACCACTGGAAACGGTGGGGGGAGTGTCGCTACTGTTACTACACAATATGCATCTCTAGAGAGAAACAAAGAAGACAATAGCAGGGCTTTATGAGGATCGTCATCAAATTCTCTAATCTGTACTACAAGAGAAAAGAATTCTCCGTCCTCCAACCGCGAGGCATTTAGTGGCCTGACCGACCACCACCTCCTCCAACGCTGCCTCCGTTTCTGTCTCCTATGCAAAATATACATTACCACTAGCTCCTCCATAGTCGCCATGTTTGCTGTTAGAAACTTTTGACTCTGGCCTGCCCCCTGGTGGCTGTAATGGTTAACATCCATGCCAATGTAAAGGACGCATGGAAGTATGTGGGCAGTGACGGAACCATCCTTTGAAACATACATGTACATTGCCATACATATAGTGAGCATAAATGAGCCTTAATTGCACATTATTGCCAACTTATGGTCTAGCGTACTTTTGTTGGTGTTTTGAGCTGTTTCTGTTCATTGTTGGGACAGAGAAGTATCCATAAACACTTCCAGCACTTCCAATCTCCTTTTTTTTAGAAAAGAAGAGAAGAAGAAAACTATCTGTGTACATGTGGACATAGCCTCAGGCTGGTCTTGAGAGTCAGAAGAAAATGCCAGTAAGTGGGTCCAGATGTGAGAGCAGCCTGAGGAGCAACTAGAGTCCAAGCATCTCTGATACAGCAAAGTGGGACAACATCCTGTCCTGAGATTCAGACCACGGTAACAGAGCTAGTGACCTTCTATGGTAACTTTCAGTTTCATGTAATGTATAACAAACAAGCAGACTTACTTTACAGTTAGAATGAAATATCCTATTTAATATTCATTTGTAGGAGTCCAATGACTGTCTATTACCTCGGAAACTTGTATGAATACAGAGGGGCAAAGGGTGTATTTAAAAAAACAAACAAACAAACAGACAAACAAAAAACAGAAATAACATAACATGACAGAATTAATTTTGTTTATAACTCTTGTCAAAAATGTAAACGTTCATATTTTCTATATTAATTTCATATGCGGTAAAATAATTGAAGTCTTTTTTGTTTGAACTTTGGAGATTACAGCCTATAGCTCAGAAAATCAGTATCTCACAACAGTAGAATATTTCTTAAGATGGGTCAAAAAACTCTGTATGAACTCTATGGGCTCTATTTTCGTGCTTCACCAGATTCCTGGCGCAGGCGCGGCTTAAGTCAGGTCTGCCGCACTGACAAGGCGTTCCCAAGCACAATTTGGTAATTTGGTGAGCGGCGCAGCCCGGTGTAAGTATCCCCCTCTCCCTAACTCAGCTTCTTGGCGTAAGTCATAGCGAGGGAGAAGAGAGGGCGTGGAGTGAGTTTAACACAGCAGAGACCTGTATTGACCAATAACATAAGCTCCTCTCCTCGACTTTAAATCCGCCACCAGCGAGGCATAATACAATTTTCGTGAAGTAGTCAAAGAGATCAAGAGTTGTCTGAAGACAGTAATGCCACACGATGGCAACAGAAGGCAGCTCCTCAACAAGTGTCACTGTAAGCGCTGCAGAGGGCGTCCTTCAGACTCTCTCATATGAGCACAGCTGGATTTGGTGTGTGTAATGTTGGACCCACTGGTAAGGCAAACATCCTTTTCCACAAATAAAGACACTCACATAAAGTTGCACATATTCAAACCTCAAGTGATAAAGGTGGGTTGTGCGCAGAGATCACAACATAAACTCCAAACGAAAAGACGAAAATACCACTGCGCAGGGTCCGCAACCCTCAGCCGCGTCCCCGGCAGACATGAAAATAGAGCCCAATATGTGGTTGGGGCTCCTTAACCAATTGACTGCAGCAATTCAGCGTAGCATGGAGTTAATCAGTCTGTGGCTCTGCTGT